TAGGAGATTTGACCTTAATCCCAGGATATGAGATATGACCTTGTCACCTGGATAGGAGATTTGACCATAATCCCAGGAGATGAGATATGACCTTTTTCCTGGATAGGAGATTTGACCTTAATCCCAGGAGATGAGATATGACCTTTTTCCTGGATAGGAGATTTGACCTTAATCCCAGGATATGAGATATGACCTTTTTCTGGATAGGAGATTTGACATTGTTTCCAGGATAAGAGGTATGACCTTGTCTCCTGGATAGGAGATTTAACCTTGTTTCCAGGATATGAGATATGACCTGGTCTCCTGGATAGAAGATTTGACCTTGTTTCCAGGATATGAGATATGACCTTGTCTCCTGGATAGGAGATTTGACCTTGTTCCCAGGACATGAGATATGACCTTGTCTCCTGGAGCTGTTGCTTGATGCCCTGTATAGGAAGTGTGCCTTCATGCTCTGGATATGAGATGTGGCTTTGTCCCTCTGATAGTATTTTTAATCCTCCTATGAAGTTATAATTTGATGTTTTGATTTTGACATCAGTGACACACGTTTAGTAGTAATATTAGTAATGTGCTGATCAATGCTAAAGTCATAAGTTTGACCTATTGGTTTGATCAGATTCCTAACAACAGTATCTTGATAATAGGTTTCATTGTACGACAGATTTCCTGGTTTGTAATTGGCATTTGGCACCTGTTTTATGTGTCTGGCAATTCCTTGCTCTAGCTGTACATTTGAACGATGTATATGGTGGTTTCCTTTCTTGTCACAAGTGATTAACGATATAATTTCTCATCAGCTCTACAACTGTTAAACTGCTGCAAGGAATGTGATTCAGCTTGTAATACAGTCTGCACGTATGGCAGGATGTGTATTTTAAAAAATTGTTTCTAATTTACAACTTTCTGTTGGGGATCAAATTTTACACCTTAATATTTACACAATTGTTTGTCTATAATATGCTAGCTGCTACCTTGAATCAAATTAATTTTGTTTATTAATTTAAGATATTTTTGACAATAAAGTGTTGTATACTCTTTATAAATACCTGACCAATTCCAGGAGATTGATTGATAATTAAATTAATATGAATTGTTATGTAATGTTTTGTTTTGCCTTTTAAGGTTCCCATGATAAACTTGTGGAAAACTTTATATCAGCCCAAGGCACTTAATTATAAGCACAATTGAGTGATAGCTCTTGTCACAGAATATGAATTATTACTATGATTATGTCAGATGCTTAGTGTCCCCCTCCCCAAAAATCTTCGTAGAACTCATTTGCTAGGCAATGTAGATGATGAGGCTTAATAACTTTCTCTGTGCCAATGAAAGGGTAATTTTTCTTCTTTTGGATACCCTGTGGGGACCTATGACATGTAAATGTGTCTGTCGCCTTGATAACAACATTTCCCTCCTGTCACTAATGGTGGAAGGACTTAAATGTCTTGTGAATATCTAGAACAGGGGGATATGTTCTCTCATTGATGGTGACAAGATTGAAATATGCTGTGGATATCTACTATGAAGGATGTGTCTCTTGTTGATGACAATGAGACTGAAATACTCCTTGAATGACTGTAACAAGGAGATGTTTACTTGCCTTACTAACTGATGATGACAAGAATAGACTTCCTGCTGAATACCTACAACAGCTAGATGTTTTTGATGAATTGTTGCCAGTGACCTGTCAAAAATCAATGAAGGCAAAACTCAAATGAAGAAGGCAGCCAGTTACCCTTTACAACATATAACTTGTGACCTTTATTTCCTCAGGTTCACCAGTTCATTGTTCTTCTTGTGGCAATAGCAGCATTATATTAATGAGGATAATTTCTTTTCTCTGCCATAAAAATCTAAAGTACAATATAATGTTCATTGTAGTACTTAGTCTATCACTGATGCATTATAGTACTTAGTCTATCACTGATATATTGTAGTACTCCAACCATCACTGATACATTGTAGTACTCCAACTATCACTGATGCATTGTAGTACTTAGTCTATCACTGATATATTGTAGTACTCCAACCATCACTGATACATTGTAGTACTCCAACTATCACTGATACATTGTAGTACTTAGTCTATCACTGATATATTGTAGTACTTAGTCTATCACTGATACATTGTAGTACTCCAACCATCACTGATACATTGTAGTACTCCAACTATCACTGATGCATTGTAGTACTTAGTCTATCACTGATATATTGTAGTACTTAGTCTATCACTGATATATTGTAGTACTTAGTCTATCACTGATACATTGTAGTACTTAGTCTATCACTGATACATTGTAGTACTTAGTCTATCACTGATACATTGTAGTACTTAGTCTATCACTGATACATTGTAGTACTTAGTCTATCACTGATACATTGTAGTACTCCAACTATCACTGATACATTGTAGTACTCCAACTATCACTGATGCATTGTAGTACTTAGTCTATCACTGATACATTGTAGTACTTAGTCTATCACTGATGCATTGTAGTACTTAGTCTATCACTGATACATTGTAGTACTTAGTCTATCACTGATACATTGTAGTACTTAGTCTATCACTGATACATTGTAGTACTTAGTCTATCACTGATACATTGTAGTACTACAACTATCACTGATACATTGTAGTACTCCTATCACTGATACATTGTAGTACTTAGTCTATCACTGATACATTGTAGTACTTAGTCTATCACTGATACATTGTAGTACTTAGTCTATCACTGATACATTGTAGTACTTAGTCTATCACTGATACATTGTAGTACTTAGTCTATCACTGATACATTGTAGTACTTAGTCTATCACTTGATACATTGTATCACTGATACATATCATCACTGATACATTGTAGTACTTAGTCTATCACTGATACATTGTAGTACTTAGTCTATCACTGATACATTGTAGTACTTAGTCTATCACTGATGCATTGTAGTACTTAGTCTATCACTGATACATTGTAGTACTTAGTCTATCACTGATACATTGTAGTACTTAGTCTATCACTGATACATTGTAGTACTTAGTCTATCACTGATACATTGTAGTACTTAGTCTATCATTGATACATTGTATCTCCAACTATCACTGATACATTGTAGTACTTAGTCTATCACTGATACATTGTAGTACTTAGTCTATCACTGATACATTGTAGTACTCCAACTATCACTGATACATTGTAGTACTTAGTCTATCACTGATACATTGTAGTACTCCAACTATCACTGATACATTGTAGTACTTAGTCTATCACTGATACATTGTAGTACTTAGTCTATCACTGATACATTGTAGTACTTAGTCTATCACTGATACATTGTAGTACTTAGTCTATCACTGATACATTGTAGTACTTAGTCTATCACTGATACATTGTAGTACTTAGTCTATCACTGATACATTGTAGTACTTAGTCTATCACTGATACATTGTAGTACTTAGTCTATCACTGATACATTGTAGTACTTAGTCTATCACTGATACATTGTAGTACTTAGTCTATCACTGATACATTGTAGTACTTAGTCTATCACTGATACATTGTAGTACTTAGTCTATCACTGATACATTGTAGTACTAAGTCTATCACTGATACATTGTAGTACTTAGTCTATCACTGATACATTGTAGTACTTAGTCTATCACTGATACATTGTAGTACTTAGTCTATCACTGATACATTATAGTACTTAGTCTATCACTGATACATTGTAGTACTTAGTCTATCACTGATACATTGTAGTACTCCAGCTATCACTGATGCATTGTAGTACTCCATCACTGAGGTATTCTAACATGTGATGGTTGGGGTCAAGGAAGCCACTCTGTTAAAACTAGAAGTGAAGGTCATGTAAGGTAAATATTGTCAATCTAATTGACTGATGATTTCTCAGTGATTGACTTGTGAGGATAATTTATAGTAATTAGTTAAAACAAAACACAAATCATATTTTGAGTTTATTCTGTTAAAGGTGAAGGCTATTTCTTTACCAATACCTTAATGGATTTGCTTTACACATTGATCAAATTGAAAGAAAAAAAATTAGATTGATTGTATATTCCAAATATAACCCCAAGATAATTTAAGTTTTGAAAGTACATAATATCTTATTGATTTTAATTAGTAATGCTATTTTTTAGTTGCCACAAATTCTTAGGATGGTGCAGAGACAATATCAGGATAGTAAATCAATGTTTACTCTGCACCCACAACTCCCAACAATTTCAAACTACCATTGATTAACTGTCACACTCCTGAAGAAGAAAATGTAGGAGAGATAAGTCATACTAATCTCCAACTTACATCCAGCATAACTGCACGAGGTGTTGATCAGCGGTGCTTGTGTAATCAAAGTGATTTGATGTATGGGCCCGAGAACTGCTGCTGATTCTATATATCAACTATCATTAGCACAATCTCCAATCCAATATCTGAAAAAAAGTAATGTTTGTCAGTAAACCATACTTCAGGAAATTGCTTCTGACAAAGGTTTGTCCTTACAGATGTGGACAGTCTGTTAGGCATGATAGACTGAAATTGCTAAAGTGTAATGTTATATTTTGTTTTGTATTTGTGTCAATTTTTTCTGTACTTTTTATTTCTTTTTAAAGTAGACTCTTAAATACAAATCTTTACTCAAGGGTTCTTTCTGACATCCTTTCAACAGTAAATCCTTCAAAGCAAGTTAGCTGTTTAGTCCTCCATGGCTTTGATCTCTATAAAAAAGGAATTCTTACACCTCTTGAAGAATAGGACCTTTAATACTGTCTTACTCACACTTCACTTTCTAACTCATGCTATTGTCAGTCAGAAATAAATTTTAATACAGTGATTGCTGTATTGTGTTACTTGGATGTCCTTATAACAAGGTCAAGGATTCACACTGAGGTCAATTGTATAAGTGAAAATTTGTCGGTCGACAGACATGTATGCATGAGATTCTCTGTACCAAATTAAATATATTTTTCATTGTGTTTTATAGTTGGATGAAGCTGTGTTTCCTGGTGAATCCTAATGGCAAGATTCCAGTTAGAAGGTAGTTATCAAAATTATCTACTGATATTAAAATGGATGCCTAATTTTCTTGTCTTTGAAATAAAATTGATAAATATTGGGAAATCTGAAAGGTCCATTGCACATTATCATTGGCACAGTTGTTAATGCATATTACTGTTTTGTTAATTGGGTCTGGTGTGAAGGATTACATTTTATATAGGAAAGAATACTTATTTATACCTGGATATGTCTTATTGCTGGTGATACTATAGATATTTTCAATGATGTCAAATCATGTTTGATGTCCAGCCTTGACAGGATCATTTACATCATAGGACTGTTCCTACTGTAACACACAGAAAACTTATCAACATGTTTTATGCATGTATAAAAAAAAAAGTTATTTCAAGAACTGCTCATAATTATTAATATTTGAATATACTTTCAGTATTACACGGACATTTGCATCAGGTAGAACAGAGAGGTTGATTATGCAGTGTTTGAAAGACCTAGGACTGCCAGGTGGAAAGGTATAGAATGTAGAGACAAAATGTTTCACTTGAGACTCTTGAAAGTTCAGATCCATGATCTACAACAGCTCACTTCATGATCATATAACACTGTGAAACAAGGAAGCAAAACATAATCTCGTCCCTGAACTATATCTTTTGACACCCTTGTTTAAGTCTTTGTACCTGCAAAATTGAATGACTCTACTTTCCTTCACATGGCTCTAACAAAACAGGAAATAATTATTATACAGTAGCAAAAGTATGAACTCAGTGTCATGTTCTCACTTACTGTTGAAATAAGACATGTAATTATAAAATACCATTACAGAATTGTGTCATTGATTTATGTCCGAAGAAAAGAAGTCGCCCAGGTACCATTGCTTGTAAATTTTATGTTTGTTTAAATATTGTGTGGTCATTCAATGTTTCTATGAAAACCCCTGTTATCATATAAGGTTACGGGGTATAAAGTCAGGATCAAACAGAGTTTTGAGTACACAGGCACATGAGTAGAAAGGTTTGTTTGTACAGAACTATAATTCATACTAACTTGAAATTTATGGCAACAAAGAAATTGACCAAATATGTCAATCACAACCTACTGAACATGTTCTAATATGATAAATACCATTGATGATATTGGCTTGGTATTCAGGTTTAAGTTTTTGGAAACAAAATAAAATAAAAGCTCTGGTTTTGCCAACTTGTTTTTAAAATACTGTAATATAGGTTGTTGTTGGTGTTCGTCAACTTTTAATAGGTTGTTGTTGGTGTTTGTCTACTTTTAATAGGTTTGTTGTTGGTACTCGTCAACTTTTAATAGGTTTGTTGTTGGTACTCGTCAACTTTTAATAGGTTTGTTGTTGGTACTCGTCAACTTTTAATAGGTTTGTTGTTGGTAGTCGTCAACTTTTAATAGGTTTGTTGTTGGTACTCGTCAACTTTTAATAGGTTGTTGTTACCCGTTAACTTTTAATAGGTTTGTTGTTGGTACTCGTCAACCTTTAATAGGTTTGTTGCTGGTACTCGTCAACTTTTAATAGGTTTGTTGTTGGTACCCGTTAACTTTTAATAGGTTTTTGTTGGTACTCGTCAACTTTTAATAGGTTTGTTGTTGGTACTTGTCAACCTTTAATAGGTTTGAAGTTGGTACTCGTCATTTTTTAATAGGTTGTTGTTGGTACCCATTAACTTTTAATAGGTTTGTTATTGGTACTCGTCAACCTTTAATGGGTTTGTTGTTGGTACTCATCAACCTTTAACAGGTTGTTATTGGTACCAATTTTTAACAGGTTGTTGTTGGTACTCGTCAACTTTTAATGAGCATGTTCTGATAGAACATGTCTTTTGTTATTTTTCAGTGTGACGACATAGACTTATCAGCATTTACATTTGACAAATTTTATGAATTGTATCATAAGATTTGTCCTCGAACAGACATCGAAGACCTATTCAAGGAACTGTAAGTATTGAACACTGTTATGATTGAGGATTGTACAACCTAAGCAGACATCATATTAAAACAGTCGCCTTCCTTACAATGACATGTCAATCAATAAAGTGTATTCGATACCATGATGTTAAACAGAAATGATAATTACTTCATGCATGGTTCATTTACTATTTTTTCTGTATGTTTCTTGTTTCAGAAGCGGAGATGCCAATAGAACTTACCTGACTGTGCCACAGCTTATCACATTCTTCAATGAAGTAAGAGACAAAACAAGTGTGGTTTTCTTCCATAGTATAATGGAATTCTTTAATGATGTATATATAGTTATCCCACTGCAGCAGTCACAAGGTTGGGGTGGTGGAGGAGACATGTTTAATGGAATCAGTTTATCTACTGGAGCTCGTCTGGACATCTCCGCCTAGACTCTTAGGCAGATTTCAATGTTATTGTTTACATATCATAACTACCCGTTGATATTTTACATCTGGGATAATTTTTTCATTCTGATCTGATTTTTTGTCCCATTCTTAAAAAGTAACATAACTCTTTGTCAAGACATGCCCTCTTAGACTCTCTGGCCAATTAGATAAGACTTAATATGATAACTACACCCTTGAGATTGTGCATCAGGGGAGTATTTTTATGTTCCAACAAATTCTAGAATATACATGTTCAACAAATTTTATAAATTCTAACAAGACAGCAAAAGATGCGTCCAGGTTGTTAATTCAGACTGTCATCAGTTATAATCATTATGTGTATTTGTATCACCCACTGATAGTGTGCAGTGTACTTAAGTCACTGTGTCCTTCACCTTTAAGTCAAAGGAGAGACAACAACAGAAAACCTATTGGTTATTATAAGGAGGCATTTTTGTTTAAAAACTATTAGTAATAAAATTCTACACAGAAAATAAAACAACGATGATGTTTTTCAGCGCCAAAGAGATCCGCGTCTAAATGAAATCCTCTTCCTTTATTGCGATGAAAAGAGAGCACAGGCAATTATACAGAATTATGAAACAGACCCAGAATATGTTAAACAAAGTGAGTACACACATTTAGTAAGTCTGCATTGTTTATATCTGAAATGTGATGATTGTTTCAGTTGGTATAATCAGAGACTTGTATCGAAATCTTTTTCTTAAAACCAGTTGCTCTAAAATATTAAGAAAGGCTTATATTTCCAATGTACTACTCATATCTGTATGAACACTTCTGGAACAGACAATTGTTGTGAGAACATGAAACAAAAGCTGAGTAAACGCTATTTTTTAGATCGATTAAGTCTGGATGGATTTTGTCGCTACTTGATGTCGGATGAGAATGCCCCTGTTTTCCTGGATCGGCTGGACTTCTATATGGACATGGACCAGCCTCTTTCTCATTACTACATCAACTCCTCCCACAACACGTACCTCATAGGCAGACAGTTTGGTGGACGGTCCTCGGTGGAGATGTACCGCCAGGTGCTATTGGCTGGATGCAGGTAAAGGAGTTTTTGCCTTTTTTTGTATTCCAACTTAACATATTGAGCAATAGAAAGTCCGAGATCTGAACACAATGTTTAAAGATAAAAAAGTACCACACTTACAAGTACACTGTAATGCCTTCAGTGCATTTCTGGTTCACATTCACCTCAAAATACATATAGACTTTCCAAGGCAAACTTTTTAATGTAAAAATCAGGATTGTTATCTTTTACATATTTGTGTACATGTTGACACTAGAATATCACAATAATTTCCTGAATCAATTTGATATCTTGAGGTAAATGATTAACAATAATTCAGAATGAAGAATCTTAATTGATATTTAATTATGTATGTGATTGTAACTTTCTTATTGAGTTAAACTCTGTGTGACAAAACTTACTTACAGTATGTGTACTTTAATTTATTTTGACCAGTAAACCAACATTTTCATTTTCATACAATTCTGCTACAAGTTTACTGTAAACAGTAATGGTTTCTTGACAGATGTGTTGAACTGGATTGTTGGGACGGCAGGAATGAGGATCAAGAACCAATCATCACCCATGGCAAGGCGATGTGTACTGACATCTTCTTCAAGGTGAGTCTGAATATCTTGTGATGTCACTTTCATCCACACTTTTGAGTATCTGATCAGAATACAGTACATAGACAAGGTATTTACTGAGGATCTAATTGCAGTTTTTTTTAGTAATTTGGTAGTATTCAAATTTTATGACTTGTTATTTGATGGTGTGGTGATTTCTTTTTGTAGGACGTTATAACAGCTATAGCTGAAACTGCATTCATCACCTCAGAGCAGCCTGTTATTTTGTCGTTTGAGAACCATTGTAGGTAAGTCAGTGTGTTATTCTGTCATTTGTGAACCATTGTAGATAAGTCAGTCTGTTATTCTGTTGTTTGTGAACCATTGTAGATAAGTCAGTCTGTTATTCTGTCGTTTGTGAACCATTGTAGGTAAGTCAGCCAGTTATTCTGTCGTTTGTGAACCATTGTAGATAAGTCAGCCAGTTATTCTGTCATTTGAGAACCATTGTAGGTAAGTCAGCGTGTTATTCTGTTGTTCGAGAATCATTGTAGGCAAGTCAGTCTGTCATTTTGTTGTGCGAGAACCATTGTAGGTAAGTTTACCTGTTTTCTCGTCTTTTACAAAATCATTATAGGTAAGTTTACCTGTTGTCTCATCTTTTACTGAATCATTGTAGGTAAGTTTCCCTGTTGTCTCGTCTTTTACAAAATCATTATAGGTAAGTTTACCTGTTGTCTCGTCTTTTACAAAATCATGGTAGGTAAGTCAGTGTATTGATATGTTAGGTAAGAATATGATATTATTACTATATATCTTTCATGTCCACCAACTTTGAAACAATGCAGATTGTTGATAATTTTGAAACAGTTTATGTCTTGTTTAGAACTTTCTGTTTCCAATAATAACATCTAATGTTATCAGAGTTTACTATTTCCTTCACAATAAGGGACAATAATTCCATCTTTTTCTTACTACAGCAAACCTCAGCAGTATAAGATGGCTAAGTATTGTGAGGAAATCCTTGGTGACTACTTGTTGAAGCGTCCCCTTGACTCAGTTCCGGTAATGTCTTACAAAGTCTTCATCATAACAATCTTTATAAAGAAAGTTATTTAATCGCACTTGATTTACGAAGTCTTCATCATAACAATCTTTATAAAGAAAGTTATTTAATCGCACTTGATTTACGAAGTCTTCATCGTAACAATCTTCATAAAGAAAGTTTCTTAATCTCATTTAATTTAGATACCATTGTGTGGTTCCTTTTTCATTTGATGGTTCCTTGATTAACTAAATTAATTAGTTTGATCCTTAATTGTAATACATGTACTGAAATGATACAGAGATTGTTTTTTACATATGACTTAATACAAATTGATAAGCGATAACACTGAATTCTTCGTAAATTTCAGCTGGAACCAGGACAACCCCTCCCTTCTCCAAGTCAACTTAAAAGAAAAATACTGATAAAAAATAAAAGGTTGAAGCCTGAAGTAGAGAAAAGTAAGTATAGTAACCATGACAACAAGCAAGTTTACCAGATTTATTGAAATGAGATATAGTTATTGAAGATGTATTTTTTGACACTTGGTCATATAATTGAAAGATTCTTATGATGGTTAAACATCATTCATGACTGGAATAGTATAGATCATGGACCTTCTATTGAAGGCTTACAGTAAAACTGTATATAGTTGTTTACTATTTATACCGATGAGATCTGGTCTATACAACAGCCTTACAAAACAATTTCATTTAACAAAACTGTTTCATTTAACAAAAGTAAAAACATATATTAACTTTAGGAGGAAACAAGAGTAACTGGGGAAAACCCCAAAATCTGTGAGGTTGTGCAGCCGCTCACCCCCACCACTATCTTTTCATGTTCTCTGTGAGAAAAACCCCAGACATGTAGGTGAATGATGAGTGTGCTACCGCTGCAGCATCAGACCACTCTCAGACAAAAATTTGTGATGTCATTCCCACAGAAAACCTGGAACTCTTTCTGAAGGGTCAAGAACAGTTAAACGAGGATGCTGAGCCAGGAGAGGACCCGAGTGTTGTGATTGCCAGTGTTGATGGAGAGGAAGGACCGTTAAATGGTAAATGGAACTACTGTAAAGGTACCAACATTTCACTGATTCAAACTGTTGTATGTTTTCAGTGAAAACTTCATTTCCGTGGATTTTTCTGTATCATATAAAAAATTTTCTTTTATCATTTCAATTTTGTTTTTTTTTCTAAATTATTAGGGATGAAACGATACATTAACAATGCAGTATAATTAGTTGTTTGTGAATTAACACCTATAGTGGTTATTAGTAACATAACATTGGTTACCTGTTGTAGTTCCTGAACAGGATGTCATTTGTACCCCACAATTTGAATTGTAAGAATTGAACCCAATACCAGATTAATTTTATGTTCAAATCTTAGGTGATGGTATCATAATATAAACTTCTATACATTGGCGATAATGGTGACCATGAGTCTAGACTGAAGGGTCAAAGATTACATTTGTACTCGTTTGAAATAAAAAACTGGAGAGCTCGGGTAGTCCTCAACAGACTATGTTTGGATGCCAACATTGTGATCGTTTCATTCCTATTACTCTGTCATATGATTTGGCTGCTTTGCTTGTTGCTAAAAAATATACAAAAATGAAATCCACATAAAGTACCTTTACAGTTCTGTAATGATAAATTGCCATTTATAAAGATTTTTGTCTTCTTTTTTCATGAAGTTATTAATATTAACGAATATTATACTACATGTAGTTTTCATAAACAGTTATTTACGTTCCTCAAATCCAGTTCAGGAGCCTTACCGATTTTCCACTTTCTATTCAGCAGTATACTCAGGATTTTTACTTCACACCAAGAACATGATTATCTTGTCAACTGAGAAACTTGTAATTAGCTGTTTTCAGATAATGAAACTCTGAATTTATTTGGTTTTCTATCCTCAAAATATCCAGAGTGTTTGCATGTTATGTTGTTGGTTGGAAGATTTGATTGAAAACTTTTGCATGCCTAAGTAATTGTGGTTCTTTTGTTGAAAGACTATCTTTCATACCGTCTTGTGTAAGTACGTATTACCATCATTCTCCCTCCCTGTTTAGGTATGTGTAACCAACATTCCCCCTCCCTGTTTAGGTATGTGTTACCAACATTCCCCCTCCCTGTTTAGCTATGTGTAACCAACATTCCCCCTCCCTGTTTAGCTATGTGTAACCAACATCCCCCTCCCTGTTTAGGTATGTGTAACCAACATTCCCCCTCCCTGTTTAGGTATGTGTTACCAACATTCCCCCTCCCTGTTTAGGTATGTGTTACCAACATTCCCCCTCCCTGTTAAGGTATGTGTTACCAACATTCCCCCTTGCTGTTTAGGTATGAGCTACCAACATTCCCCCTCCCTGTTTAGGTATGTGTTACCAACATTCTCCCTCCCCGTTTAGGTATGTGGTGCAATCATTCCCCCTCCTTGTTTAGGTATGTGTAACCAACATTCCCCGTCCCTGTTTAGGTATGTGTAACCAACATTCCCCTTCCCTGTTTAGGTATGTGTTACCAACATCCCCCTCCCTGTTTAGCTATGTGTTACCAACATTCCCCCTTCCTGTTTAGGTATGTGTTACCAACATTCCCCCTCCCTGTTAAGGTATGTGTTACCAACATTCCCCCTTGCTGTTTAGGTATGAGCTACCAACATTCCCCCTCCCTGTTTAGGTATGTGTTACCAACATTCTCCCTCCCCGTTTAGGTATGTGGTGCAATCATTCCCCCTCCTTGTTTAGGTATGTGTAACCAACATTCCCCGTCCCTGTTTAGGTATGTGTAACCAACATTCCCCTTCCCTGTTTAGGTATGTGTTACCAACATTCTCCCTCCCCGTTTAGGTATGTGGTGCAATCATTCCCCCTCCTTGTTTAAGTATGTGTAACCAACATTCCCCCTCCCTGTTTAGGTATGTGTTACCAACATCCCCCTCCCTGTTTAGGTATGTGTTACCAACATTCCCCCTTGCTGTTTAGGTATGAGCTACCAACATTCCCCCTCCCTGTTTAGGTATGTGTTACCAACATTCCCCCTTACTGTTTAGGTATGTGTTACCAACATTCCCCCTCCCTGTTTAGGTATGTGTAATCAACATTCCCCCTCCCTGTTTAGGTATGTGTAACCAACATTCCCCCTCCCTGTTTAGGTATGTGTTACCAACATCCCCCTCCCTGTTTAGGTATGTGTAATCAACATTCCCCCTCCCTGTTTAGGTATGTGTAATCAACATTCTCCCTCCCTGTTTAGGTATGTGTAACCAACATTCCCCCTCCCTGTTTAGGTATGTGTAATCAACATTCCCCCTCCCTGTTTAGGTATGTGGTGCAAACATTCCCCCTCCCTGTTTAGGTATGTGTAACCAACATTCCCCCTCCCTGTTTAGGTATGTGTTACCAACATTCCCCCTCCCTGTTTAGGTATGTGTAACCAACATTCCCCTCCCTGTTTAGGTATGTGCTACCAATATTCCCCCTCCCTGTTTAGGTATGTGTTACCAACACCAACAAAATTCATACCCCTTGCGGAAGGTGTATTGTACCAACATTTATATCCCCTGTTTCAGGTGTGTGTTGTACCAACATTTATATCCCCTGTTTCAGGTGTATTGTATCAACATTTATATGCCCTGTTTCAGGTGTGTTGTATCAACATTTATATCCCCTGTTTCAGGTGTGTTGTACCAACATTTATATCCCCTGTTTCAGGTGTGTTGTACCAACATTTATATCCCCTGTTTCAGGTGTGTTGTACCAACATTTATATCCCCCTGTTTCAGGTGTGTGGTACCAACATTTAGATCCCCTGTTTCAGGTGTGTTGTACCTACATTTATATCCCCTGTTTCAGGTGTGTTGTACCAACATTTATATCCCCTGTTTCAGGTTTGTATGGTACCAACATTTATATCCCCTGTTTCAGGTGTGTGTTGTACCAACATTTATATCCCCTGTTTCAGGTTTGTGTGGTACCAACATTTATATCCCCTGTTTCAGGTTTGTGTGGTACCAACATTTATATCCCCTGTTTCAGGTGTGTGGTACCAACATTTATATCCCCTGTTTCAGGTGTGTGTACCAACATTTATATCCCCTGTTTCAGGTGTGTGGTACCAACATTTATATCCCCTGTTTCAGGTGTGTGGTACCAACATTTATATCCCCTGTTTCAGGTGTGTGGTACCAACATTTAGATCCCCTGTTTCAGGTGTGTGGTACCAACATTTATATCCCCTGTTTCAGGTGTGTGTTGTACCAACATTTATATCCCCTGTTTCAGGTGTGTTGTACCAGCATTTATATCCCCTGTTTCAGGTGTGTTGTACCAACATTTATATCCCCTGTTTCAGGTGTGTGTTGTACCAACATTTATATCCCCTGTTTCAGGTGTGTAGTACCAACATTTATATCCCCTATTTCAGGTGTGTTGTGTCAACATTTATATCCCCTGTTTCAGGTTTGTTGTACAAACATTTATATCCCGTTTCAGGTGTGTAACACCAACATTGATATCCCCTGTTTCAGGTGTGTTGTACCAACATTTATATCCCGTTTCAGGTGTGTAGTACCAACATTTATACCCCCTGTTTCAGGTGTGTTGTACCAACATTTATATCCCCTGTTTCAGGTGTGTGTTGTACCAACATTTATATCCCCTGTTTCAGGTGTGTGTTGTACCAACATTTATATCCCCTGTTTCAGGTGTGTGATATCAACATTCATACCCCCTGTTGAAGGTGTGTGGTAATCACATTCATACCCCCTGTTGAAGGTGTTTGATACCCATATCATATATCCCCTTTTGAAGGTGTGTGATATCAACATTCATACCCCCTTTTGAAGGTGTGTGATATCAACATTCATACCCCCTTTTGAAGGTGTGTGATATCAACATTCATACCCCCTTTTGAAGGGAGATGATACATTTACAAAGATTTATTGTCCTCTATTTCTTAACAACATGTTTTTCCCCTGTCAAAGCAATTAGTTATTTATTTACCTGCCTGTGATCAAGATTGAAAGAAATTATTTCCGAACAATGCGGTTCCTTCTTTCCACAAGTACCCCTGTAATGAGTCCCTGTAAGTCACTTCTATCAATCTTTGTCATGGTTAACTAACTGAAAAATCTTGCTTCAGTATATCTTTAGGTATCAAGGTCAAGGTCACTAATACCATAAACAGAGAAGAAAACAAGCTGTCATTCCTTAATCAAACAGTGATAGAACTTCATTGTTTCATCCTTTCATCCTACATTTGATTGTGTAATTTTTTATCACAGGAGGAACCGGAATGTTTTTAAAAGCATCTTATAACTTTTAGTTCATTTTACTTACATATATATATGAGATATGCAGTGAATGCATTGAATCATAAAAGCAACAGGTTTAATCACCATACATTAGAAGTACAATGTACTTCTCCAATTTGATAATAAAATCGGTTTAATAGTAAAATTGCTTTGACCTTGTTTATCATTAAATCATTTTAGTAGGTTGCTGTGACTTAACAATAAATTGATATTTTTGTGGATTGCTACCCATCTTTGTGTTCTCAGATATTGATCCAAGTGTGATCAATCTTGACACGGATGCCCATCCCGAGTTTAAGATGTCCAAGCCTGTCAATGAACAAAACCTGGAGTTGTCTGAGGATGTTTCCAACAACAAGATGTCCACCACCAGTAGTAACAGCTTCAAATTCAATGACAAGAAGGTAGTGGAGGAAGAGGTGAATTTAACTGCCATTTTTTGCCCCTGCCAATTAACATTCATCAAAGCATTCTCTGGGTTTGATAATGCATATCAGGGATTAAGGCTTTAAAAGTCATAGTGTAACCCTGTGAAATACTAGTCGCCTTATATCACTAGACTGGAAAGAACTGCTATTTAGCTTGATCGGTTGAGCGTCAGACAAGTAAGCCAGTAGTCCCAGGTTCAAATCCTAGACAACACTTTGAAATAAATGAAAGACTTCTGTAATACTGGTGTGCGCAATGAGGGGTGTGCATCTACTACATGGACATAGGGTGTGTAAGGATGACATTATCCTAGCTGTCCATTACCTTTGGGCTTCCTTCTTTCAGACCTACATCAGATCACTCTATGATTCTCTCCCTTACAAACACAGCATGTTTTAAGAGCAAATCAATCAATTACAAAATAATGAAAATTTCAGGAATTTTCAATCTACACTTTAATTTCATCACCAATAATGAAGTAGCAAAGTATCATTGTTTACATTTCATCATTGGCATTTTTGGAAAGGACTTTTGTTCTTTGGATCTACATCCATAGGATTAGGGAGTGTCTCAAAAGTGATGGTACATCTAATACATAGACATAGGGAATGTCTCAAAAAGTGATGGTACATCTAATACATAGATATAGGGAGTGTCTCAAAAAGTGATGGTACATCTAATACATAGACATAGGGAATGTCTCAAAAAGTGATGGTACATCTAATACATAGACATAGGGAATGTCTCAAAAAGTGATGGTACATCCAATACATAGACATAGGGAATGTCTCAAAAAGTGATGGTGCATCTAATACATAGACATAGGGAATGTCTCAAAAAGTGATGGTACATCTAATACATAGACATAGGGAATGTCTCAAAAAGTGATGGTACATCTAATACATAGACATAGGGAATGTCTCAAAAAGTGATGGTACATCTAATACATAGACATAGGGAATGTCTCAAAAAGTGATGGTACATCTAATACATAGACATAGGGAATGTCTCAAAAAGTGATGGTACATCTAATACATAGACATAGGGAATGTCTCAAAAGGTGATAGTACATCTTATACATAGACATAGGGAATGTCTTAAAAAGTGATGGTACATCTAATACATAGACATAGGGAATGTCTTAAAAAGTGATGGTACATCTAATACATAGACATAGGGAATGTCTCAAAAAGTGATGGTACATCTAATACATAGACATAGGGAATGTCTCAAAAAGTGATGGTACATCTAATACATAGACATAGGGAATGTCTCAAAAAGTGATGGTACATCTAATACATAGACATAGGGAATGTCTCAAAAAGTGATGGTACATCTTATACATAGACATAGGGAATGTCTTAAAAAGTGATGGTACATCTAATACATAGACATAGGGAATGTCTCAAAAAGTGATGGTACATCTAATACATAGACATAGGGAATGTCTCAAAAAGTGATGGTACATCTAATACATAGACATAGGGAATAGTCTCAAAAAGTGATGGTACATCTAATACATAGACATAGGGAATGTCTCAAAAAGTGATGGTACATCTAATACATAGACATAGGGAATGTCTCAAAAAGTGATGGTACATCTTATACATAGACATAGGGAGTGTCTCAAAAAGGTGATGGTACATCTAATACATAGATATAGGGAGTGTCTCAAAAAGTGATGGTACATCTAATACATAGACATAGGGAGTGTCTCAAAAAGGTGATGGTACATCTAATACATAGATATAGGGAATGTCTTAAAAAGTGATGGTACATCTAATACATAGACATAGGGAATGTCTCAAAAAGTGATGGTACATCTAATACATAGACATAGGGAATGTCTCAAAAAGTGATGGTACATCTAATACATAGACATAGGGAATGTCTTAAAAAGTGATGGTACATCCAATACATAGACATAGGGAATGTCTTAAAAAGTGATGGTACATCTAATACATAGACATAGGGAATGTCTCAAAAGGTGATGGTACATCCAATACATAGACATAAGGAATGTCTCAAAAGGTGATGGTACATCTTATACATAGACATAGGGAATGTCTCAAAAAGTGATGGTGCATCTAATACATAGACAAAGGGAATTTCCTGTTATTTCAAATACTTTATAGATATAAACGAGTAAAGATGAAAACAATCGGCTAAAAAATTAAGTTCAGGATTCCTTTGCAAAAGAAGAATACAAAAATATATGTTCCTTGCAACTACTTCTTAAAGGGACCACCTGTGAAAAGAGACCACTTGTAAAAAGAGACCATAGATGTTCCCCAGATCATAAAGCTGTTTTGACTATATATATATATACAAACTTATCATTTTGTAATTACAGGGGAGTCTTACAGCAGATGAAGAGGCAGCATTAATGTCAGCATACCACTACAGTGGAGCTACCACAAACATCCATCCTTACCTGTCTGCAATGGTCAACTACGCTCAGCCAATCAAGTTCAATGGCTTTGATGTAGCTGAAGGTATGGCTAGTGATAGCTTGCATAACAGCATTTTATTGAAATCCTAACCTCTCTCTTACCCTATTTGAGTGCTTTATATCTTATCAGCCCCTTATAATGGTTATGATTTAGGGTTTGAAGTGATGAAAAGAAAAAGATCAATTAAGTTGTAACAAACATACCTCATTTAAGATTACCTTAAAGGAAATGATGAAAGCTTGTTGTATTCAAAATCAAAGCTGAGGATATTTCTTTAATTTTAGTGAACTATCTCCCTTCAAGCATACAACTAAATGTTGATACTGGGTATTTTATTGAGAAATTCACATATACTATCATCTACAAATGCCAAATTTCATGTGTGTAGTTACCCCATGTTTCATACTCCACTATATATGTATAGAGAGCTAAGGTAATTATTTTTGAAAGGTCGGAGGAAAGTTGATCTGGTCAGTGACTTTGTAAGGAAAGAAAATAGTGGATAGTCTGGTGGTATTAAAGCTTGATTGAGTCACATGTACCGGTATTAACTTAAATCTATTGGTATGTTGTGGATAGTTGTGATTGGACAGGGCTTTTTCTGAGGGGGGTACTCTGTAGGGCCAAATACTGGCCCCTTTCCCAATGGGATTTACTTCAGGATTGACCTTTATAATTTTTTGACATAATAAGATCATGAATCTAAAGGAGCACCAGGTAAACGATGAAAGCGTAAAGTGAAAGAGCCTTTCATAAATCTATTGACTGAAAGCTAAACCCGAACATTTTCTGTGACAACAAAAGAAAAAAGTTACTGCAGTTCAATTTTTTTTTTCACAAAAAATATCCAGAGTTTACTTGTTACAATTTTTTCATAATTGCGTTTAATTTAGTATTAATGGAATAAAGCATTCTATATATATATATATATATATGTTGTATCAGAAATTGAGGTATCGGGATGAAATAATTCAAAAGAAAATGTTGATGACCGTCGACATCTGAAAGTGATTGGCCCAAAGATGTAAAATAGAGAGCTGTTGAACTGAGTTGTTTTCTACATTTTGGTTATCACTATATAAAAATAATGGCAATAGTAAATGTTTCATAATATGGCAAAATCTCAAAAGAAAAAGTTTACTTCTTAAATTTCCTTTCCAACTGATCAATTATCTTCCCAAAAGGCTCATTCCCAAATGAGAGGAGATACTGTCCTGTGATTGGTTGTTAGTTTATTGCCTTAGATCGGGATACCAGATTGTTTCATGGTTTAAAATCTTACATTTCAGAAAGAAATATTCATTATCACATGTCCTCCTTCAATGAAAGTACCGGCCTGGGCTACCTGAAATCTCATGCTGTCGAATTAGTCAAGTATCCTTCAAGTTGACCACACAGACTGTTTGTATTGTTGATATATTGTTGTCATGGTTACTGTTGATTTGGTATCTTACTGTCAGCATGTCATATCTGGGTCACCTGTTTCATGAATACTGATCAAACCTTGCATGACTTTGTTTATTTTTGTTGTGGTGGATATTGTTTTGTGATATTTTGTTGTTGTTGTTTTTCTGTACTCCCACCAAGGTTATACTAGTACACTAAATACTATTTTCATCAACACTTCTAAATTCTAGGTTAGGTTATGTACAGGGAATGTTAGTACACTTGTTTAGCTTTAGATCTGTGAGAGGGGCTTCATTCCTACACCTTCTGCATTTTAGGTTACGGGTATGCTGTGTTTTTTAAGCTTGCATGCATGTGTTTGAATATAATCATGAGTTTTAACAGCATGTATTTATGATATACACCTATTTTTCTCTATTAATGCTCCTTTAATTTCTTGCTTGTTTTTGGGACATTTTCTGAGCTATTCTTTAATGCTGCTGTTTGTCAACACTTCAGCCTTTGAAAATTGTCATTGCGAAAATGTTTGCTTCATTTATTTGGAATTTTCATTTTTTAGACCAAAAGTGGCATAGGATATGCATGTACCATATTTTCAGGCCTGCAAGCCTCGACTTTTACCTGGTGAGTCGGGGTGCCACTTACCGGTATATGCCAGTGGGGCTTAAATGTGGACAAAACCAAACAGATTGTCTGGATGGGGGAAAAAATGTAGTACATGATGTCATAAACTGGTTTTTACAAGTACAATGTATTTGTGGCTGAAACAAATGGCGTAGAACCAATTGTAATTGTATACTAAATGATTTGAAGATTGCAATCGAATAACATTCCGCTCCGACGGGGTAACAAAAAAAATCTTACATATATATACTATTACTAAAACCATTGAAAGGGTGTTTTGTGTATTTTTTGAGAACCTGTAGGATGCTGTGAATGGCTCTGAAAATTCATCCTTAGTTATTTTTTGAAGACATGCAAGTAGTAACTAATTGATTACATAATTACACCTAGAGTAACTACAGTTACTTTAACCTTATTATTTATGTGGATTTTTTATGTTTAAAAACAATGATATCTTTATACTTGTACTGTGTTGTGGCATACTGCAAGTGAAATAATATGGTGCCCTATACACAAACCAGTGAACAAATAAGGTAAATATTCAGGCTTATCTCTAAATTTTATTATAATTCAATACATGTTTATAGTGATGGTTTTAGTCAACAATTTCCTTGATAAATTGACAATAAAAGAAAATAACTGGTAATTTTTATCAATAATATGGCTAAAATCATTTTTAACACTGGTCTTGGAGCAGTACAATTAAGTGTTTGTCAGAAAGTATTGAGTCAACAGCTAATTTTCAAACTAGGATAAATAGAGTTATTCACCATTATATCATTAAGATACTTGTTTCAACGGATTACAAATAAAGATATTGCATACAGCCATATAGTTTAGTAGATAAATGTGAGTAGTTTTAGAGTGTGGATTTATTTGCATGCATTGTTTGTGTGATTTAGCTGTAAACAAGCACTTCCACATGTCCTCCTTCAATGAGACCACAGCCAATAGTATGATCAGGCATGCCATTCATACAGGCACTTGTTCAAGCATCATCGAGTATCCTTCCACCTGAAATCCTCTCATTTGCTTGAATTTGTACAAAAATGTACCAGGAGTTTGATATGGTTTGTTAACCTCTCTTCCCTGTAAAAGACTGTGTTCCCTGCCTCTTCACTTCCATTAGCAAGAAGGAGAAAGAAATCAGTACCTGACACATCATTTTGATGTAAATATCCTATACACATAGTATATGTTTTTGTATGATGTATGATTGTATGCCTTTATTCGTATTTACACGCAGTCTGTTGTCAGCCATTTACCTAACTGGGTCAAGCATCATGAGTAGTAACACATGGGGATATAGAGATTAAATTTTACCATTAATTATCACTAGAATATTTGTACTCTTCGTGATATTTTCCTACTATAGCTATTTTAACATTGCATGATTTCCCTTCATACTTCAGCATTTTGATTTAAAGATAGATGTTTGTTTCTGTTGTGTAGATATAGTTTTGGGAATAATCTTCTTTCCCTTCTTTGCCTTACCCCTCTGTCAAAACAGAGACCATCTATTTTTTGCATAACACCTAAATTAGTTAGCTCTAATGGTGAAGAATTTGTTAAGTTATAATATAGCATGACTGATGAGTCTTGATGTAAGTAGGACCTTGACAAAAAACAGTTACAACAAACGTCAGATGAGTCGGATTTATCCACGAGGCAGTCGTGTGGACTCGGGCAACTATATGCCACAGGTAATTAAGTATTGTAGTATTGTATATAGCATATTGTTTCAGGAAAAACAGAACGATTTTAGTTGATCATATCAATATGTACCATGATGATACACGAATATCAGAAAAAAAAGACCAGCAGCAATAACTTGTGATCTGCTTTGCTTCTACAAATAATGTTAATGTACCTGTCTGACATCTGTAGATATCATCAAAAATGTTTATATTAGTTTCAATGTCCTATAGATACTAAGGTAACTTTATGATCAGATTTCATGAAAGGAAATGTCTCCTAGTGTTGATCATTGAAGACATGAGTTGTACAACTTTCTTGACCATAATAGAAAATATGGATGGCAACAACTGGATTTGGTGTACATTTTGATCGCTTATGTTTCTTTTACAAGTGAGATATTTTTAATATCCCACCTTTAACCTTGGGTCCAGCCCATGGTTGAACTAACACCAGGAATCTTATGATTACATCTCTTTGCCTTTACAGTTGTTTTGGAATGCTGGTTGCCAGATGGTTGCACTGAACTTCCAAACTCCAGATCTGGCCATGCAGCTTAACCAGGGCAAATTTGAGTACAATGGTAATTGTGGGTATGTATCACTTACTCACAGACAAAGCAGCATCATATATGAAAGGAGTCTGATGAGTACTTACAGATGTATGAAAATGTGTGTCTCTTGTTAAAGGTTATCACAAACATGTTAGAATGGTTATTGATTAAGAACTGTAGGTGATTCTCCAACATTCTTGTAAAAAATAAAAAATAGTTCAAACCTGGTTAGAAATATTAGTTTAAGATGACAAGTTATTGAGGTGCATATATTGATCTCAGCTGACACTCAGAGGCTGTTAGGTAAGGCATTAAAAATGGGCCAAATTGACTTAAATTTCAAAAATCTGCTTCTCAAAACCCAGGTAAGGTAGAATTAAGTACTCTTATGGATGGAAAGGCCTTCAGATGCTTTACCAAAATTGTAAATTTTATGACTCCAGGGTCTCACATTTCCCCCTGGGGATGGGGTAATACTTAGAGTAGTTTATATAGGAAAAACACTTTTTTGAATTTTTATTGTTTATTTTCTATTGAAAAACTAGTAAAGGATGACTGTTTCATAGTATGCTCATATTGACCTGGGAGCCTGATGAGGCCAAAAAACGTGTCAAATTAACTGAAATTTCAACAATCTTATTCTCAATACCCCAGATAATGTAGAACTAAATACTATTCATGGATGGAAATGTGTTATGATGCAATTTAAAAATTGTAAATTTCATGACCCCAGGGCCTCACTTTTCCCCCAGGGAAGGGGATAAAATTTACTATATTTACATAGGAAAATTACATTTTTGAGCATAATTTGTTTATTTTCTTTCAGAAATAGTTCAAACTTGGTTAGAATTTTAATTTTCATTAGTATAAGCTGATTGAATGATTATATGCACATCTTGACCTTGACTGACCCCAAGGGGCTGATTGGCAGCACCAAAAATGGGTACAATTGACTGATATTTATTTCAAAGATGTTCTACTGTGAAGATTTTATATAGGAAAATTCAATTCTTGAGTGTAGTTTCTTTAAGATCAAACTTGGATAGAAATCTTAGCATGAGACATCACAATTTACATTTGCATTATGCATACAATATAGTTAAAAGTTTGGAAAAAACAGCTTTATCAGTTGGTGAAATTCATTCTTGAAGTAAAAAATTTATTTTGCGAATTGATTTATTTACAGTTTGCCATTATTAGATTTTATTAATTCAAGTATTTAACTTGATTACAGATATTTATTAAAACCAGACTTTATGCGACGACCTGACAGAACATTTGAACCATTCTCTGAGAGTCCTGTTGATGGGGTTATTGCAGCTCATTGCTCTGTTCAGGTAAGGTATACATATAGCTAATACACAACTTGATACAGGTGTAAATTCTTATCTATTATACAGGGGCCTGTTCATTTAAGCTCAGGCTTAATTGAAGCTTGCATGGAAGTGAATTAGGATTAGTAGGTCTGCCCTTATTTCATACATGAACAACCTTGGTCCAAGTTGTCATACTGGTAAATAAAAATAAACCAGTTATGTTATTTCTGTATAGTTAGACACAGCTTTCTTCAGCTTTGTAAAGGTAAGATATTTCTATACAATAACATACAGCTTTGTAAAGGTAAGATATTTCTATACAGTAACACACAGCTTTGTAAAGGTAAGATATTTCTATACAATAACATACAGCTTTGTAAAGGTAAGATATTTCTATACAGTAACACACAGCTTTGTAAAGGTAAGATATTTCTATACAGTAAGACAAAGCTTTGTGAAAGTAAGATATTTCTATACAGTAACACACAGCTTTGTAAAGGTAAGATATTTCTATACAGTAACACACAGCTTTGTAAAGGTAAGATATTTCTATACAGTAACACACAGCTTTGTAAAGGTAAGATATTTCTATACAGTAAGACAAAGCTTTGTAAAGGTAAGATATTTCTATACAGTGACACACAGCTTTGTAAAGGTATATCTATCAACAGCAATATTTGTAAGTCTTTTCTTTTATAGGTAATATCTGGACAGTTTTTGTCAGACAAGAAGGTAGGGACTTACGTTGAGGTAGACATGTATGGTCTTCCTACTGATACCATCCGCAAAGAATTCCGTACCAAGGTGGTGCCGTCCAATGGCCTCAACCCAGTATATAACGCGGAGGAGTTTGTCTTCAGAAAGGTAAGGGTCCTCTTCTTGTATTCAACTGCATTTTTCATTTATATGGGATCAAATTATGGTAAATGAAATTTACAAGCTTTTATTGGAGAAATTCAGTTTCCTAATTAGATTGAAGCTTTGCATATCTGAATCTTACTATTTGAATATCCATATGCACACAATTTTTAAAAAAAAATTGAAATCTTATGAAAAATGTCTTTGAACAAAGTTGTCATTTTCTTGAACAGGTGGTGCTTCCTGATTTAGCAGTACTAAGAATTGCTGTTTTTGAAGAAACTGGTAAACTGATTGGACAAAGAATTTTACCTCTAGATGGTCTTCAAGCAGGTGAGAATACATTGTACCTCTGTGTATGTACACAGTAATAATATTCATCACTAGTAACAACACCATGGTTGTACGTAGAGCGAAAGTTCACAGTTCAGTATTTTACAAGAATTCATTTGTTACCTAATCACATGTTTCCTTAACGAGGAATATATTCATTCATTTAAAATTTGCTGAAATGTAAGAAAAAAATAAATTCTCAATATTTTTTTTGCATTTAGGTTACAGATATATTTCCCTACGGACAGAAGGAAACTTCCCATTGTCTCTACCCACAGTCTTCTGTAGAATCATCCTTAAAACTTACATCCCAGACAAGCATTTAGGTAAGACAGGTATCTCAGACAAACATTCATATAAGACTTGGTGAAGTCCACAGGCAGACAACCATTTGTATAAGAATTTCTGTGTCCTGCTTAACAACTATTAACTCTTATTTTTTACCCAACACTCACAAATAATTGAACATGTTTCTTTTTTTGCAAAAATGTGAGTTAAAGGGAATGTCCTATTAAATAAAATGTTGAAATTTCAAATGATGTTAAGTCTGCATGATATATATGAATTACTTTCAGATTTTGTCAAACTTCTGTCTAACCCTGAGAAACAGCTGAAGGAAATGGGAATTGACACATCTGACATCATTGACAGCCCTGTACCATGTCCTGGTCCAGCCAGTCGCCAACTTAGTGGCTCAGGTTTGACCTCTGGTAGTAATGGTCAAGTGTCCTCCAACTCAGGCTATGGTGACAAACCTGCTGGCACACCAAACGCCTCACAGAAAAAAGAGGAAAAAAAAGGTTAATTAAGTTCAGATTGATACTTCCTGTAATAGTTTATCATGTTTATGATTACTTTACGAATGTGTGGAGAATTCATTTCTTGACATAAACATATTCTGTTTTGAATTACATTCTATAGTGACCTATTTTCTGTTGAGGTATAATCCATTGTGGGTAATTTTCCAGATGATATGAGCTTTCCAGCCATTACTAGGGACCTGCTAAAACAAGCCAAGGCATTCCAGAAGATTCTCAAGAAACAGCAGCGGGAGATGGAGGCACTGAAAAAGAAACAACAAAAGGAGCGTTCAGCAATGCATCGTCAACACTGTGTAGTTGTTGACAAAATGGTGGCCACTCATAACAAAGAACGACAGGGGTCAGACAAAAAGAAAAATGGGTAAACAATTTCTTTCACTCTAAAATAATAAGGTTTATAGGGGAAAAGATGTTTAACAAAGTCTGATTTTGCAGGGAAACTGACATTTAAGAGTGTGATTTTATGGGGAAAATTCCATTTAACATAGTCTGATTTTATGGGGAAAATCATGTTCAACAGAGTTTGATTATAAAGGGAAAATGATATTTGATAGATAAAACATTGAAAGCATTTGTTAAAAAATTATATACATGTTTTGTGACAGAGAAAAATTTTACTTTAGTATTTGGAATATCTTTGGTCACATTTTCAAAATAATTTGATTATGTTACAGTGATAATTCACTTCCGGAGTTGAAAGACTCAGCCAAGGTAAGTGTTAAACATTTCTGATGATATATTTCCGTAGCTGTTGTTAAAACATTTGGGGCCAGCCATCTTATATGATGACCATAGATGAAAACAAATTAGTTGAAGCTGAGTGGATTCAACCGACTACATCATTATCTCCCTATAGGGGATTAAAGCATCAGATCTCCCGTGAGCACAATCCCCAATGATGAGCCTTAGTCCTACTCTGCTAACATTGTCATCATTCCATTTGGAACTAAAATGACAGACAATCTGATAAAGAATGTTTTCAAGCAACAATGCTAGATTTGTTAAATCTTATTTGAAATGTGTTCAATTTTAATTGTTTTTTTAGGGGGAGGGGGAAGGGATTCAGTTTGATAAGCAATTTATGTCCCAGTTTACATAGTAATATGAAGGTATGTTTTTCTGAAGGTGTCATTCCCCAAGGGCTTCAGGTAAATAAACCATTGTACACTGTATTCTTCTGCATCCAAGTCCATCAATTTATCATGACCAATAACTGACCTTTGCAACAAATGTGTGACCACTTGCTTCACTTTAACAGATAACGGAATTGGTGACTGACCACACTAAGGAGTGGTCAGGCATGGTGATGAGACAGGTGTCTGAGGAACATGACCAGCGTAAGGAACACATTAATCAACAGAATGACTGTCTGAGGAAGCTGTTAGAAGAAGCCCACCAGGATCAGCTCAAGGAGCTCAATACAAGGCAGAGTCGGTGAGAAATCGTGAACACCTATTCCTTACATACTGTAAATAACTAACCAACAATCTTTTTTCGGCACTTTCTGCTTTAAAAATATTTTATATCAATATTATTGCAGTCCTTTATGTTATTCATACAGGTATTATTGTGAATTCTTGAATTCGTCATTGATAAAACTTGATTGTAACAAAATAAGTATGATTAAAGTATGATAGAATGATACATGCCAGGAATCCTCAAGGACCATGGTTTTCAGGCATTTCTCTGAGCATTTACAAACATGTGTTAAGAGACATTTTAGAAGATGTTTAGAAGGTAAATGCATTCCAGTCATTAAGTTCTTATTGAAAAAATATTTGACATTTCCGACAACAAATTTTAATGAAATATGTATGTTTGTATTTTTTATTAGTATCAGAGTTTGGGGAGTGTGTGTATTTATTGAAGATATCAGAATAACAGACTGTCATCTGTTCTGTGTGAATATTTTTCCATGGACTACATTTTTTACAGGGAGGTGAAAGATTTGAATGCCAACCAAGTGAAACAGTCTATGGAGTCAAGTAAAGTCGTCCAGAATGATAAATCTATCAAAAATAAGGCAGAGAGGGAGAGGTGAGAAATTTCTTCCAAGTCTAAGGAACAGGAATAAATGAAATATTTCTTAAATCTGCCAGAGCTATTTGATTTAGTGAACAATAAAAAAATTACTAAAGCAAAAAATGTTGTATATTTGACAAATGTGATCAGACTGATGGTACAAAATGAACTCCAATAACTTAGTGGTGTAACGATAGGCCGACTTATTGATGTTATGCATTAGTGTTCCTATTAATAGCAATAGGTCAATACCATTTTAAAGTCAAAATTATCACAGTGATTTCTTCAACTATACATTATTAATGATAGTTTTTTAAACTAAACAAGAAGCCTTGACAGTCACCATAGATAAGCAATATTGAATATAAAGATTATATTGTTTTTATAGTTTGAAGTAAGAAAGTTAATGTACTCACTTTAGAATTTGATGTATGTGTACATAATTTTTAATGACTTTCTTTTGTTCCATCAAGTTAACAGTAAGCTCCAGTTATTAATAGGCTTTATAATGTTTTCCAGGAGAATACGTGAATTAAATGAAAATAACATGAAGAAATTTGTTGATGAAAGAAAGAAACAAACCATGAAACAGTCCAAACAATTAGAATCGCTCAAAAAGAACCATCAAAAACAGATGGATAAGTTTTTACAGGAAAGCAAAAAGGTAAGATGCTGTCAGGTAAACACTTACAGAACTACTAAATGGTATAGGAGGATTGTAATACTTCAAGATCTATTATTTCACTTGTTCATTATAATTCAAAGCAAGTCCTGGTCACCCTTGACCCTGAAAATATGTAATGGATTTGAACAGGGTTATTTTTTGAAAAAAAAGATGTTATATAGAAGTAGCTAGTTGTGGAACTGTTGTGTATCTTCTATCTTTATACAGGGAGTTCAAGGTTAAATGAGAAAAGAATCCTCTATCACAAGGAACTAATGTATATAATTGAATATTCGCTGAAAAAAATAATTGAGGATATGTATGTAGTGTTTAAAGGTAAAAAGTATTTACAGAATATTTTTCTTCTCTTGCAGGAGCTTGAAAAGGCAGACATGATCCACGAAGAAGTAAAATTAGCCACAAAACCAGAAACAGATGTTTAATAGCTGCTAGTATTTTGTTAAAGAGACATTGCATGTGTACTTATATGTCAGGACTGTTTGTATCAATAGTCATTACAGACTACAAAATAGTCCTACAACTTACCTGTCAGGGCTGACTACACACAGGTACCTATAACTTACCTGTCAGGACTGACTACAGACAGGTACCTATAACTTACCTGTCAGGGCTGACTACAGACGGGTACCTATAACTTACCTGTCAGGACTGACTACAGACAGGTACCTATAACTTACCTGTCAGGGCTGACTATTGACTGGTACCTATAACTTACCTGTCAGGGCTGACTATTGACTGGTACCTTTAACTTACCTGTCAGGGCTGACCTGTCAGGACTGACTACAGACTGGTACCTATAACTTACCTGTCAGGGCTGACATGTAAGGGCTGACTACAGACAGGTACCTATAACTTACCTGTCAGGGCTGACTACAGACAGGTACCTATAACTTACCTGTCAGGGCTGACTATTGACTGGTACCTATAACTTACCTGTCAGGGCTGACTATTGACTGGTACCTATAACTTACCTGTCAGGGCTGACCTGTCAGGACTGACTACAGACTGGTACCTATAATTTACCTGTAAGTGCTGACTACAGAGAGGTACCTATAACTTACCTGTCAGGGCTGACCTGTCAGGGCTGACTACAGACAGGTACCTATAATTTACCTGTCAGGACTGACTACAGACAGGTACCTATAACTTACCTGTCAGGGCTGACTACAGACAGGTACCTATAACTTACCTGTCAGGACTGATTACAGACTGGTACCTATAACTTACCTGTCCGGACTGACTACAGAGAGGTACCTATAACTTACCTGTCACGGCTTACTACAGACAGGTACCTATAACTTACCTGTCAGGGATGACTACAGACTGGTACCTATAACTTATCTGTGAGGGCTGACTACAGACTGGTACCTATAACTTACCTGTCAGGGCTGACTATTGACTGGTACCTATAGCTTACCTGTCAGGGCTGACCTGTCAGAGTGGTACCTATAACTTACCTGTCAGGGCTGACTACAGACTGGTACCTATAATTTACCTGTCAGGACTGACTACAGACAGGTACCTATAACTTACCTGTCAGGGCTGACTACAGACAGGTACCTATAACTTACCTGTCAGGGCTGACTACAGACAGGTACCTATAATTTACCTGTCAGGGCTGACTACAGACTGGTACCTATAACTTACCTGTCAGGACTGACTACAGACTGGTACCTATAACTTACCTGTCAGGGCTGACTACAGACGGGTACCTATAACTTACCTGTCAGGGCTGACTACAGACTGGTACCTATAACTTACCTGTCAGGGCTGACTACAGACAGGTACCTATAATTTACCTGTCAGGGCTGACTACAGACAGGTACCTATAACTTACCTGTCAAAGATGATGAGTAATTTGTCTCTCATCCCGTCTCAATAGCTATTTCATTAATTATGATCATGTTATGAAATCAGATTTTATAATTAATTTATTTCTCCCAAATAGTTCTTTTTTATTGTGTAGTTAATTATATATCATCATCAGATCTCATTGTGTGTGGGGGAATCCTTAGAGGTATATTATTAGTAAACACAATGCAAATGGGGAATCCTTAAAGGACTATTATTAGTATCATTGAGTGGGGAGTCCTTGAGGATATTATTAGTTTGTTGAGAGGTGTTAATGACAGATCTGTGATTAAGGTAGAGAAAGTCTAGCTGTGATAGAGTTACACAGAGCAGTGACTCAGTCAGATGCTCTTTTATAACCTTGTATATATCAAGAGGTAGGAAGTCCTCCATAAATATTAGCTAGATTGTAGATTTAGCAAAGTGTGTGAATAGCAGAGTAAACACTTGTAGACATTTATCATTAGGAAACAAGAGCATTGCCACAAAAGTGATGTCTTCTGGTTGTCAACATGCAATCAACAGAGGCCATATAAATGTACATGCTTCACTGTTCTATACAACTGAAATCAGAGTTGTAGCTCATGTGGAGGCAGAAGATGAATGATTGAAGTGTCTGGTCTAGAATGTTAACGCATATGACAGTTGATTACTACAAAAACAATTGCAGGCTCAGCAGTGGATAGGAAAATAAAGAAAAGATGAGAGTAGAAGTCAGGGACCAATGGTAGCCCCTAGTTACGGGACCAGCGACAACTGAGCTGATCAAAACATACTATCTGCTGTCAATGAACAAAACAATACCATCTATTCATATTGGATAAGAAGTGTTGAAGGACTTTGGATGTAAGATATCATGTTATTGCTGTGAGAAAAACCCAGAAAGGTTCAGAAAGCATCCAGAGGACAAAGTCTTGATTATCATAATAATGCTCATTTCTCTTCCAAATATGTGTTTTGCTATGTTTTATGTACAGTTGATAGATATGTATACCCTACTCCATGTACACTGGCAATGGTTCTTTTTTGTGAATTGTGCCATTGTATTCGCTCAACTGGTCTGAAGGACCATCCATGGTGTGGTGTGGTGTTGTCAGACCTTGGCATCTGTTGGCCATCATCAGCCCTGTTGATGTTTACTTTCTGTTAACATCTTTTAAAAAAATTCTGAAAAGCTGGAAGACTTATAAGGATTGGTAATTGGTCGGGAAATGGCTGTGTTTAGGGGCTAACAACATTGTTGAGACTTTAACACACATTTAGATATGAACTATATACAGTCCCTTGGAGACACCTTTAAAGCTAACAGTATAATTCCATATATGTCCTGTTCCTGTGACTATGGATATTGCAGCTAGTCACGCACAAGTAACATTTTACCATGTGAGACTGAAAAAAGGGTCCTTTTGTAACCTTTTCACTTAGCAGATATTGTCTGATGGATAATGCAGTAAGTTTTTATCAACACCTTTAAATTGAGACTATAATGGACAAGATCAGTGTTAATGTTCATCTTATACACAATTGTAGGCAGCATCTTGCATCCGATATCTTAATCTCTTAGCTGATGACATTTTTTTGAAGTCTGAACCATCAATCATCAGCAGTAGGCTCTCCCTCCATAACCACAAAGTATGGAAATGTATTCAAGATCAGAGACATAATAAAGTGAGATATATGAATTGGTGTTTAGAATCCCTCTCCCAAACATTCTCTAATGCCAAGGTAAAATATTTCAAGCAACATTCAAATGAGACTCTTTGTCTGTATAAAGATTTCTATGTAAAGTCATTAGATATTTATTCTGGCACATATTTTTCTTCCCTAGTCCTTCCTCTCTAGCCCTTATCCCTAAATTGCAAGATCACAAAGTTGTGGTTATGTTTGAAATATTAAAACATATCTTATGTTCCTTATATCAGGGGTTTTTTTTTACAGGATCTTATTTTTTTTTTAATTTTACAACCCTATCAAAATCATGAGAAACAAAATCTATTTGCTTTTGTTTGTAATATATGATTGGTACAAAGAAAATGGACAAGTAGATTTGTAAGGGATGTCTGTGTTTACTCTTTAATTTGATTGTATAATTGTCCCCAAAAATTTCAGTAGCTATAAATTATTGATATACTACCCGAGTATGAACGTTTGATTAGGTGTTTCCACTTAGAAAAGGCTGACATTTGTTTTCTTGTATTGAGTTCCAAAGTTAAAAGGCTAACTTCTTTAAAATATCATTATATCCCATAAATAATGATCAGACTTATAAACACTTTCAAAGTACAATGAGACAGTTTAAGTGAAATAGGTGTACTGTCGTGGCGGTATTAATTAAAGTTATACAAAGTGATTCATCAACATTAACTTTTGCCACTACATGATGGTTTCTTTATCCACATACAAAAAGGAACGAAACACAAATTGAAATATTTCATCTTTAAAAAATCATACAATTGTAAGTTCACAAGGCAAATTACCATTATAGTCATCAGAATTATCACAGGTGTAATTAAGTTTTATGTGCTTTACTCGCGTTTGTATTTGTCATGTATTAATGAAATTGTTGATTTTGTTTGTTATATTTTAAGAAATTTAATTGAGATGTGTTTGTGTACCATTGTTTCTTTCCAGTACTTAGAAGTTATTTTACTTCATTTTTGTATCCTTGTCAAGCTCTCAGAACAACGACTGTTATGTGATGCATGAGAAAGCGCTCTATGTCATTCTGATTAACTAAGTACCTGATCAAAAATTATTGTCCTCGAAAGTTATTTTGTAGTAAAATTATGACAGATTTCAGCCAAAGCTTAAGATTTATAACCAAAGAATTACATCTGTAATACTTAAATTGAATATCATGTTAAATCCTATATGCTTGTTTCATTACTCTGAAAGCCCAGAGATCTTTCACTTAGATCTGAATTGTTTCAGGATGTTTATTAGCTGTGTATAATTTATTTGGCCATTCTGAGATGAAATCTAGCTCATTGGATATAGCTTTGTTGATCATTACTAATTATTTATTGTGTATATCGGCCATTTAACACTTACTAGTCAAACACCACATTACTAGTCAAATATTAAATTATTCAAACCATTAAATACGTTACTATTTATATGTTGCAGTTGCGGTATACCAGCAATTAACCATATAATTACCAATAGTCATACATTACACTATACAGACCATTAAACACATTTAAAGTCATATGTTACAGTATACTGGCCATTAAACACATTACTATTCATACATTACAGTTTATACAGGCCATTTAACACATTACTGGTCATACATTGCAGTATACTAACCATTAAACTTATTACTAGGCAAATGCCTCACTACTTGTCATACATTACAGTTTATACAGGCCATTTAACAGATTACTAGTCATACCTCACTGTATACCTTGGACACCATAGTATTTTGTCTTTCTCAAAGATCTTTGTTATTTATAAGATATCTCTTTAAAATTAATGTATATTTAATTCATTCAGTAGGTTTCATCGCAGATTATTTAAGAAAATCATGAATAAGGTCAGTCTCATGTATACTTTAAAGTCCCAGATATATTCTAAATTTCTGTTTATTGAATATTTTTTTGTATTGATATGATAAAAAAGATTACATCATAATGTATTGAATCTCAATAGATATGTCTCAAGACCAATTCAAACATGTTTATTTTTGGTGGTTTTGTAAAAAAAATATTAGCATGGCTGCCAATCACAGCAATATAATGGACTATCCAGTAGGGATATTAGTTGTGAGCATTTTTTACACAAAAAAAAAAGTAAGTTAGCGATGATGAGCAATATACTGAAGATTCCTCTAATTAAGTGCTGTAGTAAGTCAGAAAATAACTTATTAGGGTGAGTGATTGTATCAATAATGTGTGAGAGGGCAGCATTGGCTCTAGTGTTATGAATACCTACCTTTACACAACACTGTTTGTATGGTAAATTCCTGCTTCTGAAATTATATACATGTTTAATACAGTGCTTGATTTTATTTGTGCAATAACAGATTTTTGTGTTTTCTGAAGGCTTTTGTTAGTTTTACTGTTGAATTGTTTGTATTTTTACTTATCTAAAATAATCAAAATATTTTGTGTAGACCCCATTAAAAAGTCCAGCACGCTGAGACCAATGTGTCTACACCTGTAAATGGCACTAACAACTGCTGTTTACAACTATCACTACAGATTATAGTTTCATCACAAAGCCAGGTGTGACTACAGATTTAGGTTTCCTCTAAAAGATGGGTGTGATTACAGATTATAGTTACATTGCTAAGTCAGGAGTAACTACAGGTTATATTTACAAAGTGTATTGAAGCGCTATACATTGCCACAATTTTTGTAACCATAATCATTACTTTTTTATATCTTGATGTTGTTTCTTTTTTTAAGATTTCTTTAACAGTTCTTTTCATTATGGTAGTATCTTCAAAATATTATCATAAAGCACTGCATTATTCATATTTTCAACGAAATGGTGTTCAAGACCTGTGTTTTTTTGTAATGCTAAGATTTACAAGCTATAGGTGAGTTTCTTGGCATGGTATATTGATCCCCAAAATTTGTAGTTTTTATTACATCCAATTTCTACAAAACTATAAAACATGCTTTGATGTTGGTAGATCTTATAAGTAAAATGAAACTTATTTTTTAACAGCATGAAAAACTGATGGCCTTGCTATTTATTTTTCCATAAGAACATAATTTAAAAGTAGTTATACCATGTTCCTTTGGCTCCTACTCTAGAGGCCTGTCAGGTTTAGTGGCCTCTTTTAGTGGATTACTAGATGGCATACTGATAAGTGTTTGGTGCAGGACTAAATTATAATGAAGATAAAAACAAATTGTTTGCAGTTAGTAACTTTCGTTGCATTCAATTACCACTTTGAAGAAAGTTTTTCATGGAAAATTCAGTCCTGGTCCACCAAGCTACTCAAAACATCTTGTGACAGCCCTATAACGTTGGAACAGACACTGTCCTGTGAAGTTCTGTATACATCAGATAACAGGCGGAGAACTGTGACAAAGCACCTTGCTAGAGGAATGGTACTTTTGAATTTATGTACAAGTTTGTGAAAGTCTTTGACCCGCACCTTGCCACAGAGCAATATGATATGCCTGTTGTGTTCTATTTAAGAGAATCTCGTCGTGATTTGTGATAGCAGTCGATGGGTACAGAAGGCTGTGATGATTTGCTAGGCATGTGAAGAGAGTGAGAGTGTGTGCTGAATCATCTAGACATTTTAATATTCTCTAGCATTACCACATTTGTTGTACCCACTTGTTGACTTGTTTTATTTTGTGTGTCTATTTTATATGATGCTAATGTATCCAGTCATCTGTAACTTGTTCTTTAAATGATTGTTTTACCCTTTCAGTTATGTCTTTTAAAAATAAAATATTTACACTAGATTTCATAGAATTTTTTCTGGCTCATTTATTCATACATATATTGTAAAACAATACCAGATTACCAGTGGTTTAAACCGAACTTGCTAACATGACCTTGACCTTTGACATGATGACTTTGCCATCTTTCTGTATCTGGGACAACTTGTTTGATTCTAAATTGATTTACTTATAACAACATATTAATCAATTACAAGAATCTTACATTTTGTTTGTGACCCTGATCTTGGATCTGGTGATCTTAATATGGTCATGTTTTATGATATGGTGCAATATACATGTTAACTACATGTGTAGTTAATTTTCTGCCTATTACATTATGTTAAACACTTCTCTGAGTGGAGTAATACAAAAAAAAGTTTCAACACATTTTACAAATTTCAACTTTATTACAAAGTTGTAAATATATCAATGTATCACAGACAATTATAAATAAACATCGGAGATTTGTATGAGGTGTGATGAATGATCACAGAACTTAAACAGGCAGATGTGTGTATAATTTGTGGGAAATTATCTTATAATCTTCTCTATAATACAACATGTATTTTGACATAATATTTCTGTTATAGTTATGATAGTGAATAAAGGATCAAACCAAAAATCTCTCCAATGTATTCATGTGGATGGTTAACTTACAGAAGACTGATGATTTGTAAACATCTACCTTTATCAAGAGTAAAATGGACGGCTAACTTTGAGGCAAAAGTACATTCATACATACAAAATTAAAAGAAAAACTAAACAAGACATGTCAGTCATATTAAACATACCCATCAGGATACAGTATATAACATCACTTAACCATTAACATCAATTTACAAGACATTTAAATACTAAAAAAGACACTTACAATAACTGAGAATTGGACGATTATACCAAAATGTTCTCAACAGCAGCTTCAGAGAGAACTGTCCTTGGTAGAAATAAATACAACCAGACATGTTTACAACCATGTAAATTTTCCCGGTGGATATCTGTGTAATCTTTGAAGTTTGACTTCTATAGAGGATGAGTGTCTGGAAGAATACCAATGGAAAGCAAATCACAGAAAGAGCAGATAGGCTTCAGTCTGTCTACATAAGATGCGAGACAGCATTAGAGTACTGCCATTTCAAACAGATACCTGGTGTTAACAAATTACTCAAGCATGGGAATTGTTCTCATTGGCTGCATAAAGGAAGGAAATGTTGAACTCTTGGGATAGCAAATGTCCTTTTAACTCATGCATTTGTTTTCTGTTGTCCAGTTGAGAGTAGCACGACTTATACTATTAACAGATCTTGTGACTGTATAGTATTTCCAGGTGTACATTTGTTTGAGTGTTTGTATAATTTCCAGGTGTACATTTGTTTCCAGGTGTACACTTGTTTCAGTGTGTGTATAATTTCCAGGTGTACATTTGTTTCAGAGTGTGTATAATTTCCAGGTGTACACTTGTTTCAGTGTGTGTATAATTTCCAGGTGTACACTTGTTTCAGTGTGTGTATAATTTCCAGGTGTACATTTGTTTCAGTGTGTGTATAATTTCCAGGTGTACATTTGTTTGAGTGTTTGTATAATTTCCAGGTGTACATTTGTTTGAGTGTTTGTATAATTTCCAGGTGTACATTTGTTTCAGTGTGTGTATAATTTCCAGGTGTACATCTGTTTGAGTGTTTGTATAATTTCCAGGTGTACATTTGTTTGAGTGTGTGTATAATTTCCAGGTGCACATTTGTTGGTAGAGGTACTAAGCCACCACCAAAGACTCGCTGACAGGCATGCTGATCACACCTGTAATTATAGGTATACTCTTGCCTTCTTTTAATACAAATACCTGAAACAGAGAAAAGTTACAAACATGAATAACATGACAATTTTGTTTTAGGTAGCAGGTTCATATCATCATTTCTTTTTAGCTTGTTGATACAATACCCAAATAGAGCTATCCATCAATCATCAATGGACTATTGTGTACAAATGCTCAGGATTGAAATTATGGGTAAGTTTTTGGTATCAGCATCTAAACTTATATCATTACAACTTTGAGAATGACACCATCTGCTTTATTCAAAACAAGAAAAGACAGAGGGGAAAATTCTTGCCTCCTAAAGTTTGAAATGCAAGGCAATCTTACATAATCTATTGAATTTAATGAGAGAGTTGAACATAACACTTAGCCAAAAAAAAGTTTCATCTGAGGCCAAAAACAAAATCCCAAGGCAAATGTTTTCTCTAAACAGAATGACCTCGAGTATGACCTCTTTACCTTGACATTGTCTGATACTCCTTTGTCATTCAAACATTCTACAAATGTCTCAAAGGCATAGTTAAGGCCAGGGACAAGCATGGGTACCTGTTAGGGTTAAAAAAAGGGTAGAAATACAATGCTGACAGCTTTATTCTATTTAACCAAGAAAACTTACACATGTCACAAAAGTGCTGTTGCTAGCAAATTATTTCTTACTCTAAAATTAGAATATGCACAACAGAAAATAAAAAATAAGCTCAATGTTTTAAGTTCATAATATATTATTTGTTTTGTCTTAGTTACGATTCTTCTTGTTTTTCAGTTACATTGCTATTGGATTGCTAAGGAATTGTGTGATTCCAGTCACAGATGCTGAGTAATAAATGAATAACAATTACCACACCACTTGGTAACACAATTTTGATCATGACACCTTTGTACACAAGATATTAGCATATACACTTAACATGTCAAAACTAGTTCACATCTTGATTTAAGCCAGAAAAACAATGTTATGTATAGACCAATTTTAGGATAAATGTTTTGAAGAACAGATATTCTGATAAATATGGCAAGGCTACCTGTATGAGAGACTTCTTCAGTGTGTAAAGCCTGTCATCATACTGAAAGGTTATGAGCAGGTTGGTGGACGGATGACTTAAGGATGTATTTTGTAAATTTACAGTCAATTTAAATGTAGGACCGATCCCTTGAACCTGAAATTGAAAATTAAAGATAAAATATATTGTATATGTATATCATTGTTATCATAACTTACTGACAATGCTGACAGAGTATCAGTTATCATAACTTACTGACAATGCTGACGGAGTATCAGTTATCATAACTTACTGACAATGCTGACGGAGTATCAGTTATCATAACTTACTGACAATGCTGACAGAGTATCAGTTATCATAACTTACTGACAATGCTGACAGAATATCAGTTATCATAACTTACTGACAATGCTGACAGAGTATCAGTTATCATAACTTACTGACTATCCTGATGATGAATCATTTGTATCAAAACTAAAAAAATGCCAATAAAAACTTATGAAAGATTTAATGTTTCTTTTCTGAAGTTCTTGAATTTTCTTTAATTTCATAACATGGATCTATACAATCTTAATCTTAGCACAGATGCATTGATACTTAGAAATATGCATTTAAACATAAAACAAGAAACAGGGAGACATTTACCTTGGTCATGATTTTATCCAGGTAATGTTTAATATTGAGATGTTTACCAGGGCATTGTAGATGAGTGCAGACATTTACCTGGGCATTGGGTTTGAGAGTAGACGTTTACCTGGGCATTGGGTTTGAGAGTAGACGTTTACCTGGGCATTGGGTTTGAGTCAAGACGTTTACCTGGGTATTGGGTTTGAGTCAAGACGTTTACCTGGGCATTGGGTTTGAGTCGAGATGTTTACTAGGGCATTGTAGATGAGTGCAGATATTTACCTGGATGTTGGATTTGAGAAGAAATGCTTACCTGGGCATTGGCTTTGAGAGTAGACGTTTACCTGGGCATTGGATTTGAGTCAAGACGTTTACCTGGGCATTGGGTTTGAGTCAAGACGTTTACCTGGGCATTGGATTTGAGTCAAGACGTTTACCTGGGCATTGGGTTTGAGTCAAGACGTTTACCTGGGCATTGGGTTTGAGTCAAGATGTATACTTAGGTGTTGGATTTGAGCAGAGATGCTTACCTGAGCATCGGTTTTGAGTGGAGTTGTTTACCTGGGCATTAGGTTTGAGTGGAGTTATTTACCTGTGCATTGGGTTTGAGTGGAGAACTTTACCTGGGCGTTCAGTTTCAGTGGAGTTGTTTACCTGACATTAGGTTTGAGTGGAGAACTTTACCTGGGCGTTCAGTTTCAGTGGTTCTGTGGGATCTGCTGACACTGGATTCATGCTGTTCTCTAGAGACTTGACATACTCTCGTGCAGTATTTAACCGAAGCAGATACAGGTCTCTCTGGAATGTTCTGTGCATTGCTGTAAAAAATATTTCCAATTCATACATCAGCAGACATAATTTCATTTTAATAATATTATAAAGTTACAACAATTGTTTATATTTGTTAACTGATCAGGTATTTGAAAATCGCTGCAAATTAGATCAGTTTATTATGCAACAAATTCTTTGACTTTATCCAAATCTCTCCAATTTCTATTACCTAAATTTTTTTTTAAAAATGAAGTAGTATCAAGTCATCAGCAAGACTATGTGATCACTGTATACTTACTGACAGCATTATCACGCTCCCTCATTGTCTGATCCACAAATAGCTTTGTTTTCTTTGGCACGTTAAGTCTTGTATTTTGGGCTACAGGGGGACCAGCTGATATATCTTTTTCCTCAAAGGTGGCATTTCTGCGCAGGATCTTCAGCACAAGTCCTCCACCTGCACAAGGTTTATACTATAATTTTAAATATTTGAAGTAGAAACACCCTTTTCAGCATTTCGGCAGCTTTTAATTACCTACTATATACAAAGCATAAAATAAAGTGGATGTGAGTATCAAACTTCAGTGACACAAACAATCAATTAAAAAATACAATTTGAATTATCAAGAATCATGCCATTGATTGCAAAAGATATATGAATAAGGAGAAAACAGGATACAATGTGTTTACATTTACATACCTCTTGTGGTCATAACCAATGTGCCATCCTCCCGACCAAAGCGGCCAAATTTCAGTCCTGTGACGACATCATCAGTGCTGATAACGTTTACTAGGTACTTCTCCTTGTAGATGTGTACTTTACAGTTATTAAGAGCCACAATAACTGCTTTAAACCCACGAGATTTGTAATCCATGGTTTCCATTGTTGTTATTGCAGCTGGCATCTTGACTGTCCACAGCTTTTTACCCTGATATAGTAATAGTACTTAAGATGGATGTTCATTTATGTTGTTTGATGTCTTTAGTATTCATATATTTGAAATACATGTGAAAAAACAAATAAAAAAAAAAAAGTACTTCAGATAAAGTTTAGAGGATATCAGAGGCAACAATCATTGGAGACTTGTACTAACCTCAGAAGTGTATCACTGGGAGGACATTAGACTTGTACTAACCTTTGAGGTGTAGCAGTGGAGAATGTTAGACTGGTACTAACCTTTGAGGTGTAGCAGTGGAGAATGTTAGACTTGTACTAACCTTTGAGGTGTAGCAGTGGAGAATGTTAGACTGGTACTAACCTTTGAGGTATAGCAGTGGAGAATGTTAGACTTGTACTAACCTTTGAAGTATAGCAGTGGAGAATGTTAGACTGGTACTAACCTTTGAGGTGTAGCAGTGGAGAATGTAAGACTGGTACTAACCTTTGAGGTGTAGCAGTGGAGAATGTAAGACTGGTACTAACCTTTGAGGTGTAGCAGTGGAGCATTTCATCCATAGTTCCGACATAAATAGTCTTGTTAATACGTTCCAGGCCAACTGGTTGAGAGTTCAATTCTATACAGTTCTTGGCAACATCTGTTGTTCCCCTATCAAACAAATATATTAACATCCTCATTGTGTGAACAAGAACTGATGTCTAATTGTTATTGTATTATTAGAATGTCTTATTTCTATTTTTAGATATCTTGTGAAAATAAATGTTATGAATTAATTTACAAATAATAGACAATATTTAGATATAAATATATTATCTGGTATTAAGATTGCTGTCCAGAACATATCACATGCAATGGGTATAAAATACAGAAAAACACTATCTAAAGGCTCTTCAATATACATAACAGGAATAAAACTAAACATGAACTTAACAAAGTAGTGTAAGCACATCACACACATTCAGCGTCCCTTCACCTTTGTGGCTAAGGTTGGAAAAGTGATACGAAAGTGAAGACAAGTTAAAGTAATGTAACAGTGAAGACGATTTGAGAGTAAGGAATGAACAAAGTAGTGTAGAATCAATTGGCTATAAATGAGAGCCTGACAAGTACCTTTTAAGTGTGTAGATACAGCCATTACGACATGCCACTACAATCCGATACTCAACATCATACAGACCAGTAACACTCAGGAACACAGGTACACTTGGCAACTCAATCTACAATACAAAATACACAATTGTAAACCACACAATAAGTGGTGTGAATAAATATGTAATTTCAAATTGATGATTTAGTGACATGGGAATAGTTTATCTCATGTATTCAATGCAAGAAAATTTATGGTACAATTACATGTAGGCATGGAAGTAAACGATTTTTATCACTACTATCTTTTAATTGAATTGTTTTAGTAGCCAGGACTAAATTAATTTTTTGTCAAGATTTCAGTGATGGACTGAGACTGCACTAGACTTCTGATATCAGTAAGCCTTCTCTGGTCTTGATAACTAGACAATTTGAGAGTTAACTCAATAAATTCAATTTTCAGGAGTTTTCACATCACAACTTTCCCATTTCATGGTAGACATACTGTGGTGAGAACAGTGAAGGCTTCTGGATCCAGAACATAAACAGCCTTGTTTTCTGTGCCCAGTACCAAACAGCAAATAGCATCCTCATCTGCCATTGACTTCTTCATTGTGCTCAAACAGCTGATCACAGTCTGTAGAAAATGTAATCAACATATAGCAATATGACAACATGCAATGCACTAAAAAATCATTGAAAGTGGTATAATATGGTATAACACACAGATACCACAAAGACATAGAGACAATGATACGTAGCAAATGTCCAAAAGACTAAAGGCTGGGGTTGGTATGTGGTACAATCTAAGAGACTGAAGGTTGGGGTTGATATGTGGTACAAGTCTAAGAGACTGAAGGCTGGGGTTGGTATGTGATACAAGTCTAAGAGACTGAAGGCTGGGGTTGATATGTGGTACAAGTCTAAGAGACTGAAGGCTGGGGTTGGTATGTGATACAAGTCTAAGAGACTGAAGGCTGGGGTTGGTATGTGATACAAGTCTAAGAGACTGAAGGCTAGGGTTGGTATGTGATACAAGTCTAAGAGACTGAAGGCTAGGGTTGGTATGTGATACAAGTCTAAGAGACTGAAGGCTGGGGTTGGTATGTGATACAAGTCTAAGAGACTGAAGGCTGGGGTTGATATATGATACAAGTCTAAGAGACTGAAGGCTGGGGTTGGTATGTGATACAAGTCTAAGAGACTGAAGGCTAGGGTTGGTATGTGATACAAGTCTAAGAGACTGAAGGCTGGGGTTGGTATGTGATACAAGTCTAAGAGACTGAAGGCTGGGGTTGATATATGATACAAGTCTAAGAGACTGAAGGCTGGGGTTGGTATGTGGTACAATCTAAGAGACTGAAGGCTGGGGTTGATATGTGGTACAAGTCTAAGAGACTGAAGGTATGATACATATTGTAAGGTATGGATAAGGCAGTCTACCTTCAACTTGTAGGGATTTCATAATATAAAGTCCTTAAGACTTAAGGTTTGATATTGCCAGAAGGTTGATAAGGAGATGGATACTGCCAGTCATTGATACTCTCCATGTATAAAAGCCTTAGGGTACTAACCTGCCTCTTCAGTGGCATGTGTTTGTAGAGATTAGCAAATGCTTCCATGTCCCCAATGTCGGTCATCTGCAGGAACCGTAGTGACCGCACTGTCAACACTGTACCCTCAGCTCTGTAACGGAAAATGCTTTCTTTAAGCCATACAAAATTGTGGACACATGGTGATGTTTGAGTTAAAACATATAAATTCTAAATAATAACTATACATAGATGAATATAAAGAATTTGCTTTGATGCTGTGTTATATACCTGTGTCCTGTACTCAATACACAGAACTGTGCATAAATAAGCATAAATAACATACTAAAATGTATGTAGGTATCTATAAGCTGTAAATCAGTAGAAAAATCAACAACTGAAACATTTTGTATGCCTTCAGCAATTATTAAAAAATTAATAGGAATAAGTGATTTTTTTAAAAGTTATAAATCTTTACAGATTTTATAATCAGATTTCCACAAGATTTCTCCTTTATGATAATACTTACCTCATACCCTCAAGCATTTCTCTCAGAACAAATACATTAATTTTTTCCTGTAAGTGAAAATAAGTCCTTACATTTTATATGTCTCAAATCATGCCATACCATTGAATCTATTTAGGTGTGAAATCATGACAGATAATCCAGTATACTTATGTGTGAATCTTGACAAACCATCTTATCTATATGTACATGGGCTTTTAAATGAAAGGCTTGGATGAAATGCTATTTCAGATATAAAATGTACTGGTTGCTATACATGTAGTTATCACACAGCAGATAAAAATAACTAACATGTTAATTGACTTTAGCATCTCTTTATCAAATAAACTGGAGTAACATTATTGACACAAAGTCTGTCAATGAGATATGTATGTTGACCATTAACCTCTTTCAGTAAATTTGACATAGGGTGTACTTGTGTTAACTTAAACAGATAGTGCTACTACACCCGATCATTTCATCACTGACTTTTCATAGAGCAATCATTAGAAAGTTAGAGTTTAGTGCAAAAGATAGTATACACAAACTGCCTCAACGTATCCAATTTATTCCCTCTCCACATATAGATTGAAAAAAAAAACTTGACTTTCTAGTAAATCAATTAAAATGTAAACTTTTCACTAATTTTGAAAATCATTTACCTCCTTAACTTGTGTCCAGAGGTCTAGCTCCACTGTATTCACATCCAATGTGGGCAATGTGAATTTGAAGTATGGTCTCAAATTTTTGTAGATGTATATATACGGGCCAGATGCAACAGCTATAGCTGGGAATTACAGAATAATCACAAACATGTCACAACATACTGATATTGTAGCCCGGAATCCTGTAACCAGACAATGCTATCACATTCACTTCAAACACCTGCATCAATGGACAATTCTTTAGCATCATTCTTTGTAAATGTGAAAATGTAATCACTGACAATGAAAGAGTATAGAAACAGACAATTATGCACTGCTTGTTTTACTGTAAACTTGGTAATATTTGTATGGATTAGATTTTGCTACAATTGCAGTGATTAAAGAAAGCGGGATATCAACTACCAAGCAAACATATTTTTTAGCAAATTAAAATCTTTGAAAAAAAAAGTTATATGCTTATTACCATGGATTCCATTGTAAAGACTACCATGTATGTGAAATTCATTTCTACAAACTTTCAAAAAAACTGGGACGTCTGGTATTACATTTTGTTGATGCTGATTTTATCCAATGTTTATATCTGAAGAATGACTGAATTCAACTTTAATGTGTCCAATAACAAATGTCTAATTGAGAAATTTACAAACAGGATGCAAATGACAGGTTCAATGGACACATGATCTGCTACCATAGAATTCTGGTTTCCATATACTGGTGCAGAAAATGTTTTCCATCTGTAGAAACATTATCATAAACTGTACATCATTTGTGATTCCTGATGAACAAATAAGCACTTATTTAATATATACCTGGCATCCTTGGCTCCAGGATATCCATATAGAATGTCACAACCCCAGTAGGTAGATCAATAATGGCATTTTCACTCATCAAGTTTGTTCCTGAAAGAATACAAAAACACCTATTAATATTTTAGAATTCACAATGAAAAGTTTACCGATGTTAAAACAAAACCATCTTGCATGCAATAATATGACACACAATTTTTTATCATAATATATGTAACTGTGTGTTTGTTTTATTGTTTATAATAGATAAATTGTTCTATCTTGTCTAATCATTGATCTACATATTGATAAACACCATTATAAATTTGTTTTGTCTTGTCTAATTATTGTTCTATGTTTACATACCTTTGTAAACTTTGAGTTTCATGTTATATGACCCTGTGCCAAGATCAGCTATCACCAGTTTCCAGTCACCATCTGCCTGTATGTCTGACAGGGCCACACACTGTGTCAGGGTATACAAGGAGGCCACCGGGTCATGATATGCATCCAGCCATTTTTCAGCACCAGGTCTGCAAAAAAATAAAAAAATCATCAAGATGATCCAACAAGATGGAAACATTGCTGTCTAAGAAATGTATGGATTTCACTCTCAATATTCATTAATAGAACCTTTCAGCCCTTTTAGGATAGGGGGTCACAACCCAAAGGGCAGATCATTAAGTCATCAAACACAAGGCTTGCTCCAATAAAATGTACTCTTGCTTTTCTATACATGTTTTTATTAACAAATTGGTGATTTAGATAAGTTACCATCTTGATGATAACACAGGATTTTCAGGTTTGAGGAAAACACAAGATTTCAGAAGCCGACAAACTTGCATATGTGTGTGACCTCAGAAAAGTAGTTCCACTTTCTGGTCATGTCAGTGGTGCCACTTAAGTTGTTTTCAGAATGTGCAAAAGGGCATGTGTAGCTTGTCTCAACCTGAAGGTGAGACAAGAAAATCACAAACTGGGAAATGGCATGATTTCCCTGTCCGGGGTAAGAGATGTTTCTTTTCTGCACTCCTGCATCTATGTCAGAGCAAAATCAAAGGCTTATAATTCATCATTTGACTGCCACTGTCAGAGACTGGTCTTTAACTCCACATAACAATCTCATGACAGTTTATTTTTCCGTACCTTCATAACAACAACTAACATAAGTTATTATAGAAATGTCAGTCTTTCTAATAATGTATTAGGTATCTCACTGTTATATATCATATAATACTATGTCTGAATGCCAACTCATGCATGGGTCACTAAAATTTCATGTTATGTAAGGCAGCTCTTAGGACACCACAGAAGCCAGAGCCATGCTCTTCAAAGACTAGGATTTGAGAATCAAAATCAGTGACAAGACTGAGTTACCTCCCTTCCATGAGTGTTACCTTTATCTTTTGGATTGTCTGAAAACTGTAAGTAGTTCTCTAATGGAAAAATATTCGTTATTTAACGATGAGATAAAGCAGCATGGTGAAAGAAATAAAAACTCATTTAGTAACTCCATATAACAGTTGCTTAACGTGATTATGAAGAGTTACAACTTCATTTATTGGTACCAGAATATATTTATTATTTAAAATTCCTTTAAAGAATATCTCACATTCAAACCATGTATAGTGTGCATGATATATGTAAATTTGGATTTAGGTGTTTGACTATGCAAATATCCTGGTATCTGAAAAGTGATTTTGCATATGACTTTATGATAGAACTTCATTCTCCACCACAATAGCATATGGTAGTATTCAAGGCTTGCAAAGTCTGAACAAGGTAAGAAAGTTAAGACCTATCAATCAATCACTAAATCAACAACACATTCAACCTGGTATTTTTTTTATCAACACAGGTAGACTACCCGGTACTCAAATTTTTATTTGCCTTATTCACCTTGTTTCATTCTGATGCCTCTGTTTTGGAAATTATAATCCTTACCCTCCTTTCTGACTTTATCTTAACATCTCAAGGGAAAGAATTCCGACTATCGAGCCTAACAATTGTAACAGAGGTCCCTACGTGAGCGCAAATGTAAAAGAGGTCATTATTTATTTTAATGTCCCAACTAGGATTCAAACCTAGAACCCCTGCCTTACAAATTTGATGCTCAACCAACTAAGCTAAAGAGAAGTTCTCTTTAGTTAAGCACTATATTGCAGCTAGTATTTTAGCAAGGTTACACAAACAATAGAAAGATATGATTATGGATATATACAATGAGTTTGCTTCTGTGTAGCGTAGGCCGTTGAAACGGTTGAAAAGGATGATATCTTAATTTTAGTTCATTGATTTAAGCTTGACAGGAAAATCCGAAACTGTACATTTTGAACTTTACATATATCAGGTCTAACATCTGGTACATGTGTGTTCTTGTATAGTGGAATAATTCCAGACTAACTGAAACGTTTCAACCGGGTTATGCGAAAGCAGCTGTAGTGTAGTCAAGTGGGACTACCATGCATGATCTTATTATGGCTATCCACAGGGAATACCATATAACATACAATTTATCCCTTGGATGTAATGTGTCGTGTATGGTTTATTGAATTGTAAACAAATCAACCTTTTTTCTTTGCATGTATTTTGTATCTTTCTTTAGCTTGATTAAAAATAATTCCAGTGAGGGTGGGGGATGTAGTTGCAATATTGGCAATAAACAATGGTTACATATCTTCCTTAAATATATTTCATGATCCAAATATCTCCTTACTTAGTCTTTTCGACTGTTTGATCCGCCTGTTCGTCACTCATCTTTCTAATCTATTGCTTTGAATGTCGAATTTGTGATGTAGACTTCAGTTGTGAACGTAAACATTCCTCACGATTCACAACCGGAAATGGATTTCATTTTCAGCTCCGATGATACGGTTGATATATAAAGAAGATTGTCAAATATGAGTTATAAACCGAATACATTGAAGACCTCAAAACAGTGTAATATTTTTCCAATTTTTAACATAACTGTTCAGATCACTTGTAAATACAACAACAAAAACTCACTTCAATTCTGCGGTCCTGCTAATTTCCCGCCAAATTATAAATCTTAATCAACAGATACGTTTGCAGAATAGTCTGAATGCTGAATATCCACGTCAAATATGTAACGTTAATTTAGGTAAATTGACTTTATAGTACAAATATACAAAGCGATCGATAATTCTATCACTGGTGTCCGAATTGTAAGACTTCCAGGGGCGTCATATCTTTGGCATGACCGAATAACCAATACAGCATTGTCTACGTTTTTAAACAAAAACAAGTGAATAAATTCAGTTGTCTCGCTTTCGGTAAAAACACACAACTTTATCATCTCAATTGCTACTAGTGTTGCTAAAATTAGAACACGGGCAAATTCATGCTCACCTACAATATATATGACGTACACTGGATATTCAAATGGGTATACATTGATGATATAAATTGTTATTTTAACATAAAGTTATTTTTGTTAGATATATACAGTGTAACATTGGCTATTGGTTCATCTTCATAAATCGACCTTCTGTTTTGTTGCAAATGTTTGATTATGAAATGATTTTGCAAAGTAACTAATTGATTACTCAAAGCAGAGACGTATATAACACATTTATATACGTCTCTGCTCAAAGCAGTGACTACATGTACTTCTCAGAGACTAATACCTATATGTTTGGTTGTTCCCAAACTTGTTTTTGTGTTTTTATATTAAATTATCCTGCATTTGAGTCATTAATTAATTAATTTATTTATTTTTCATAGCAGTTACTGTCACTCAAATGTGGGATCATTATACAAAACAGATGTTGGTCCTTGCTAGGTGCCTGGGTATCGTGACTGGTTTATGATATATGTAGGCCTATCCTAGGCATTATATTGTCCTGTCCCGGCTTCCTGAACTCTGTGATATAAGGAGGCACTGGCAGCTGTTGTGATACTTGTGTTTCAAAACATAGGCATCATAGCACTAGCCTAAGGCTGTTCAGCATCTTTATTATTGAATCAGTAATGGAAGAATGCATCATTAGCAAGACACAAAATATAAAAGAAGAGCTATAAGTGAGAAGTCCCTTTATACATGTAATGATATATAAAGAGTGTTTTAACACCTGGACCACAATAAACAAGTTTAGATAAAGTTCATATGGTTTTTTAGAAGTACAATTCAAAACAATTCTAGAGTATAATTCAATTCCAATCTTCTTTTTTCATCAACACCTGATAATTGTAACATGTACAGTTCTCATGACCAGCACCTTAAGTTAACTTTCATCAAGATAAGGTCAAATACATTTTTCTTTACCATTTAACCAGTTTTGCATCCACTATTACAGCCTTTCAGCGGACAGGTAAAAATGGATCTTCATAAAACCTGTTTTTTTTTTTACATTTTTTTTCCTATTGGAAAGGCAAGACAAATTGCCCTGATAATTCTCATATGGATCTGCATGATTATTTAGAAAAACTATATATGATGAATTATTGATGATCATGTGTAATATTGATGGCTATAAGCTAAAGGATCCCTTGGAAAAAAACCCATTCAAATTGTGTACCTGCAAGTCATGAATTAGCAATCAGATGTAATTAGTATGATTAATACCTGTTAACTACAGGGTAATAAAATCTGATGTGTCACAAATAGTAGCCAATAATCAATTTACAAATGATCATCACGTGTAAGTAATTAAAACCTATAAATATAGGTGTGTGAAATGTTATAGCATTATAATCTTTTTCTACTTGAAAGTACCATTACTCTTCAGCTGTTTATATGATATAGCACTGTATGTTTTGTACTTGCAGTAACCAAATGTCAGCCTGTCTGGTATGGATCTTCAAGACCATCCCCTCTATGGAAAAAGGAAGAAAAGAAGACCAGCCTGTGCTAATCCATTGTTTTTACAATGGCTGACAGAATGGAGAGAGGAGGCTGCACAAAAAGGCTTGAAAACACAGTATGTGTATGGCAAGGTATGTTGACCTAGTCGTACTTTGTAAACGGCTTTTCTAATTAAATCTTGTTATAATTCCTCCACTGAATAATTATAAACATTATATGAACAGGATGTTTATTTGGGACCATAATCATCTACATTTTTACATTTCCAATTTGAATTATCAATAGTATTAAATGAATTGATCATGATGATAACTCTATTTCATCCAGGAATTAATTCTCTTCCAGAGTGCATTGAGGTACCCAACATAAAACTTCTACCTCTGGTAACAATTTCAATTTCCTGAAAAACATACCTGGAACACATATGATAAAACCTTACATTAATAGTCACATATCCATCCAATATACTTTTAATTTTACACATGGTTTTTCCACATGGTACGGTGTTAACAAATTATGTAACCTCAAACTATTAAGATAATTTTGTATTCCTGTATATGATGACTGTTATTATTTGTTCTAAGATAAATGAAAATCCATGTTATTTCAGTATATATCACCTATTGACAGTTTGTCACTATTATCTGAATGATGCCTTCATTTGTTGATTACATAATGTCATTATTGATGTACATCTCATGGTTGTTATTTGTAAGGATTGTATAACACATTAATTGGTTTTACAAACTGACAATGTGTGTGATCAACAATCATTTGTTGCTGAATCATTGTTCCGGTGCTGCCATCTTGTTTCTTTATAAATATATTGGACCTTAAGGTCAAATAAGGTAGTTTGCAAGCCATTTATAGAGGTGTAATAAAGCTATAAGGAATGTAGATTGTCAGGAACATGTTAGTGTAGATATTGATATAAAATTTGATTTGGGCTCATCAGTCTTTTCTTCAAAATGAAAATCATAGGTTTAATTGTTGAAATTGTTTGTGAAATGTTGAAAATAATGTTTTGTCTGAAAATTATTTTCATGACCCTATCAATTACAAGTGATAATATTATAGGAAGGGTGCAGGTGGGGACTTGGTTCAGGTAATATTACCCCTTTGGTCAAGGTTCTAGTTGCCCTTGTTACGTAGTAACATTTTTGGTGATGCTTGAATACAGAGTCTAGCTCCAGAAATTGAAGCACATGTAAGTCATTTATGCTTTCAATGCACTTGGTGGATATATGTTTATCTAAATCGTTACAAATCAAGTCAAGACTCGAAAACTAAGTGAAAAAGAAAAGGGGAACAACTCCATAAGCCAGGTTTCCTACCAGTATATTCTACTTTCTTCTGATAGGTGTTTGCCTAGACTGGAAAAGTCATCCCCAAAATCTATGTAACACATCAGGGAAGTTGGTGTAGGGGCCAAGCAAAGAGGAACTTTGTCAGATATTATGTTTTACTATTAATGATAATTGTAAGATGACTTTTTGGTACAGGCAATCAAGTCTTTGAAGAATTATCCTCTACATTTGGCTACAGGAAAAGATTGCAGGATTTTGGAACATTTTGGTAATTAAACATACTTGTAAACATCAAATGTTGTTGAACCATTTTCATTTATCTGACACAGTGACAATTCATATTTTAATATGTTGCTACTTTAAAATCATTTTTTACACTAAACAGATTATAATAAGATTCTAGTTTTGAATTAGATGAAAATAATATATGCATACATTCTGGTACAATCCTTGATAATTGATAAGATTCACATGTCTAATATGTTTAAAATGTTTTTCTAAAGTTATCTGAACTTATTGACATCTATCATCTTCCTTAACAAAGAACTGTAAGTCTAGATGAAAGAGAATAAGATAGCAAAACTCTGCTGGAGGATGTAAGATTGGAATCAGATTATTGAATGCTAACAGTATATCATTTTCTGAGATTAATTCTGTGTGACATTAAGTCAAGATGAAATTAACATTTATTGAAGAACCATTAGGAATCCAACGCCGTTAAGGCTATGTATCTGAAGTGATATGCTTTTTCTCTCTTTAGGTGATAAAACATGCAAGTTGATTGACGAAAAGTTGGCTGAACATATAGAACTGCATGGTAAGTACCCACATCTTGAGTGCAAAGGACATGATTTTTATCACAGTGACTTTGTCTCTGATAGAATTGTTTAGAATATGATATTTTGGAAAAGAGTTAATATCTTGTATTGTCAGAGTGTATTGTCAGAGTACTCTCCATATAATTTCTTTCTTGGTTTTGCTAGGATGTGTGGTCCCACCAGATCCTGCAGATGTCCCAAGAAAAGCACGAAAACTGCAAAAGAAAAGTCAGGCAGCGCCGGGAAACTTGACACAGCCAGCTAACATTTCAAGTCCCACTAGACCTGTAGCCACGGCAGGATCCATTAACCTTACAAATGTAAATGATGATGTGGACTTGACTGTAACACCACCTCCAAAGGTAGAATTCACAGCAAGTCCCTCTCAAAATACTGGTTCTGGTCCAGAATGGACCAGATTTATAGACATCTCGATTTATTCTATCCATAGCATAAAAACTAGAAAATTGCCTTCATCTGTAGAATGTACTTACATCTGATATGAAATGACATTTGATCTCAGAGTCAATACCAAAAATAGGAATGTCACTTTCAATCTTTAAACTAAAATTGTATATTTTAGTATACCTGTCTTTTCTCATATAAAGGAAATTACAAAGTTAGTTGGTTCTGCACTTGACTAATAAAACAGACAGGTTTTTTTTTCTTGAAATCAATTTGCTATTTGATATATACTTTTTTTTCTCTCTCTGAAAACAATCTGTTATTATCATTTGTTTTGTGTCGTTCAGAGATTTGCCCGGCCCCGCAATGAAAGTGGAGAACAAGAGTACGTACCATCTTACAGGTCCGGAGCTTATGCACTCATGCTGGCACTGTACAGAGACACACAGGTAATATGACCTATTCTCCTGATTGTTGAAAATCCAAATTGGACGTAATGACTTAAAAATCCAACTCTTTGAATATGAGACATGGACATAATTTTCACTCCACCATTTCACAAGATTATAACAACAATCGTCTGTTTTGGTGTATTTTTAAACAAGACACTGCATACATTACTGTTTGACAATTTAAGTGAATGATTTGAAGCATCTATGAAACAAAACATGCTAAATTTGGAGTAATTTGTTGATTTCTGGTTGCTGTTACCTGGTATGTCTTGAAATAAGATTTATTCAAAATCAAAGTATCCTAACATTAATATGTAGGTTTGTCAGATATTTTCTTCAAAAACATAACTAGACCAAAATCTGTTATTGATTAATCTTTAAAATCAAGGGATCAGTGCATAAAATTTAGGGCAATTGTTGTAAAATGAACAAAGTTCATAATTTGTACACATTAAATTAAACAGAACTGATGAAGTGCTCCAGCTCATTAGCCACTTGCGTCTATATCATGTATCCATACCATTCATGAAATGGTTAAATCAGACACTGACAGTTGCACCTTTCGTCCATCCTTCTCGAAATTGCAGTTGAAATATAAAACATTTATATACTGATGGAGCCTCTGGATGCCTGCTACCGAACAATACCTGAATATTTCTCGCCAGAAGTGCGAGCTATTTACCTCGCCCTTGAACATATTCAAACAAAGTAATGAGAGCTGTTATCTATTCAGACTCTCTTTCTGTACTATAATGTCTTAGCAATACAAATATTAAAAATATTTCCATTTGTAATACATTAATACTGTATCATGGACTTACCTTTAACTTTTTGTTGGGACCTGGTCACATGGGAATACCAGGCAATGGAAAAACAGATCATACAGCAAAGGCAGCTTTATCACTACCATCTGTTGATTTTAAACTTCATTTTACTGATTTTAAACCATTTATCAATCAATTTTTAATAGCTCAGTGGCAGGAGGAATGGAATCGATATACCGATAATAAATTACACTCCGTAACTTCTATCATTGATGAATGGTCTCCATGCTATAGAGACAACCACCGAGACCAAGTTGTCAATGCCCGTCTTCAAATGGGCCATACATACCTTACACATTCACATATGTTGAAAGGCGAAGATAATCCTTGATGCATAGGATGTGATGAGCCATTTACTGTTTAACTTTTTTATTATTGGCTGCATTGACCTTCTGTCTACTTGAATAATTTTTTATCATAACGTTACAAGTCTAAAGACCCTTTTTGAAACTGTTGAGATTTGTAAAATTCTATGTTATCTGAAAGACGTTGTTCTATATTATAGACTATGACATACCATTTTAATCTTTTGTGATAATATAACCATTTAAGATTTTTAGCATTTGTCTTTTACCTTTTAGTTTGTTTGATGTTATTTCCGTTTTGGATTGCTGTGTATTTCATCAGTTGATGGCCCTAATGACCTTTTATGTGTTGACGGGCGGTTAAGATTGTAATAATAATGATAACAATTATTTGGAACAAGGAACATTTATCGACTATCCAATAGGGTGAGAAAGAGGTATCTCGGCTGGGAAGATCATTAAGTTGGCAAACATTAGGCTTGCCGAGTGTTTGAAGCATCATGATCTTTCCCAGGTTGTCTTCGTGTAATCCTGATTGAAGTGCCAACAGAAACTTATTTCAGAACGTTTTTAAAGAGTCACCTGTGAAAATTGACAACAGGTAGGTACATCATCATTTTTAAACAAAGCACAACTTTAAAACCAGCATCCTGTGAATTTCATTGTGTTTTATTAGAAGCATTCCTGTTTACATATATTAACAAATATTACTTATAAAACAGTCACATATTCATGGTTCAATGTTTGAAAGTTATACAAACGATCTGGAAACAAAAATCATAACTGAACATGATTTTGCCTCTCTGTTTGGTCATGTACAATACCTCCTTCAGGAAAACAACCAGGGTGGCTGCACCCCAGGAAAACATACCCGCAGGGTGTCCATACACAAGGAAATACAGACCAGGAGAAATAAGGCACTCACTACTCTTAGAGATGCATCACTTAAGAGGCAACTGAGACTGGAGTTTAAAACTAATGGGTATTTACATTTAACTAGAATCTTGTGATGCCGAAAGTGTTGATTTTATTTGCTATTAAATACAAATTACACAGATGTCAATAAGACAATGATTGTAACAAAATATTTCACAATTAGAAAATTTACAAAATATTTTCATAGAGAAATAGCTTCTGGATTTTGAGGAATTAATATCACTAAAGTTGGAGTTTAGCAATGACAAACTGATCTAAGATAATGTTACATACAAAATGAACATACTTTTTTTCTGCAGCCCACTTTATTCACTTGAGTATTTATAATATTATAATTCTATTAACTTATGCTTAAAATTTGCATCACTTAAGAGGCAACTGAGACTGGAGTTTAAAGCTAATGGGTATTTACATTTAACTAAAATCGTGTGATTTGTGTCCAATAAAAAAATTTCTGTGAGTATTTATCAGTTTCACTGATATTCTTGGTTTTTATTTAACAATAACTTAAACAGAACAATGACATAAACAATCATTCTTTACAGAGAATTAGCTTTGGAAAAAAGAGAAAGAACTCCAAATGAGGACAACATGAAGCCTGCTGACCCTCCCTGTGATACTTTAAAAGCATCTGCTGTTTCTGCTACAACAGATATCTACTTTGATTTGGAGACAACAGGCCTTGGTAATTGCAACATTCAGAACTTCTATAAGTTATTTTTACGTCCAAGCCAGCCATATTTTAAATGTATACCTTGGTTTAGGTGTAAATTATCTACCTTTCTTGTTCTGGTGTAGACAGAAGAGTTTTGACACAGTGTATATATTTTGATGTTACAGGTAGAACGTCTAGTATTACCCAGATGGCAGCTGTGAGAGGGAAGGATCAATTTTCATGCTTTGTTATACCAAAAAAACGAATGACAAGGGAGGCTTCAGCAGTCACTGGGATCCGGATGTTCAAGAAGAAAATGTATCGCTATGGAAAGTTTGTGAAAGCAGTATCTCTAAGTGATGCCTTTAAGCAGTTATATGGATTTCTGAGTAAGACACAAGATAATATACTGATTGGACATAACATCCAGACATATGACTGTCCTATACTAATACATGCCCTATCATCCTGTGACAAGGATATGACTGAACAATTCTTGGTTCATGTCAAGGGATTTCTGGATACCAAGAAACTATTTCGTATCATTCATCCATCTCAGAAATCCTACACACAAGAGTCTCTTGTTGAAAGCCTGCTGGGTGAGAAGTACAAGGCCCATGATGCACTTCAGGATGTTGTAGCTCTTCAAAGGTTGGTACGGTCTGTGGACTTTGATGAGGAAGCTCGACAGAAAGCTTCCTTTTCTGTCGAAGACATTATGGATTCATATACCCACTCATTACAAGTCAAGCAGAATTTTCCAAGTCTAGAAACAATGGTGAACAAAAAAGTTATTTCATCTAATGTAGCAAAAAATATCGCTGGCAGTGGTTTGACCTACAGTGACTTAAAAACGGAACATAACAATAAAGGACGAGAAGGAATTGAAAGTATGTTCACTGCCACAAAGGATGGACACAGAATGTGTGTAACCAGATCAAGAAAGATAATTGACTCGGTATCAGACTTTTTGTCAGCAGAACATAATAAATAGTCTCTTCATTGTCTTAGAGTATGATTCAGGGGCTGTGAAATGTTGTGAAAAATTACTCAGAAAGACTTGACACTTATACTCTGTAATAGGATGGTTATGAGAGAATGTATATGCTGCAATCAGGAAATAATGGCTGTATATATAAAAGACAATAGATTTTTTTACCCAACTCCACATGTCAGTGCTTTAATTATCAAAGAATATTTTTTACATAGCTATATGCATGTATTTCAAGGGTTTTACAGACCCTGACTAATGCTGTTTGGTAGAATTCCTTGAGTCAGAGATTGTATGATGGCCCTGTGGGCATAATGCCAGATAGATATGTTAAAGGAATATTCCAGACAAGTTTGGATTTCTTTAGAGACTGTTGTATAAATAATGTACATAGTTTCTTCATATGTTCCCAATAGAAACTGTATGCTTCTTCCACACAAAAATCAGATAATGATATTTAGTTTCTAGAAATTAAATATAGATCTAGTTAGATCAATTTACAAATGATCCTGATTGTGTCCTAACCTGTTTGCACCTTTGTAATGCACTGCAAACAAATATGACAGTGTATTATATATTACAAGTAATATATATATGTTGAAAGTAAATTAAATGGCAGATTTTTTTTAAATTTGAATTTTGTCAAAACTATTTAGAAATAGCCTCAAGCAGTCTGCAACTTGTTTGGTATATCCTTTAACAGTTCCACCAGAGAAGTGTAAGATCTTGTGAGACACTGACAACAAATCTTATGATATGGTATTGTGTATTCATCTTTGTATAGTCTGTCAATTTGATCGCATGTTTGTCTGGTGTAAGGAAATATTCTGTTTCCATGTGAATTCCAGTTTAAATAAATATATCTCTTGACTTCAGCTAGGATGAGTTTTGCACTTGAAAAAAAAACATCATAATATTTTCGTCAGTGTGTGACATATATTAATGTGGATTCTTCCTCAAAATGCTTTGACTGAATATTCACATGGCATCTAGAAAGATTGAAAACATTTCTGTATGAATTACTCTTATACTTAACTAGTCAATTAATTGTTAATGTATAGGTAATGAACAAATAGATGTGTGTGTATTCTGAAGCCTCCAATTAAAGTATATGTATATTAACAAGATAAAGTAAAGCTTAATGACTATTTACATAAAAATAAAAATTCAGTTTCATTTTTGTACATATATTAAAGTTAGGTAATGGTGATACTTGAATTAGATGTTGAAGAGAAAATTGGACTTAAAAATTAGGTGAAATGTACTAAGCACTTGTACTGGATGCTAATTATTTTGGTGAGAAATGATTGGTAAACAAATGTCTCTAAAAAGTATGACAAATGATCAATATTTTTTGAAGCTGTGAAAATAAAACAAAAGTGTTCCATTTAATTTGGTATCTGTTTTCTATATTTTTCCTTTTTAACATATACATATTCAAAATACAATGTACTGGACAACATACATTTGATGGGTTACAGGGAAAAAAAGCAAGCACATTAAATTAACTTGGGAGGTGGGGTTCAGAGAGGCATTTTGTTTATACATGTAATTAAGTGGAAGTGTTTGGGGTTGAATGATTATTAAATTAAATTACTTGAAAATGAAAACAATTAGTGATAAAGATCACTAAATAATAAAATTGTCAGCCTCATGTCAAAGATTTGTGAGAAATGTCAACAACAACATGATTCTACACTTTATGTATTGCAGCAAGAACATTGATTGGGGCGTAGATATATTATTATAACAGTAACAGATTTATTGACACCTGGACATTTTTATCACAGGATCCTTGTAGCAGAGGTTACCTGTCCAAGTTAGATCTCATCAGGAAGGCTCAACCCCTGGCAGATAAATCTTTTACAGTTGTAAGTTACATGTTCAAGTTGTTCATTGTCTAATCCTGAAAACTATAATGTTGGAGGACTTGAGTTGATAGCATGTTATAAAACCTACAAGATGGAATCAAATTGTATGCATAGGTAAACCTCCAGGTGGAGTGTTACAGGAAACTGCTGAACAAAATTATGATTTGTAAGAAAATTTCAGTTATTCTATTCAAGTACAGTACACTGTTTTGTATTGTTACAGATACAGTTAAGAAATAAGAAATATTCTGTAACAGAGTTTTATAACTGATGTTTTCTGTTCCTATCTAGCCAGATGCAGGTTGTCGGTATACATCCTGGTCCTCCATGGGTACTCTCATCAAAAGGGCTCTTGTCATTAAGGAAAGTAATCCAGCCAAGTAAGTGTTTGTTTCTTGTTGATCAACTATGGTCAGTGAAATCTGAAAAAGTTTCTAGAACTCAATCAAATTATACACTGATTTCAATACTCTGTGTTTTATCATATGATTAACAATGCACTGTACCATGTTACACTGCTTATGCTGCCTCTGTACAATGCATCACTTTTTTCTACAGGTACCGTATCACAGATGCTGGGTGTGAACTGGCACACAAACTAGAAATGGTAGGAGCAGATGGTCACATGTCCACAACAGAAGACCACACACAAAGCTGTGCTCCTAGAGATGTGTTTTCATTGGGCAGTCCTGTCAGTCTCTCTGACCAGCACATCAGTCAGGGGAGAAATGTCAAGTAAGGCAAAATTAGAAAACATCTCTCTGAATAGTCAGACATGTTTATCAGTGTAAATTATTTAATTAAATTAAACTATAGATAAAATTTCACTAACTCTCTCAAGGTGGTGTGATAGAAAAAGAGCCTTTTTTTCTCAATAATAGGCCATAAGTGAGGTGTACAGAGAGAAATTTTTTAAACGAGAGAAAAGATAAAGATGTGGTTTATCATTATAATGTAATGTTATACAGTAACATCATACCAGCAGGTAAAATCATTATTTGATTATTAAATCCCTACATACAATATAAAATCTTGACTAATTCAGTGTTTCTCCTCAGATCAAGCTTTGAGTTTATGTATGTGGATGAAGCTGATAATCCAGTTCTGACAAAGGATAAAGCACAAGTTCTTGTTGATGGTAGGTTTCATATTGTTTTGTCTAATCTGAAATTTCATTGTTTCCTTTAGAACCTATTTTCAAATTATTTGAGTGCTACATCAATGTCAGATAGTTACTCTACATTTTCTGCATGATCTCTTGTTTCACAGGGCTTAGTCTGTAGTCACTTCTTACTCACATCAGCAATGACTGAGATTGAGACATAGCTGGTCAGTGATAATCTTTGTTACTGAAAACCTGTCAGTGATACTCTTTGTTACAGATAACCTGTCAGTGATACTCTTTGTTACAGATAACCTGTCAGTGATGCTCTTTGTTACAGATAACCTGTCAGTGATGCTCTTTGTTACAGATAACCTGTCAGTGTTGCTCTTTGTTACAGATAACCTGTCAGTGATAATCTTTGTTACAGATGATTTTGGTATTGGGTTTTTAGTGCACTGTGACTACCATGGATTACTGACTAGTGGTAAACTTTATAAACTGGACATGGGCAGGTTAGTATAATACATGGATAACAAAGTGTGTAACATTGTAGGTTTTAGATATATGAGTGACAATGTGAATATTATTCTAGACCTACAGGTAACAAAGTGTATAAAATTGTAGATTTTAGACTTATCAGTGACAATGTTAATATTGTTGTAGACCTACAGCTAACAAAGTGTATAAAATTGTAGATTTTAGACTTATCAGTGACAATGTTAATATTGTTGTAGACCTATGAGTGACAAAGTGTTTAAAATTTTAGATTTTAGACTTATCAGTGACAATGTTAATATTGTTATAGATCTACAGGTAATAAAGTGTAACAGTGTAGATTTTAGACTTATCAGTGACAATGTGAATATTGTTATAGACCTACAGGTAATAAAGTGTAACAGTGTAGATTTTAGACTTATCAGTGACAATGTGAATATTGTTGTAGACCTATGAGTGACAAAGTGTATACTTATCTCCATGACAATGATGCCCCAGACCGGGCTGTTGTATCCTCACCAAGACTGCCATCCCTACATAAATCTGACAATGAAGAGGGAGAGAATAATCTGATATCTTACCGTCAAGGAATTCCAAAGTTAGCCTCATTAGACGAAGAACCTATGACCAGACAGGCTGCACCAAGCGTTGTGTACTCTTGTACTAGCCAGGATACTGACTCTACTTCTGTTACCACAGGTATGCTGAGAGTCAAGAAAACTTCAAAAACGATTAATAGGTACACCGTATGTACAGGATATACACTTATCTGTCACAGTCCATGAATGATAAATCATTAAATTCAACTTTAGATATTTAAAATTAAAATTATTCTTGTTTGCTTGAAGGGAAAAAATAAATTACTCTAGAATTACCCATGTTGTTTGATAGGTTCCAAATCTCTTAATGTCCTGTCAGGGCATCACAGCCAGCTTGGTGAAACAAAATCGTACCACCCAATGATCTTATGATAAATCATACACTTGATGCATCTTCCTTCAATATACTCATATATCCTGTCTGATAGCATTGATCTGCCTTGTTTTAGTATTTATAGTTGTCATAACTGACAGAGCTCAGGCCAACATTATATTGTGTTCCTTACATATCTGATGGATAACATCTATATGAGGATATTTCTGCCCAGTCACAATGATGTTAACTGTCTTATGTGACATGACTGTGTTATTTGAACAGCTCAATTTCATGGTAATGTTATAACAGCTGGCTTTTCCATTCATATTGAGTTATCATTTTATTATATTGTTTGTACTCACATGAAATTTTGACTAGAATATTATCTGTGCTTTACTTGACCTGTAGACATTCAGAGGTTGTGCTGGTGATGTTCTTTAATTGGAAGATGTACTTCTTTTGTAATATATTTGTTAACTCACCTGCCTAGAGGGCAAGTGAGTTATGCCATGGCATGTTGTCATCTGGCATCTACTTTTCCCTTAAAACAACTTCTCAAAAGCAAAAGTGCCCTGAGTACTGATATTACATCGATTTCTAAGACAAAAAGCTTTCAAATTTGTTCAAATGAGTGACCTTGACCCACTTTGGTCACAAGGGTTAATTGTATTGAAAGTAAAATTTGAATAAGTGCTGATATTGGGATGAAGGGCTAGAAAGTTTGTTTAGATGACCCACATTCATGGTCATAGGAGTTTAATGTGTTCTAGTATTTAAACAACTTTTTCTCAGTGACTAGCCAGTAAGTGGCTATTGGTCAAGGTTTTTTTTCTGATAACATGGTATTCTGACAAAAGTTGTAGTAATGCTGTTTATTGTCTGCAACCATTCTCCTGACAAACTTAGTGCTGATGATCTGTGCTTTGATTTATGAACTTGGAACTTCTTTTATGTTTGATGATTTTAAACTTAATTATCATGAGAGTGAGAATGAAACATAATTGTTTTAGACTTACAATTCTTGTTTAAACAAGGTGTCAATTTCTTGTAGTTGACAATACCAAGGGAAGGAAAGTAAAACCCAAGGCAAGAAGTAAACCTATCAAGTCATCGCCTGTACAACTGTCTGCAGGTGCTTCCTGTTCCCATCTGCCTAGCCTCATTGACAAGCTGTCTGACTGTACAGAATCCAGTACCATGGCAACACTATCAAACTCCCAGGAGTCCCAGGAGTCCATCCCCTCTATCAGCTCAGCGTCATCTGTGTCCAGTCTACCGCGACCAGATTTTATCCTCACCCCAGGAAACTTTGATGTCATTCTCTGTATAGACAACCAAGAGTTCTACGGTGGAGGGTAAAGAATTCCAGTTTACTGCATTTTACTGCAATCCCCCAAAAGCAATCAGTCAGATATTGAAATAGATTGTAAAAAATCTAGAAACTGAAAATGAGCCTTATTTGAAAAATCCTATGTATGGTTTTGTCTCTATGCTTCAATTCAGGTTGAATTTATTGTTTATTGAAATCCAGTTCTTTTGTTAATACATAGTGTGGCTTTATCAGATTACTTTTCAAATGTTGAATACTTTGTATTAACTTCATTTAAAAACGATGAACCAGGGCTATCATTCTGTAAGTATTCATTATTATTGATATAAACAGCAAAATATGGATAAACCCGGAAAGAAAAATGCTTTCTGCAATCAGACTCAATTTCATCTTTTACAAATTTTGAAAATTGACTTATATGATATCAATTTAAAAACTTCAAACTTCACTAGGCTTAAAATTTCACAATTTCTGTTATGTGTAAGTCAATATTTCTTTCTTTTTGATATGCAGGAAAAAAGGAAGTAAGACTTTACTCCCAGATTTGATGAAAAATGGGGTAAACTGTGACCTGCGGAAACTTCAAGTAGGCGATCTGCTGTGGATAGCAAGAGAGAGAACAGGTGTGGTTATAGGTGTTTGTATGTGGTTCTGATATTACTTAGCACAATATATAGATAGCAGTAAATATATTGACGATAATTTGTTCTAGTTCTGATGTCATACCTTATAAATGTATTTTAGACATTTTATACTGTTGAAATAGGTAATGTGCTTCATGAAGAAGTGTTACTTAAATGAAACACATTATAGAAAGTTGTAACAGATGTATAACCAGGAAATCAGAAACTGTAAACATGAACTATAGAAAGTAGTAATGTTTTAGCAACGTGCTATAAATCAAAGAATATTTATCATTTTAATATGACCTCATGTTATGAACAGGAAATGGGCTAAAATAGATAATGTACTTAACAGTGGTGGCAAAAATGGTAAGATAATCTGGAATCTGAAATGTATTTAAGCAATGCATGGAAATAAGGGCACTTATAATTGTTTACCTACTATGTTGATACAGTAATAGTTTGATGTTTAACAGATTACCTCTCACTACAGAAAGATGAAAACAATAATGTTAGGTTATCTCATCAGTCATAACCAGTTGTCTGGAATATACATTACAGTTATCATGATATACATGTTCGTCCATGTGAAACAACATTAGATCTAAAATGTCAGATGGATATAGAATGATGAGTGATGGATGAATCTCCTACGTGGGAATGCCAACTATACTTTCTTGTTTTATGTTTAGCCCACCATTATCATATGGTGGACTGTTCAAATTGCTCTTCATTTGTAGTCCTTAATCTGTCTGTCTATCCTTAAACAATTTTTGTTATTACTATTTCTGGAGAAGTACTTATCAGTCTTTTTCGAACCAGTTTGACAGGTTGCAGGACTTTTATACCACGAGATGCCCATGCACGTTTCCAAGCAACGCTTGCACAAAAATGTCTGCTACTTCCTTTGATACAACAACTTGAAGATATTATTTGCTTGGATGGAGCATTCTAAAAAATATGCTCCCCTAAAATTTTTGAGGGAGCATATAGTCGCCACCTTGTTTGTCTGTCCATCCCTTCATGTCCGGAGCATAACTTTGCATGAAGTTAAGCAAGGATCATGAAAATTGATGTATACATTGACCATACTAAGGGGATGTGCAATGTACCAAATTCAGGTCCTGCAATCCCTTCATTACAGAATTATTGCTATTTGTTAAAATTTGTGTCCAATAAAGATGTTTTCGGGGAATTTTCATCTGTTTCACTGATACTCTTGTTTTATTAGCTGACCCTGTCCAAAGGACCAAGTGAGGTATAGGGATACCACAGGGTCTGTCGTCTGTCAACTTTTACTATATATTGTAACTATTCATGAACGAATGTGTGGATTTTACCAAATTTGCTCTGAAGCATCCTTGGAGAAGAGAGATAAGTTTTGTATAAACAGTGGGTGTTGGCCCCCTGGGACCAGATAGGCAGGGCCCAATAGGGAAAATCTATCAATTTCTTTAAAATCTATGTTGTTCTGCAGGAATTGCAGGATATTGTCCAAAATTGGTCTGAAGCAGGAAAATCAGTTTTGTATAAAGCATGGGTTTTGGCCTCCTGGGCCAGATAGGCAGGGCATAACTGGGAAAATCTAATCTTCAAATCAATTTAGTTCATATTCTTATAATTGCTTTGCACCATTAACAATTCATTTTGATCTTTGGTTCTTTGAAACAGTTGTGATCCCCACTGAATAACTATAGCATTGCTGAGCATCAGGAGATAAATACAATCATAAATGATAATTTGTCCTGGGGTTCGGTCCCAATTCAGGACTGATTATACTTTTGAAGCCATTGAGATTACCATCCCATAACTTAATTGCATTGCTGGACATCATCATTGCTGGTCTCTGCCCCCACCCCTAGGGAATTTGAAGCTGTATCTATTGGGTGAAATATATAAAGTTTTCATTATTGACTTAAATTAGGTGAGTGATACAGGCCCTCTTTGCCTCTTGTTTTTATCACAATATGGAAATTTTTCAACTTACATCGTCGGCTTTAAAGAACAAATAAAGATCAAACAATGTTGGATGCCAAGATCTCTCTGGAATCTCTTGTTTAGCTGTAGAACTATTTGAATCTGGAAAGAAAAGGTTAGAGGGCATTATTAATCAGCTAAGAAATCATTGAGAAATTGGCAAGAATCTTTGATAGCGATAAAATATCATTCATTCTTTTTCTGGTTTTTGATGTTAAATGAATAGCTCAGTACATTAATCTGATTGCTGTAGGTGAGGTGAACCAGGGTAAAGGGAGAGAACTTGTGTTGGACTATGTGGTGGAAAGGAAGCGAATGGATGACTTGGTCCACAGCTGTATTGATGGCAGACTTCCAGATCAAAAGGTGACACTGGTCTTTTAGGACAGATGCGACAATCTGAAGATTTCTTATTATAATCTTTTATACCCGCCACAACAATGTTTGGGAAGTATGGGGGAATCACTCAGTCTAGATGTCTAGATATGTTGTCCAGAGAACTCCTCTTATACTGGTGAACCAATTTTAATAAAACAAATATCAATATAAAGGACCATATGTAGATGTGCATGTAACTCTTTTCTCTCTGCAAAAATCAAGGTCACTGGATCCGAGGTCAAGGTCAAATTTTGTATCTTTTCACAGATGCATATTTTTTTACGACAGTATAAAGCAAAATTATTCGGAAATAAACAAGGAGTCAACAAGTTAAAAGTCAAGGTCACCGTGGCAAATGTCAGTACTTCTTATATATTTACTCATTTCTATAGCTCCTGCTATGAAATCTAGCAGCCCGAATGTATGGGTAACAATTCTAGTTGGATTTTATTTTCAAATATTTCATCTATCCTCCCATTGTAATGTAGAAAGACTGCAATGTGTTGTGAGCGTATAACACCATTTGGTCATGTGACCACATTGTGTCATTGATATCCTTTATTTGTGATTAATAAACACTTTCTAATGAAGTCCTGATATATATTATGTGTATTAGATTATAAAAATGTAAACTTTTTATTACTTTGTAGTTTCGGTTGAAACATTGTGGAATCAATAATGCCATATTTCTGATAGAGATGCATGGCTCAATGCAACACTACAGTATAGCTGAGGACAGAATAAAACAGACAATTACAAACTTACAGGTCAGTAAAGGATCCATACAGATCAGTAAAGGATCAATACAGGTCAGTAAAGGATCAATACAGATCAGTAAAGGATCAATACAGATCAGTAAAGGATCAATACAGGTCAGTAAAGGATCAATACAGATCAGTAAATGATCAATACAGATCAGTAAAGGATCAATACAGGTCAGTAAAGGATCAATACAGGTCAGTAAAGGATCAATACAGATCAGTAAAGGATCAATACAAATCAGTAAAGGATCAATACAGGTTAGTAAAGGATCAATACAGGTCAGTAAAGGATCAATACAGGTCAGTAAAGGATCAATACAGGTCAGTAAATGATCAATACAGGTCAGTAAAGGATCAATACAGGTCAGTAAAGGATCAATACAGGTAAGGTAAAGGATCAATACAGGTCAGTAAAGGATCAATACAGGTTGGGTAAAGGATCAATACAGGTTGGGTAAAGGATCAATACAGGTTGGGTAAAGGATCAATACAGGTCAGTAAAGGATCAATACAGGTTGGGTAAAGGATCAATATAGGTTGGGTAAAGGATCAATACAGGTCAGTAAATAAAGGATCAATACAGGTCAGTAAACGATCAATACAGGTCAGTAAACGATCAATACAGGTCAGTAAACGATCAATACATGTAAATAAAGGATCAATACAGGTCAGTAAAGGGGTCAGTAAACGATCAACACAGGTCAGTAAACGATTAATACAGGTCAGTAAATAGATTTTTTTTAGATATTTTGCTCTTTGCACCTGGTGAAATTGGTTCAACGTCTCAGATGTTATGAAACATTTTTTCTGTGCTTTCAGATTATTGATGGATTTCAAATAAAACGGACAGGCAACACAAAAGAATCTGTGTCCTATCTTACCATGATGACACGATACATCCATAGTTGCTATAGGGTGAGTGGCTAATAACCAGTACAGTGTTTGTTAATTCTAACTTCCTGTTATTGCTTCTTCATCAGATTTATATTTTTTATATTTTTTGTTTAAAGTGTCGTATTTTGTAATTTTTTGAAATTGATTATATCCATAAAGAAATTGATACATGATATTTATACTAAAACAGCCACTGAAAGTTAATGTTTCACTTGATCTACACTGGAAACTGAGTTACAACATAGGACCTGAAATATCTAGTTATCTGAAGATAAACTGATATATGTTTGCTATATTTCAGAACAAGACCTTGTACGCTACCAGTCCAGATGACCTTCCAGTGAAAGGTCACATCAATGATGCAGAACAAAGACTTCTTACTTTTGAACAGTTTAATCTGGGATCTGTCAAATCCAAGGTGAATCTGTGGTTAGTTATATATGGAGGGGTGGGCCCAGTAAAATGGACGCAGTAACATAGAATGAAAACTATGTCTAAATCATCGTAAAAATCATAAACCTTTTACAATGCCATGCTGCAATCTGTTTAGATTATGTACAATGATATATGAAGGTAATTCAGCAATAAATAGGCCTACATACAAGCAATGTTCTTGTTGGACATCCTGATCAGTATTTTTTTTTTTTTTTTTTCTGTATTCCTTTATCACTAGCTGTTAAGACCAAAACAAAACAAAGACATTGAAAACAATAGGATGAACAATATCATTTTCTTCGCTTTAATGTGCCTTGTGATCAGTCTATATGGGATTCTGTAATTTCTAGACATCTTACAAATACACCTGCATCATTCCGCAGGATGTAATGTCAGTCATTGTAAATTAGGGGTTTATGTGTTATCCTAAATATATACAAAATTAATTCATGAAATTTTCAGATTTTTATTGCAAGGTGAAGCAAAGAAGGTCTTTTATCATTGTTTGTCTCACTGTTTATTTTAGATATGATCAGAATTATAATGTGGGTGTGTCATTCCACAAAACAGCACTTTATGATGCTTAAACACAAAGACTTCTTGCATATGTTGTTTGGTGAAATTGTCGTTTTTTTTAGATAAATACAAGACTTCACATATGTTAGAAATGTCTCTTTACAGGCGCTGACTGTCAGAGAAATGTTTGGGAAACAGTTAATTCAGTTAAATGGCATGTCGGCCGAGAAGGCTAAAGCTGTCACTGACAAATATCCCACACCATCAGAGTAAGTTAGCTTCTAGTACATTGACAACATTACCATATACATGTATCTTACTCTTTTGTCACCCATGGTTACCAGTTTTGATAAGAATGCTTTGATTGCTGTACACCTATTTAAATGGGCCTCATGCCATGTGAAAAAATAAGCCTCTTAACTTACAAAGGTGTTACAAAGAACCAGTTGGCTTATGCCATGATGTGTTGTCCATCAACTTTTTACGTGAATGATACTAGTTCACATCAACTTTTTACGTGAATGATACTAGTTCACATCAACTTTTTACGTGAATGATACTAGTTCACATCAACTTTTTACGTGAATGATACTAGTTCACATCAACTTTTTACATGACTGATACTAGTTCAGAATGCCTGATTGGATTTGACAAACAAGGTTAAAAACAAGGGTTTTATCCCTTTTGAGGGCAGAGGTGAGGAACCAATTAAGGGCTGTTCTGATCATTGAATTTTTTTTTTTTTTTTTTTTTACTAAATTTGGTTTAGACCCTTATAAGGTAAAGGGGAGGGAATCTTATATAAATGTGGGGGTGGGGGGTGCTAGTCCCCTTGGGATATATAAAGATAGGTCAAACAGGGGAAAATGCAGAAGTTAGAAATGATAAATGGTTTATATATTCTACCTTGTTTTGAAATTTTGACTTCTGTGAAAATATTTTACGGGTACTTAATAAACGTTTAGAAAATATCTACTTCTTGATGTATCCACAGTATTTTGGAGGCATATGGCAACTGTCACAGTATTAAGGAAAAGGAAAACCTGCTTAGTAGCATAAAGTCTGGAAAGGCCATGAGGTGAGTACAATACAAGGTGTTTGTATAACCTTATTTGTTCATATAAAGACAAACTACATCAATAAGATTTTTTATAGTTTTGATTATTAGAAGTTAAAAACATTAAGATTTGAAGCTTTCACTCTATGTACTCTGTTATTATTCTTCTACAGAAATCTTGGACAAAGTTTGAGCAAGCAAATATGCCAGTTGTACTGTACTCAGCAAGCTCTTACATGACAGTACAGTAAGCCCAGCCATCTAAGCTTTCAATGTACTATGGAGATGATGCAGATTTCAATGACGTAGGATGGGAACTCTGTAAAGACCTGAAAAAGCAAAATTGTGAAGAAATGAAACTGTTTGTACCACCCATCAGCAAGTTCAGAAGATGGAGGATGAGTTTGTTAACTTGATACCAACATGAAAAACTGTGCCAAGCATTGCAGAAATTGCACGATATTTTACACAGATAATTGATGCATGACATAGTAGTTATTATGACTTGATAAAATTGATTGCTGAGTGTTCATTAGATTCCACTTATTGTGGAAATCCTTTATTTTGTTTGTGTTAATTTTGTAGCACACTCATTTATACATGATAAAAAAATTATCAAAACTTTTGCTCATTGTGTAACTATAAAATTTTCTCATTTTGTTCAAACACTTCATTGTCAGAATTGTAATATCTTGGATCTTAAGTTATTGGTACAATTTATGTTTTATAATCACTGTGTTCCTATGTTTTAACTCATTCATTATTTTAATGCCTTGGTTATTCTATTTTAAGGGTGGACATGTATACCAGTGATAACATCATATATTATGGGGAATCATTACTTTGATTACATGCTCACATGCACCAGAGTCGATACAATTACATTGATTATATACACAATAGTTGTTAATCTACTATAATGAGATAAGAGAGATAATCCTTACCATGTTCCATTCAGTTATTACCTCCCCTGTACATTCACTCTTACTCTTTTGAAGATAACTTTGTCGAGAGAAGTGTGTGAATAAAATGGTGGATAAAATGAGTATGCTTGTCACAGTGTTATAAGTGCATTAACAATAGTTTGGGTTATCATTATTAGGTTATCATATCAGTATAATTTGTTTCACTTTACCCTTCCTCAATACCTGGTCTTATCAGTCTTCCAGTGGGAACAGGAGGGACTTGGGGTATTGGTTCACTTGGTGAGGCTATACGTCTAGATCTAGATTTTTGTTTTATTAAAGAGAGAGAGAAAAAGTTTGATATGGGTATATATTGTTGTACAGAAATTGTATATTAGTGAAGTTTCATTAATATACAACAATATAGTCTTGTCAGATTTACAGTTGGAAAAGAGATGGGGCTGACATTTTGTATTTCAATATATTGATAATAGTTGACCACCCATTTACTTAATGAAAATGCTTCTCCCAAAACTTACATTTATTAATTACTTAATGAAGTTTCTTTTTTCCATATAATAACTCAGGTTACTTACAGCCATCTTTAATGTCACTCTGATATATATATATCTATAAGAAATATAGATGATCATCATTTGACCTTAACTGTCTTGTTGGATATTTTTATTTTGGTTTGAAGAAATACAGTTCACAGCAACATATTCATGTATGTAGACTATCTAGCTAACTACACTATGATATGGAGTACATTATGTATGTATTGGCAACTACATTGCTGTACATCTGTCGTGTCTGTTCACATAAGTATACTACTTAGCTCTTCGTATTTATTTGATCTACAGTAGTCTTAGATGAACACTTGGTTCATCTTTGTAAATTCACTGTCTGTGTCTGCGTTTTTAGCACATTGTCATCAGAGGATGGACTATTCTAATTGCCTTCAGTCTGTTGTCTGCCTGTAAACAATTCTTGTCATTTCTATTTCTGTAGAAATACTGGATGGATCTTCTCACTTTCATATGTAGACTCCCATTGGTCCCTAGTCGTGCCCCAAAAATGGTTGGCAAGCAACCATCTTGGAAAGATTGCCATTTGAAAGATTGTTGTCAATATTTCTTGAGAAGTACTCAATGCACCATTCTCCAATACCATATTAAGTTACTCTTAGTCCTCAGATGTGCTCATTTTGATTTTTGGACTGATTAGAAAAACAAAATGGCCAACAGGCAGCCATCTTAGATTTGAAAGGTAAAAATTATTATTGCTATTTCTCAAAAAGAATTTTCAAATTTCATATAATTTAGAGCAAGAATGGAGGAAATTATGGAAAATATCCAACTTTTAAAGAACAAATAAAGGCCAAACAATTGTGAGTGCCAAGATCCCATAGGATCCCTATTTGATATCTTGTTAATTATATGAGACATGTATATGTGTCTTAAGAGATATACAAAATAAATTATACAATGTATAACAGCAAATATCAGTTATATATTAAAACTGATCAACAGTTAAGCAATAAATACATAAAGATCATATTGGTGAATCTTGTTTTTGTTTATAACAATGATTTCATGGTTTGTATTGGAAAGCTCTGTAGATACAAGCAGTAGTTTTGGCATATTTTCAATGCAAAGATAGCATTCAAATTATGATCAGGTTGACTCAATTATTAATGAAACAAGGCCTACAGGTATATCCTTTTGAAGAGACAAAGTTACATATTAGAAAGAAATATGGGCAAACCTAAACCCAGAAGTAACCGGGCAGAAACAATGACAAAATTGATGTCTTAAGCCCTATTCCAGGTTGAAAGAATTTTCATTGGAGGACCAATGCTCTGATTAACAATTAACAGCAATGTAACACGTTCAGCAATATGTTTAAAGACAAAGAACACTCTTATAAAGGACATTTTTTTAAAATTAGCTCACTGTGGTCTGTGTAGTGGAGTGTCGGAGAAAAGTGTCCTAAGGAATAGAAAGACAGAACGAAGAGGAAAAGAAATAATTTAACAATTTGAATCCAAGATATTTTAACTTGAATGTTTGCCCAGTTTGAAATATGAAGAAAAGTACAATAACAATATTATACAAGAAAAAAAGAACAGGTCAGATAAACTCATCTTGGTTATCTAGAAAAGGAAAAGACTTGGCTATTTTTGTGATCCCAGAACAGTGTGAATGGGATAGAAATTAGAAGATATAAAGTAATGCAGCGATAAGAAATTCAAAAAGGTATTTAGACTGGAACTCATCAGTGGAAAATAAAACTATAGTATTAATGCAAACTCATCCTTCTTATCCAGACTCATTGAAAACAGAAAATAATATTCAGGACCATACAGAACACCAGAAACTATTCCTAAGTATTTGTGAGAAATGACAAAATGTGAAAATGAAAAACTGATGTCGTTTAGTGTACGATATCATGTTAGAATAATTGATCAAACATATTGAATTCTAAAATTATATAAAGTACATAATAAATAAGTGAGCCAAAACAGATATGATATAGACCTAGATGAAATTAATGCCGGTGTGCATTAATACTTATTGAAAAAATGCTGCTAAATCCATTAAAGGCTTCAAATTGTGCCAACCGCACACCTCTGATATTCACCTGTGCTACGAAAGTAAAGTGTGTAGTTCAATCCTTACTTAGGTCATTATGTATTTCTCTACTTAGTTACCAAATACAAATACAATTTTATTTTATCACAGTAATCGTGAAACTACATGTATTCATCAACGGAAATAACCAAGGCCATAATACAACAAATTTATGAGAACAAACAAGTAATTCAGTAGAGATCTATTTTTCATAGTTTCACCAGAGACGTATATATCACGTATATACGTCTCGTTTCACCTCCCAAACATTACTAAAACACAACAAAGAACAAAAAAAATGGGCTGCATAAGTTCTTACTGACAAAAAAAAAAATGAAATAACACAACAAAGAACAAAAAAATGGGCTGCATAAGTTCTTACTGACAAAAAAATGAAATAAAAAGTATATATAGTTTGTATGTTGAGCATTACAAGCTTCGATTCTCCTTTTATTTTTTTTCTGTTCTTTCATCAATCTTTTTTTTTAATGTACAGTCTGTGTTAGAAAGAATCATTTTAAACCAATTTATTCAACCACTTCTGGGTTAGCTATGATTTCAAAAGTGTTCTCTAATTTTACATTTATGATAATCGTAATTGAAAAAATGGTAAGTACAGTTCATCATCTTATTAAAGACCCATGTATTTTTTTAAAGAGAGTAATTTTGTATCCTGAAAGATCTCTTTCTTTAAATCCTTGAATTAAAATCGTTCACATGGCTCTGCCTTTTATCGTCTATAGTGAACTCTCTCAACATTTGACCAATTCATCCTCTTTTTTCAATACTACCAGGTAATCAGATATTAAACGATATATTATCACGCAAAAGCATCCTTAACAATAGCAGTCACGTGAATGGGTACAGTGAAATCATGTGACTTGTACAAAATGGTGGACAGTTGGAAGTACGTTGATATGTGTAGAAAACAGAAGTGTCTGATAAAATATGTGACAGGCAAACTGGTAACATAAAACATGACAACCACTACTTTAATTAACCGATCTCTTGAAGTAGTTTTGTCATGTGGCATAGTTATAGCACTGTCGACATCTACAATTTTCACTCCACTGTGGCTGGATGCCATTGCACCACCAGTAAATAGCACGGCAAACAACAGTAATACACACAGCTTCCGACACGTAGATGGATTCAGCATTATAATCCAAGTGAACCTGGTGTTCTGTCTTCTGAGTGGTATCATTGTATTGTACATGAAGTTATGTTCACATCAATTAACTTCTGCTGATCAATCATTTTCTAAGCTTCAGTTTTTCTGGATAGGATTTGCTGATGCGCTGTCGTCCATTTTTTCTGTGTATGCATCAAGTGGAACAAGAACAGCGCCATATTTACAGGCTTTAGCAACCAATTTAGCTATTCCTGTCACATTCATTATCAGGTAATTAACCTTTGTTAAAAGAAAAACATAACCATATTTCTGGTTCATAACTCTCAGTCCTCTGTGATACCAAATACACAGTAATTAAATACAATTGAACCTTTTTATCTCAAACTCCAGAGGACTATGGAAAACCTTGAGCTAATCATGTGTTCAATTAAAGTGAGTTCAAATGTTTTATGTAAAATCAGGCAGGGACTGACGAAATGATTAAACAGGGTCTTTGAGTACAAGTTCAAGATAAGGTTTCACATAAGGTTTTAAATACTTCTAATTGGTATGCATGTACTTTGATCTCTAGCATTTAATTGTTGCTTTGTTATTGAAGAAAATTGCTTGGTTTTTCAAGTGATTTTCTTGATACTTTTAAAGGAATTAACATTCAATGCTGATTCAACATTTTCTGGCAGTTCATTCTTGATTACCGCTGTTCGGATTGAAAAATTGTTATTTTCTTTCTTATTTGTGGATCACCTAAGTAATTGTTGTTAATTTGTCCTCTGCCACTGTGGCAATGAGCTGTATCTTTCCATAGTTTGGTAGCATTTAAACATTCATTATCATAAACTTGACTTGTTATTTTGTAGAGTTCTATCATGTCTCCCCTAATTCCCTTGAATGCCAGCCTTGGCAGCATGACTGGGACACAAGAGATGACATCACACTGTTGTTTTGTTTAGATTTATTCTATTGAAGAAACATCCTACTCTAAGGAAGACAATTGCTGCATTGACTGTGCTGGTTGCAGAGTTCATAGCCTTAATTCCCTCCATTTTCCCGTCCCTTCAGAGTACAGAGACCAAAGACAAAGATGGAGGTGCTAAGGGTGTGGCAGGAGTGTTGTGGCCATTGTGTTATGCACTGGCCTATGTAAGTCACTTTAATGTAATGAAATCATTCTAATCCTTTACATTTTAAGAGAGATATTCTATTTACTGCTCGGTTGTAACTCATAGTACTATAGTGCATCAGAAAACAATTTGAAGACAATTCTTATTTTAAAGTTGTTTTGCTTTATTTCTGATCATTTGTAGCAAGGTTACCACTACATACCTCTTTATTTATTATAGAACTTTTGAGATGTTGAATTGTATATCATGTTTTGTTTTCAGATTCCACAAGGTGTTGTGGTTGTTGTGATTGAGCGATCAACTAAATCCCAGATGAGAACTCAAGCAGGAGGACTTGACCATGTCAATCCATTTTACCTGATGTTTTGGAGCTTTTTTTTCTGTTTTGTGAGCATGTTGGCATTCTTTTGGACAGACATCTTACCAGGTTTTGGCATGACTGAAGGCATCTCAGATTTTGGCGATGTGTGAGTATCTATACTATCAAGTTTTTCAAAGATATATTGTCAGAACCATATCAGACTACCAAACAACACTTAAATATGGTAAAGATTTTGGAATTAAATGTATTAAAAACTTCAAACAACTTGATACTTACATACCTCCTGATAAATTTGTTGGATTGAATGACTTGGACCTGATTCAGAATTTCACATGGGGAAAACTTATTAAAACATAGAAAAAAAGTTTTTAGATTAGGCAAGTCTGCTCCTTGACATCTTCAAAATACTGTGACTTAAGTGAGTTTTGTAAGTAATCTACCAAAAAGTGATGCATATATGTTACAATTTAACTGACCAGCTTACATGTTGCTGCACTGCCGACAAGACAAATAATCACAAAGATTGATAAGAGTTGTACTGTACATACTGTATAAATATTTTCGAGCTTGTACTAATTTATTATTATTATGCCCAGAATGTTTTGTTTTGCAGATTCATGTTCAATCTAAAGTGTTTTGTGGGATTGGATCATTGTCGAACAGACATGTATATTTTTGCGTGGGCATGCATATTGGCAATGTTCACAAAAAGGATCCTAATAGTTCTGTTTCTGCGTTTTTATGAAGGGGCCAATTATCTAGTTGTCATACAGGTAAGATTAACAGTTGAAAACACCTTGTTCAGTGGTATATTTCATGAATGACCAATCTGTTTATGTGAAAGTACCCCTGTATAAACCCATAGTATTTTTTCCCTCCAAAATACATTGGGTTTCCACCAAAGAATATAATACAATATTATGAGAGATTTGCCCAGTTCATTTTTATATGTTTGCAACTGCAGGACAATATTGTTATATAATTAATCATAAATCATATCTTATGCATGACTTTTCTTTCTATTACTTTGTCATTATTGTTGGTTTAGAAACAAAGATGGTAGGCTGTCAAACTGGCTGCTCCACTGGACAGACTCATACAAGTGATAGGCCTATGATATATAACACATAACAGTTATATCTTTAGTGTCAAAATCACAGCATGGGGTCAAATGCCAATCATTGTAGTTATCATTTTCCTTCTTCTAATACAATATTTTCCAGGCCATCACATTTTGAACAGTTAAGAATTATCTTCATAAAACATGACAGCATTATGTGCAGTCAGTGTGAAGTACACTGAAATTAGGTCACTGTGGCCTTCATCAAAATGCAATTTTTTTCAATACATCATTATCAAGACCATAACTATTAAAATATCAAAGACTTCTTTATGAAATATAAACATACCTTCCTCACCAATGTTCAATACACTGAAATAAGGTCATCGTGACCTCCATCTAAAAAAACTGGAATGTTTCAGTACAGTCTTGTCTAGACAATATGTTTGGAACTGTGTAAGATATCTTGATGAAATGTTTGTCTTAAGATCAAATGTCAAACATTAATGAATATAATTTTCATTGCAATGTTATCAACTTATTATCTTTTGTGTAATGCTTCTTCCTTTGTGTATAATCTCTAGTGTAGAGGAAAAAATACTCCAGTCTTATATTTTGCTAAGCCGAAAATGACAAGTAATGGTCACTGACAACAACAATATATCTGAAAAGGTATAAAGCTAAAATGACTGAGGTATAAATTGGCTATCAAAGTGTCTAATAAAACTTCTCTGGTTTACCTCTTGTCCACAGAGTCTACAGACCCCAGTGGTACTTCTGTTTTGGACATTATTCCAGGAACATCCTTTCCAGTGGAATCCTGAAGGACATTTGTCTACCTGGCTGAGCATTGTATCAGTGGTCATCATACTTCCTGCTATATATGTTTACAACAAGGGGTCAGTAAGCCAAAAAATAACTTTTTCTGTTTTACAGCTCTGTAGAGATAAATATTCTTCATTCTTTTCATATATGAAAAATAAAAATGTAATTTTCATTCTTTTTATGTATGTATAGTTTAATGCAGAAACAAGTGCAAATTAAAATACATTGTATGCCGACTTATTTTGAATTCCCTTTTTGGCTGGGAAGCTTTCAAAGTGTCTTACTGTGGAAGGAAACTTGAATACCTGAAGGAAGCCCACCTGGTTGGGTACGTGACTTTCTCCCACAGTAAGATGATGATAATACATTCTTTGTATTATCAAATACTGCTTGATAAATGTATATTGTATTCAATAAGGTTTGTGCTTGATAAAACAATGATTTGTGCTCAGATAACAGATATAATGGACATTGATATGGTGTTATGATATCCTGTTGGTGTTAGTGTAAGTATGGTATATTTACAGGGATACGGAGTCGTCAGACAGTGTTAACTACAGAGTATTACCAGACAGTGCCGAGTGCAATATTACCTACCAAAGTATACAGGCTGACTCTCCTACAGGATCTGAAAACTGGTTTCAAGTGTCTTTCACTGAAAAATCTGTCACAGACTGAAGGTTTGAATGACTTCAGTACCACTACATCATGTATTTTCAATCTTATTGTTAATGCAGTAAAATGATGGAATGGTAAGAAGATTAATTGAATGGTAAGATAGATAATGGAACAGTAGGGTAATTAATGGAACAGTATGGTAATCAATTGAATGGTAAAGTAATTAATGGAACAGTAGGGTAATTAATGGAACAGTATAGTAATCGATTGAATGGTAAAGTAATTAATGGAACAGTACGGTAATTAATGGAACAGTACAGTAATTTAATTGAAAGACAGTAAGGTGATTAATAAAACAATTAGGTAATTAAAGGAATGGTAAGGAATACATTTTACACAAGAATTCCCTGTTAGATCATTTGTGCAAGTGAATGAAGGATTAATGAACATGTGTCTAGAGAGTGACAGAGTATTAATTTTATCCTGCCAGAGGACGCTTATTGATATATGTTGATCCCAACCTGACAATGCTGGTAACTGCAAATCTGCTGAAATGGAAGTGAATATTTCAATTATTTCCATGAGAAGTTAAAAAGAAAAAATTTAAAATCTATAGAAATTATTTTTTTTTACTAGTTTAAAATCATTATTGAAATAATTGTATTATTGAAATTCATAAAAACAATACGTTTCTTACAATTTTTTTAATGATGTAGTCTGTTGGGTGGTTACAGGTTTTCAATCTCTATGACTCTTCCTATCACAAGGTATTGTCTCACTGATGAGTGTCAGTGTTCTGGTGATGTACTATGATATAAAACATCTATATATTTAATGTCATTAAGGTTACTGCCCATTTATCAAAGCATAAAATGTCCACTTGGATGTAGACCATATTTCAATACACAGCTAGAACATCACTATTAAAATATAAATCTGACATTATCTTCTTGTTTTTTTCTTTAATGTATTTAATGCCATTAAATTTCAGGTAATTAACAAGGTCAGTGTTCTTATTATGATAAAAGTAACTCTCATCTCAGGTTGACATCTTTTGTAAATCGTCTTATTAGTAAAGCACTGAGATTTTCCTAATCATAATGTATACTGTGATATTTATGACGGTTGTTTTGCATAATGCATTTTATTGTATTTTGTTAAATCATTATTTTGTTTTTTATTACAATGTTGATTTATGCGAATGTGGTGTTCTTAGTTTTTATTTATCTAGTTACATATCTAACATGTTTTATGTATGAAATATAAGGGAAACCAATGTGAACTACAAGTACATCAGAGTTACAATACAATGGTAGACAACCATAGGTAACAGGGTGATATATTACAAGGGTAGACAACCATAGGTAACAGGGTGATATATAACAAGGGTAGACAACCATAGGTAACAGGGTGATATATTACAAGGGTAGACAACCATAGGTAACAGGGTGATATATTACAAGGGTAGACAACCATAGGTAACAGGGTGATATATTACAAGGGTAGACAACCATAGGTAACAGGGTGATATATAACAAGGGTAGACAACCATAGGTAACAGGGTGATATATTACATGGGTAGACAACCATGGGTAACACGGTGATATATAACAAGGGTAGACAACCATAGGTAACGGGGTGATATATTACAAGGGTAGACAACCATGGATAACAGGGCGATATATTACAAGGGTAGGCAACCATGGGTAACAGGGTGATATATTACAAGTGTAGACAACCATGGGTAATACAGTACATGATATATGATATAATACAATTCAAGGTTTGTTTGGTTGGTTTCTGAGGTTGTGATTAGATGGAGACACATATAAAGAGTAAACAAATATCAGTAACAAAACAAGTCAGTCATGAGAAGAGCACAGTTTGATTCCATAGGTAATATTACTGATCAACATGCCATGTAGAAGTGTTCCCTGGTAACCCTGTTGTAGGTAGAAAACAGCCATATTGGTGTTTCATGCTGCTTTGTACAGACCTATAAGTGAGGGTGTTACCAACATTTATTGTCTGATTTTAGTTTGTTGGTGATATCTTTGGGAAACTCAGTTGTACATCCATGTCATTTGTTGTCAGTCACTTGTTGATTTTACATATTTCCTTCTATCACCAATTCTGTGCTTTTGATTTGAACTTTAATTCCTCCTGCGTAATTGTCGAAACAGAAATTAGATCTCTAACATCTCATCATTCAATGATACCGAACCAAACAAAGATTTTGATAAAGTTTACTGTCCTCCATCAATAAGTTACATTAATTTTCCTTGTGCATCAAAACAAAAAAGCTTGACGATTGCATTATTGAAACATCTTTGCCCTTAACAATTTGCTTTTTAATCAGACTATCAGGAGTATTAATCAGATTATTAGAGTTAATGCATGACAATGATTTGGTTATATGAAAACTGCGCTATTTCTTCAGTTGATCATACACTTTGATCATCCAATAAAATTTTAACCTTTACATATGTTCACAAACAAACATGGGCAATAAAAATAAGTGATTTGTCGTAATGATGTTCTTTTCTACAGTGACGGTTACAGTCAGGACACATTATCATGTGCATGCCTAACTCTGACAGTATGGATAAGACTTTACTGCGAACCACTTTATTAACTTAGAACAAAATACTGTTTGCCATGCATTTTCTTTTGGAAAGAGAAATCTTAGATTATTTCTGAGTCAAATGAGCATCAAGTCTATTGATTCGCTTTTGTACATTTGCTATTTCGCAGATTGATTCCATCATGTACTGATATTTATTTACTCACATTTCTCATTATATGGCTGAACCTTTTGTCAAATATTTCACTCGGTCCTTCTTTTGTTTGAGCTGGTGATACATGTTTTAATTCAATTAGAGTCGAACTAAGCCTTTTTAAAAGGACATGAAGAATTCAGGTCTAGGCTGATGGCACACCTAAACATTTAAATTTCATTTGACTTCATAGAGCACATCACCCACCTACCTGTAGAATTAACAGTAAGTAATGGACGAAAGCCAGTCGTGCGAGTGGGTTATATATCCAATGATAAAGAGATATGTTATGTCACGGGCAATTTGACCGTCTCTTCATTTCGTGATTATACCCAACTAGAACATATTTACAAATTATGACTAATATAGATGGAACAGAAAATACTGAATTCTTTTAATATGTCCAACTATTTTTTCTAAACTGGGAGGGGGACATCTTTTGAGAGGAGTCTAGATGCAATGCGGGAGATGTAAGGAATTTGGCGGGAAACAGTAGATAAGACATTGTACTCATTTCTGTTGATATAATATTTACATTTTCTTTCAGGTCTGTACAACACAGTACCATGGACTTAAATATATTTAAGTAGGTATAACCATAAGTGCGTGGTATAATGTAGTAGGAAAACAAGAAGCATGATCTCTCATCTGTGTCAATAAAAAGGGTTCAGGGTAGATGACTTACACGTACATACATTAAATTTCGGAAAGGAGAACAAGCTTCATACAGCTTACCATTACAGAATACTTTTATCACATACTCGCAGTCTCCAATTCAATATGCATGATGCTATCACAAATACATTTTACCAGTCTAGATATTTATTAAAAATTCATAAGCATACGATATACCTAAGTCCTAACTCAAGCTTGTCTGACAATATCCACAAGTAATAATACCTGGGGTGTATCGGTCCGGGGAACCTCCAGCTGGGCCTCGGTTAGTTATTAGAGCGCTGCAATCGAACGCGCCGACTATAAAACCCACAAATTCCCGCGTTTTGGCAGCTACATGTGCGCATGGTCGTGGCGATGAATGGTGGAAACAACATAGAAATCATGTCGAGGAATGGCGATGTTCCTGTAAAAAGGCAACGTTTTAACACCCGTGTGCCTTTAAAGGTAGTTTTAGGATCACAATGGGGAGACGAAGGAAAAGGGAAAATAGTCGACATGTTGGCGACAGACGTGGAGATCTGCTGTCGATGCCAGGTAAAAAATCTTCCTGTTGTTAACAAATATTCTGTTGATCTTGGAATATAAATATAAACATCGGATTTTGGAAAGTTGATTGATCCTTAAACATTCAAAGAACAAAATTGAAATAATATTGATCAAGATCATTTTTATTCTACTGCATTTTCAACGTGTGTGTTAACAAATGCGTTGGTCACGACTTTTCTCTTGGTAGAATTTTTAAACATGGGCAAAGACCTTGAGATTGTCATTGAATTTCGATTTGTTTAATATGAAATCCTTTAACAAATTTTAAAAGTAACAAGAAACGAAATACTTCTTCGATCATTTTCTTATCCGATACAACTCTGATGTATAGTGCTAGGTCACAAAAGATAAACAACAAATCGGTTGTCTTCAGCATAACAGGTCGATGTACGAGGTCAGTATTGAAGGCTATATATTGATAAGGACATTTGGGACTATATGACAACGTGCTAATTTTACAAGTCATTCAGTGATACTATATTATTTGTTATTTTGTAAGGTACAATTATCCAATAGATGATCATTTATTTGATGTAAAACGGGGTTTTCAGATTTAATTACCAAAAATGTTAATAGGACATCGGGAACATGATATACATCATATGTAGGTTGTTAATCAACAGTATTGAGAATAAAAATAATTCATTGATGTTGTACTCTTTGAAGTCAAAAAAAGTTGACACATTGATACAAAACAAAAAAAATTGATCATTTGAAACTCACATAGGAACAAGTCTTCTATATTTCTTCATATATGAAAATTTTCCAATATTGAATTACCAACAACAAAAAAGAAATTGTAAAATTTCGTTCCTTGAGGGGTAAAAACAACTTGCTTTTCTTCTTTGTGTTATTATGACTAAGTAGTTATAGACTAAAATATGCAATTTTTCTCATATTTAGAAAAATAATATTCACATGTTAAATTACTTTTGAATGTCCTCCACAAAATACTTGTCTGCTTTTTTGTGTTTTCACTCTGCAGGTGAATGGATATTAATATGTTGACATGCTCCAAAACATCATGCAGTCAAAATATCTAACAGCATTAGAATTCTAGGATTGCTCTGCTGTGAATTACACATTTGACAAGTTTGATATCTTCCAGTTGAATATAAATCTTTCTTTCACCACCTTGTTGAAAATATTTGTTATTTTGACTTGTTTTAAACATTTTTAATCTCTTAAGAGATTCATTGAAACTGCTGCAATTTTTAGAAAATAATTGATATGTTTGTGAGAATTGAAAAAAATACCATCAGAAGTACTTGGCTTCCTTCAAGTAACATGGAAGGTCAGTTGACATTAAATAAGGTGAATAGTTCTATCTTTGTGATTAGACCCACAAGAGATGGAGAACATGTTCTTGTATTCATTAAAGAACATTCATTAGAATTCTACAGCATTACTTACTACAAAGGTTTCAGTACCAAGACTATTTATATTCTGTTACTTTCATTTCAAAATCCATGTATTGCCTTTAAAGTTTCAAACACCCATACTTGACATTTCTTTTCAGGGTGTTTGATCATGATAATGAGGACAGAATGTCTGGCATAAATTTGAAGGGACTGTAGTGTCGGTTGCTTTAGATAAGTTTTTGCATGATGTTTGGAACACATCCAGTGTATGGTACTGTAATACTGTGTTAGTGGGCTATGTGTAGGTGGCTAGTAATAACTTACAAATTAATACAGTCTGTAGCTTGGTAGGAACTCCAGACTGTGAGCCACTTTTCCTCTGGAGCTGTCTCATGTGTACATACATTTACTTGTACATACCTACTGCATGTTCAAGTGTAATTGATATAACCACAGTCAAGACATGACAGCATCATATACACAACCAGAACCAAGAAACTTGACACATCATAAAACTTCCCACATCACATTCAGCATATATGGTGCAACCTGTATTATGATTTTCCAGATATAAATATCATAACTGATAAAATATCAAAACTGAAAAAGCTAACTACAACTGCAAGTTAGACTATCATAATAGTCAAACCTTATTGTTAATTGCATTTTGTAGCAATAAAACTCCATGTGAATCATTATTTATGTCGATGCCTTTATTGATGTGTATTTAATTGCTGTAAGTAGTCACATTGGATGCAAGATACTTTCTACTTTCACTTTCAGTTAGGTTTCAAGCAATAAAGTTGAACTGAAGGTAGAATAGATTATTGTTACGTATTTAGTTATGATATGAAATTAATCATCAACATTATATTAATTATCATGATTTGCCAGATAGTAAATAATGGGGACAGCAGGGAAAATTCTGAGCACTCACAGCAGGTGATGATTTCCCCCAAATACCAATATGTAGGTGACAATGGAACAACAAAGAATGCATCAGATTGTTAATATTCCTATTGAAATAAATTAACATATGACTGGCATTCCATTTTACAGTATTTCATATTTTTCCATAATTTTCTACTACACACTACTCAGCTGTTGCTTTCCCAATTTTAAAGAATTGAAAAAAATGAGATGAAATGAAAATAAGAAATCCAAGGTTAGTACACACTTGTAACATATTGAATGACATACCATATTATCTTTTTATCGTCAAAAAAGTAATTCTCCTACAATCTGTTCAATGCTGACAACATATTAAAGATTGAAATGTAGATTAAAAAGTTAAAAATAAAACTAGGATTCACAAATATTCTATGTGTAAGCTAGCAGAAACTACTGAGGAGTTCTTTGTTACTAGAAATACAACTGGTTAATTGCTTTTAGCATCAAGATGTACATACATTTATATAAGAATAAATTAAAGAATTATTTTTAAAAATAATACCAAAGCATGAAATTGCTGATGTCATGTTTATTTGAATTTGGTACCTGAAGAGTGTGTTTTTTTTGTTTCTTTAAATTGATAAAGTTATAAAAACTGTTGAGTGCACTTGAAGTGTATTCTTGACTGATATATGATTATGTAGCTAGCTATAGGAATTAATGTGTACACTGTTCAAACTTGTTGGCTAAAGTGTGATAATTTTCATATTCTCAAAAGAAAAGCTGCTTTAGTAAATACAAAAAAGACCCTTATAATGATCTATTGTGCAAGTGTCTGTACATGCCAGGACAGGTGTGTACAATTACAGGAATGGCTGATTGGTGAAGTTGTGTACTATGTAGGACTACATAGCTACACTTGTACCTGGTATGAATTACTACCTGTATTCTATGAGTATTGATTATTTCATTGTGTCCTATTTTACACACTAAAGAATAAGTACACTACAGATTGATATTCAGTGATTTTTCCATTTTTGTTCTCCCTTTACTTCCCCGTACCTTTAGCCATAGTACTGTGAATTCTCTAATAATTCAAATTATAACATGTGAAACAAGCAACTCTGATTAATCGATTTTGGTAGAAAGTGTAGAAGTAAAAAATTGAATGGTAGAAATGCAGTGTAGAGGGTCTATAACATGGGTGAAAACTGAATGGTAGGAATGCAGTGTAGAGGGTCTATAACATGGGTGAAAACTGAATGGTTGAAATGCAGTGTAGAGGGTCTATAACATGGGTGAAAACTGAATGGTAGGAATGCAGTGTAGAGGGTCTATAACATGGGTGCAAACTGAATGGTAGGAATGCAGTGTAGAGGGTCTATAACATGGGTGAAAACTGAATGGTTGAAATGCAGTGTAGAGGGTCTATAACATGGGTGAAAACTGAATGGTAGGAATGCAGTGTAGAGGGTCTATAACTTGGGTGATAACTAAATGGTAGGAATGCAGTGTAGAGGGTCTATAACATGGGTGAAAACTGAATGGTTGGAATGCAGAGTAGAGGGTCTATAACGTGGATGAAAACTGAATGGTAGGAATGCAGTGTAGAGGGTCTATAACATGGGTGAAAACTGAATGGTTGAAATGCAGTGTAGAGGGTCTATAACATGGGTGAAAACTGAATGGTAGGAATGCAGTGTAGAGGGTCTATAACTTGGGTGATAACTAAATGGTAGGAATGCAGTGTAGAGGGTCTATAACATGGGTGAAAACTGAATGGTTGGAATGCAGTGTAGAGGGTCTATAACATGGGTGAAAACTGAATTATAACAAAAGAAAACCCTGTGTGGTGAGACATGTAACTGGTTCTTCACTGATATTTTCTTACCAGATGAGTGGTTAATTTTTCTTGGTGAAAGACAAACCCAGATACAAAATCTTTATTTTCTCCTCAAAATCTATTTCTTGTACATAACCATGCTTTTGGTCTTCGTGTGGAGCATTTATTCAAGTCATATCTTGACCTTATTGCAAGAAAATGCATTAAAACCCAAACAGAGAACTATAGTTATGGTCCACCATTACAATACATGTGTTATATTTTCAGAAATATTTCCTATGTTATAATTAGCAATATTAGGAGTACATGAATAGGAACCCTTTACTGACTAAAAGTGGTTTGTTTGATTACCAGGGAGGAAACAATGCTGGGCACACTGTAGTGGTGGGAACGAAAGCTTACGACTTCCACCTGCTGCCCAGTGGTATCGTCAACAGTGAGTGTGTGGGTGTAATAGGTAAGACTACTACTACTAGCTGGAGCTGGTGTTGATGCATGTATGGCTCCTAATTGGAATTAGCAGTAAGATGTGTTTGGGTTCACTGTTAGTGTGATATGTAGGACGTCCACCTGTAGTGATGAGCTCACCTGGCACGAAGGGCCAAGTGAGCTAATCACAACTACAACTGGAAGACCCATTCTGTCATAAATATGGTTTTACCCTTACTGTCAGGATAAATATGGTGTTACCCTTACTGTCAGGATAAATATGGTGTTACTGTCAGGATAAATATGGTGTTACACTTACTGTCAGGATAATTATGGTGTTACACTTACTGTCAGGATAAATATGGTTTTACCCTTACTGTCAGGATAATTATGGTGTTACCCTTACTGTCAGGATAAATATGGTTACACTTACTGTCAGGATAATTATGGTGTTACCCTTACTGTCAGGATAGATATGGTGTTACACTTACTGTCAGGATAGATATGGTGTTACACTTACTGTCAGGATAGATATGGTGTTACACTTACTGTCAGGATAGATATGGTGTTACACTTACTGTCAGGATAAATATGGTTTTACCCTTACTGTCAGGATAATTATGGTGTTACCCTTACTGTCAGGATAGATATGGTTTTACACTTACTGTCAGGATAGATATGGTGTTACACTTACTGTCAGGATAGATATGGTGTTACACTTACTGTCAGGATAGATATGGTGTTACACTTACTGTCAGGATAGATATGGTGTTACACTTACTGTCAGGATAATTATGGTGTTACCCTTACTGTCAGGATAAATATGGTTTTACCCTTACTGTCAGGATAAATATGGTGTTACCCTTACTGTCAGGATAAATATGGTGTTACCCTTACTGTCAGGATAAATATGGTGTTACCCTTACTGTCAGGATAAATATGGTGTTACCCTTACTGTCAGGATAAATATGGTGTTACCCTTACTGTCAGGATAGATATGGTGTTACACTTACTGTCAGGATAGATATGGTGTTACACTTACTGTCAGGATAGATATGGTGTTACACTTACTGTCAGGATAGATATGGTGTTACACTTACTGTCAGGATAGATATGGTGTTACCCTTACTGTCAGGATAATTATGGTGTTACCCTTACTGTCAGGATAAATATGGTGTTACTGTCAGGATAAATATGGTGTTACACTTACTGTCAGGATAATTATGGTGTTACCCTTACTGTCAGGATAGATATGGTGTTACCCCTACTGTCAGGATAATGGTATGGTAAATATGGTTACCCTTACTGTCAGGATAAATATGGTGTTACCCTTACTGTCAGGATAAATATGGTGTTACCCTTACTGTCAAGATAAATATGGTGTTACCCTTACTGTCAAGATAAATATGGTGTTACCCTTACTGTCAAGATAAATATGGTTTTACCCCTACTGTCAGGATAAATATGGTGTTACCCTTACTGTCAGGATAGATATGGTGTTACACTTACTGTCAGGATAATTATGGTGTTACCCTTACTGTCAGGATAAATATGGTGTTACCCCTACTGTCAGGTTAAATATGGTGTTACCCTTACTGTCAGGATAATTATGGTGTTACCCTTACTGTCAGGATAAATATGTTACCCTTACTGTCAGGATTATGGTGTTACCCCTACTGTCAGGTTAAATATGGTGTTACCCTTACTGTCAGGATAATTATGGTGTTACTGTCAGGAAAACTATGGTGTTACACTTACTGTCAGGATAATTATGGTGTTACCCTTACTGTCAGGATAAATATGGTGTTACACTTACTGTCAGGATAAATATGGTGTTACCCTTACTGTCAGGATAAATATGGTGTTACCCCTACTGTCAGGATAAATATGGTTTTACCCTTACTGTCAGGATAAATATGGTGTTACCCTTACTGTCAGGATAAATATGGTGTTACCCTTACTGTCAGGATAAATATGGTTTTACCCTTACTGTCAGGATAAATATGGTGTTACCCTTACTGTCAGGATAAATATGGTGTTACCCTTACTGTCAGGATAGATATGGTGTTACCCTTACTGTCAGGATAATTATGGTGTTACCCTTACTGTCAGGATAAATATGGTGTTACCCTTACTGTCAGGATAAATATGGTTTTACCCTTACTGTCAGGATAAATATGGTTTTACCCTTACTGTCAGGATAATTATGGTGTTACCCTTACTGTCAGGATAAATATGGTGTTACCCTTACTGTCAGGATAAATATGGTGTTACCCTTACTGTCAGGATAAATATGGTTTTACCCTTACTGTCAGGATAGATATGGTTTTACCCTTACTGTCAGGATAAATATGGTTTTACCCTTACTGTCAGGATAAATATGGTGTTACCCTTACTGTCAGGATAAATATGGTTTTACCCTTACTGTCAGGATAAATATGGTTTTACCCTTACTGTCAGGATAAATATGGTGTTACCCTTACTGTCAGGATAAATATGGTGTTACCCCTACTGTCAGGATAAATATGGTGTTACCCTTACTGTCACAATAAATATGTTGTTACCCTTACTGTCAAGATAAATATGGTATTACCCCTACTGTCAGGATAAATATGGTTTTACCCTTACTGTGATAATTTGTTAGAGTGCCGGGTAGTTTTTCTAACCGTTAAAAATCCTGCCATTTTCTTTTCAGGAAATGGAGTTGTGATTCACTTACCAAACTTGTTTGACGAGATCAGAAAGAATGAAGACAAGGGTTTGACTGACCTTAAGAAACGTTTGATAATCTCCACAAGAGCACATCTAGGTAGGTGAATCAACCCACATAAAATACACATGTCTAGCATACAATGTAGCATTACTTGGAAACATGGAGTACTTTTCAAATGTGGTGATGTCTTGAAAAAAGTTTGGTCAGCACTTATCAAATACAGTGTTCAATTGATTGATTTTGTGAATTTGTTTGGATTTGACAAATCGATGAAACATGTTTGTGTTGATAATTTCAGTGTGTGTCATAATACCCAATATTTACAGAACACAATTAGTGAAATTGTTTGCATATTTCTAAAGAAAATCTGTCATTCTGTTGTTACAGGATGATGGGATACTACATTAGTTCAGGCCTTGTGTTTACTTATGCTGATTGTAGGCCAGGGTAAGTACTACAGAAATCACATCACTACATTGTTCAAGTGGTTACAAACAATAGCATCACTCCCCTATCTGAAGCTTCAGTTGAAGGCTGGGGTGTAAAACATAGTATGTATATTGTCAAGGTTTATAGGAAGTTGAGGTTGTTTCCGTCATGAGCATTAGATTATCAGACTTCCAGACTGTAATCAGGGAAAAAACTGTTAAATTTTGTTTTACTGAGAAATGTAATTGGGCATGCCAGTAGTTGTTATAATAATTCTGTAATATTGCAGTATTTGATGGAAACTTCATATCTTGTACTTCAATAAAAAGAATTGAAAGTTGTGGGCACCACTCCTTTCTTCTTCCAGATATATACAGGTGCAGGCTGGTTTATTTGTCAGATTTTATGTCTATAGACTGTTGGCAGAAGTTGTAACATATGGGTTGTGAGACCTTGATTTGGTAGTAACTGTGATTTTATCTTTTGTTTCCAATTCAACAGTGTTTATTATCTTCTTCTCCAGGCAACAGGTGTTGTTTATGTTATGAATAATTGATAGGTTAATTGCAGTTACAGATAATAAGTCAGTGTGTATTACACATGTGATCCTACAGAGTATTTTAACAGGGATTTCCAATGCTATTTGATACAGGCTAATGCATTAGTTAGTATTGTGATTTGCAGTGATCCAGGTGATTGACTATGAATTATTAAGAATTGAGTGTGTTACAGTGTAGATTCCTTTTGTTCTAACTAACCTTTAAAAAGTATCAGTGACATCACCTGGTATTTAATGGGCTCTGGAATATGACCTACAAGGTTATCAAGATTTGTCCCAGTTTGATCAAGGCCATCGGATGACATTGTAAAGGTTATCTGTATTTACATTTTATATGTGTTTGTCACGATTGTTTTTCCTCATGGAATAGTGATGCACAATATTGCCTACATGTTTGTGCACATTTAATGAAGTAAACTGTCGAAGGCTATTAGTGTTTATAAGAAGGTTTTCTTTATTCTAGTTTGTTAACATGTTATCTTAGGCTCCTGTCTGGTACTGTTTAAAATTTGTGTTTGTATTTTGTGCATGTTTCATCATCATTTTCTAAGGGCTATTGACAATGTCCAGATCGTCCATATTAACTGCATGAGTGTTAAAATTAATTTATCGTAGGCTGTAGGCTGATAAAGTTTGTAGGTTGTTTTTCCTGTTAGTATGTTTTATCCTCGGTTGTCTTGGCTTAAAGCTGATACAGTGTGTAGTTGAGTATATTTTATCCTCGGTTGTCTTGGCTTAAAGCCGATACATTGTGTAGTTGAGTATATTTTATCCTCGGTTGTCTTGGCTTAAAGCTGATACAGTGTGTAGTTGATCCATTCTCTGTCAGTATATTTTTCATTTTTGTCATTTGCCATAGGCTGTAGGCTGATATAGTTTGATATCTTTTGATATAATTTGATTCAGTTTAAAAATTTTAGCAAATTTTAAGTTCACATAGGGTAGTAAAGGCTACATGTCCATGGAGTAGACAGGTTGATGGATAGACTATTTCACTGTTGTCATTTGTGTCGACTGTAGGCTGGAATTGTGTGTAGGTTATTTATATTAATACAAAGTTACCGAGGTATCCTGCTAAGGCTTTTGACCGGTGTGTTAGTTTTGTTTATATTTACCTATAGTGTGTGCATCTGATTGTGGTCATTTTGTCAGTTTAAAAACTTTCTCTAGTTAATAAACAATAGAGTTGGCATTTCATTTTAGTTGTTATTACATCACATAGAGGACCTATCTTGCCCAAATTGATTAAGAAAATAAAGTTTTATTACTCCTGTATCCAGAAAGTCAGTGTCTGTATAGTTGATACATAGCTGGTGGATGGATACAAGTCTTGTAAAGACAGCTGTTTAAACCACTTTGAACATTGTGATATAGAAATGTGAATTCTGAAGTACTTAAACCGAAAGAAATTTCGTAATATTATTATTAAACCATCCATATGAAACATCTTTGATCCAAAGTAACAGATTTTTTTTACCTACAAGACAGACTGCAGTTTTTACCTTTTTTATTTCAGTGTTTGATTTGCACCAACAAGTTGATGGTATGCAAGAACAAAACAGAGGCAAGAACTTGTAAGTGATGTACTACTGAACCAAAGTACAACTTTGATTATGATTACTTGTTCTCCAAGTTAACAAATAATGCTGGTTTTTTTAGATGAAAATAAAGTATAAATTGAATTAGTAGATTATAAGACAGAAAAATGTATTAAGCTGTTCAGAAGCCCCTTCACACTTAGACATTTTCACATTGTAGAAAGAATTCTTCCCTTTCTGCCACTTCTGATGTAAATATAAAGATATTTGTATATTCAGAGGGGATGTATCTAACAAGCAAAGTCTTCATATTATGATTAGTCTTATTAAAGGGGGATGATATGAATACAGTGTGTTTTTGTTCAAATTTCAGAATTGGTACTACGAAAAAGGGTATTGGTCCAGCGTATTCATCTAAGGTATGCAAAATCTGTGTTGGAGAACATAATTGTCACTATTATTTTGTATCTTATACACAGAAGTGTGCTGGTGCTTTAATACCTATTAAGAATGAAAGTCAGACGAAAGGTTGTTTTGAGGACTAAAGCCAGGTTAGAGGGTGTATTGAGGCCTAAAGCCACTCAAGAGATTAGATTATGGACTAAAGTCAGTTAAGAGATTAGATTGAGAACTTAAGCCAGATAAGAGATTAGATTATGGACTAAAGTCAGGTTAGAGAGTGTATTGAGAATTTAAGCCAGGTAAGAGATTAGATTATGGACTAAAGTCAGGTTAGAGAGTGTATTGAGAACTTAAGCCTTGATAAGAGATTAGATTGATGATTAAAGCCAAGTAAGAGAGTGTATGGAGAACTTAAGCCAGATAAGAGATTAGATTGAGGACTGAAGTCAGGTTAGAGAGTGTATTGAGAACTTAAGCCAGATAAGAGATCAGATTGAGGATTAAAGCCAGGTTAGAGAGTGTATTGAGAACTTAAGCCAGATAAGAGATTAGATTGAGGACTAAAGTCAGGTTAGAGAGTGTATTGAGAATTTAAGCCAGGTAAGAGATTAGATTGAGGACTAAAGTCAGGTTAGAGAGTGTATTGAGAACTTAAGCCAGATAAGAGATTAGATTGATGATTAAAGCCAAGTAAGAGATTAGATTGATGATTAAAGCCAAGTAAGAGCTTAGATTGAGGACCAAAACCATGTAAGAGAGAGTATTGAGGACTAAAGCCTGTTAATGGAGTGTAGTACTTGCCACAAAGGTGCCAGTATTATTTTTTTGTCTTAAAATTTCATACTACATGCATCATAGTTGAGGCAGTTGATATCACATTGAATAATGTCAGAGTATAAGAGGAATATGGCAAGACAATACAAAAGAGTATTGTTCGACAATGTTACTACAAAACCAAACCATTTCACAAGACTACCGAAACATTCTTAGACAATGATACTACAAAACCAAACTGTTTCACAAGACTACCGAAACATTCTAACCGGAATCAGAGTATAATAGAGTTTACTGAAAAATGTTTAATCTCTATTACAATCTGTACAAACACAGGTACCTGGATTGTAATAATGTCAAACTGACAGGTGTGCTAGATAAACTAAGAGTCATCTTCTGTCTTGTCAGGCAACGAGGAATGGCCTACGAATTGCTGATCTCCTTGGCAACTATTCTAATTTTTCAGAACAGTAAGTATAAAGTGTTCAATTTTTATTGTATCTTGTATTCTTCTTACATTTCTTTTCCTCATTTTTTATTCTCCCAAAAACAGCTCCCTTGTATTCATTTCAGTTTATAAGTCCTTTTACAAATCAATTTGATATTTAAAAAGAGAAGTATTATGAAAAGATTCTCCTATAGAGGGAAAAGATTCTCCTATAGAGGGAAAAGATTCTCCTGTAGAGGGAAAATATCAAGGTTTTCTTTCCTTTTGGTTTGTTAATTTTCACTTTTCTCATTGCGTGTACTTTGGCCTTGAAAAAGATGGAACAGTGTTGTTTCTGTTTTATGATTTCTCGCATATGATTTTATACATTGTTACTTACAGATAAGTTACTAAATGGAGAAGTGGACATGTTTGTGCCTTCGCTTAAAGATGGTATCTGTACAACACTGCTATATACTGGACTGTGTTTAAGCTGTTTGATATGTAAAAAATGTTTTTGAAGGCAAAATTATTAATGTTTCCTTTTGTTTCTTTGAAAATAGATTTCGCAAGCTGGTAGACTTCTATGTCAGACAGTTTCCGGAACTAGAGAGTGTCGTCAATGTTGAAGAAGAGTTGGAACGTTACAAAGTAGGTAGAATCATTAGATGATACTGCTTAGCTATTAATTAAACAATGCTGTTTCAGTTTCTTCTGTTTGGCAACAAAATTTGTACAAGTGTTTGTTGTCCTCTAGGTGCTGAGGGAAGAAGTTCGGCCCATGGTACGTGACACCATTCCTTATCTGCACAAAGCCATCACTGACTGCAAGACGATCCTTATAGAGGGAGCTCAGTCTAATGTCCTTGACATTGATTTTGGTATGCTTGTTTTGATTGGTGGTTCATAGATTCTGTTAAAAAAGAAAATCCTATATTTGAGTTCTACCTTTTCATTTGTTCACTTCTAAAATACTGACTTCTCATTATCTTACAACAGGGGCAATGGGTCTTTGTCCTTGTTACAGCTTCTGCTTAGTAACAGTAATCTTGATAAAGAATTGGGCACTTAAGGGCCTGTCGGTGTGAAAAAAATTGAAGAAGTAATTTCTGCTTTCCTAAATCCTATCTCATTTTCACTAACACTGTTTGTGTATTTGTAGGACTTTACCCCTATGTGACCTCGTCAAACTGCAGTGTGGGAGGTATTTGTACTGGACTGGGTATTCCACCCCATGTTCTAGGCGATGTGTTTGGTGTTGTCAAGGCCTACCTCACCAGAGTGGGCAGCGGAGGGTTCCCTACAGAACTTACAGATGTGAGTTAGATTCAAGATAGCAGGAGTGTTTTAATTACATCTGCAAGGCTTCTACTGTAGGTACACTTTGCAGGAGAAGTTGATAAACATATCTGAGAAGAATCAGAATTCCTTGTGTAAATGGTACAAATGTACCTTGTCTGTGGGATCTTCACATCTTTGCGGTGTCTTGTGGGAAAATAAGGACTGCTGAAGAAGGAGATGTAAGGGTTGGATATTGCCTGTAATCAATTAATGGCCAAGTTTCTATTTGGTTTTTTTATTATCTCTTTCTTTTCTCCTTAATAAGGAAAATATTGGAAAGCAATTTAAGATTTTTCATTTCTATATGAAGAAACTAGGATTAGATTAGAATTTAATGCAAAAATACTTCAACTATGTTATTTTGGTAAAGTTTGATCTGGAGTATTTATGGATATATATAACTTAATTCAACTTATGTCGTTTTTCATATGTCACAGGAAAAAGGTCAAATTCTTGTTGATAGAGGTCACGAATATGGAGTGACCACTGGTCGCAGGCGACGTGTGGGCTGGCTTGACATGGTCATGCTGAGATATTCGAACATGATCAATGGTTTTACTGCGTGAGTATCATGATCAAGGATGTTTCTGTAATATTGATACTCTAGTAAGATCATTTCGTTTGTACTTGTTAGATAATCATTGTTGTAGACATATTTTTTGATGTAAGGAATGAGGAAAAAACCATTTGTGAAAAATAGAAAATAGTTGACAAATATTACTGAGGAAATATTGAAATAACACTTAACCTTGTAAATTACTATATTTCTTAACAGTGTTGCTATCACCAAACTGGATATACTGGACTGTTTCAAGGAGCTGAAGATTGGTGTGAAGTACATCCTTGATGGTCAGGAACTTGACAGCTTCCCAGGTAACTTATCTGTATTTGGCAGACTAATTCTATCTCTGGTTTGAATGAGAGGGTATATATTGTATGAGAATGTAATCATCCATAAGTGACATGCAATGCACTGAATCTTAAGTTACGGATATTAATCTGCAGTCAAATTAGTGGAAATTTTCATTTCAGTTTTGCCTGGACCTTCACTTTCGAACTGAACTATATCGTATGCAATATGCAGTGCACTGAAATTAGATTATTAGGGCCTTCACCTTGCATGCATAGTTCAAATAAGAAAAGATTTTCATGACACTGTTTTCTAATTGGTACATTTTAAACTAGTTATGATACAGTGCTTAAACTTTACATATATATATAGAGTAGTTGATTTTGTTGTAATTATGTCGCCATTTGCTGTCATTACTCGAATAGAATTTTGCTAAATGTTTCTCCTGATAAACATTACAGAGACAAAAACAGTGAAGTCTTTTATTGTGAAATTCATTATGAAGAAAAGTTGATGTAAATGACATGAGTAAGTACATGATCAAAAGTCAAGGTACTGATGGAACACTAAACTCTGTTTAGTGGAGTGTACATGTAGAACATATCAGCATAATGCGCAGAAAACAATTTTGAGCTTTAAAAAAGTTTCATGAGTTGGCGATCAAAGGTGTTTTTAGAGGAAATCTTAACTCAGATTAGAGATTCTCTATTTTTCATATTGCACTATTCATAGTTGTTGTTTTGTGTACAGCTCTGGATGAGGACTTGAAGCGAATTGAGGTGGTATACGAGACCCTGCCTGGCTGGGAAGAGGAGACCTCTGCTGCTAGGAAGTTTTCAGAACTACCTCAGAATGCTCAAAATTACATCAGGAGAGTGGAAAAATTGATGGAAGTGCCAGGTGATTTCAATATGAATCATTGTAATATTTCAAGGAAAATTCAGAAATCAAAGATGTACATTAGAGTACAGTATTATTCAAATAATTGAATCTAGTTATATAGAAGATTTTTAATAAATGAATCAATTTATTTCTACCTAATAAATATAAATAGTATTCTTATATTTCACAAGATTTAAGAGTTTATGGCATTGGTTTTCTATAAATTTATTTGAATTTAATGCGACTAATGTTACACTTTTGTAGTGAAATGGATTGGTGTTGGACAATCGAGAGACTCCATCATAGAAGTGAGCAGCTGCTGACCTAGTGCCCTAGTTAGGGCTTCATTAGATGTCAAAGAGCACACGTAACTGAAATAAGAGGTGTCGGTCATAATCTTATATTTTTTAATATGGTGTAACTGAAATTTTTATCCTTAGAATTGTAAATCTTACATGAATTTTTAGGATAACACAGTAAATCTCATATATTAAACATCCTCCTCTTTTTCCTTTTGCGTTATGGTACTCAGCGAAATGTTTTATGTAATCTGTCGTATCTCCGTCTATGCATGGCAATTTTGGTGACAAATTATGTAAGGTGTTCTTAATCTGTATGATTATATTTTTAAAATGTGTAATCAATTTTCATTTGTGATTGAAAATAAAATATTGATCTAATTTTTGTATTTCATCTGAAAATAAATTTTAAAGTATTTAAAAGAAATATAATCCACTTTGAATGGTATGTTATGGGATATCAGTTTTGGTTGGTGCCTCTATGTGAAGTGGTGAAATTTTTACCTCTTAATTTGAACTGATGACTAAAACAGACATTTTGCCAGAAGAACTGTATTTTAAACCTCCACATGTAAATTATCATTTGATTTAGTTTTAATATGTTGTTTTAGTTTGTTATAATTTGTTGAAAAATCTTCAGTAAAAATCTCACCTTCCAATACAATTTTACTGTATGGAAAGAAAGCTTAACTTGGCCATATTGGTCACATCTGCATAGATTTCTGATAGATTTGTGTTGGAAATTTGGACAAGATTTTTGAAGGTGATGACGGTAATAACTTCATTGAATGGATTATGCCTTCTAATTTTGTGAAATTTTTATGTGGTCCAAATTTGACTGAATTTGGGTGGAGTGATTTTTTGTGTACCTTCTATACTAAAGCATCACTATTTGTTTGGGAGAGGACAACATTGCAAGGAAAACTTGTTGGGATCATGACTTCTGCTTTTGTATATACTTCAGGTGCTACCAAAAGTAATCCATGCATTTGGTTCATTACTTCTTCAAATATTAACATTTTTTTGAAGGATATCCTCATGCTTTTTAATTTGTTTTGTTTTTTCAATTCTATACACCCATTGTTGAAAAGCATTTCTGAATTCCCGGTATTCATTTATGTCTTGTTTAGGTTTTTTGTGTTAAATTTCATTCTTTATAAGGTAACCTGCTGTCATGTTGATGTAAAAATATCAATGTATTTACTTAAATATTTTTAGTTAACCAATGTCAATGATTTTGTTTGCTTCGCCAATTTTGTATTTACTTTTCGAATATGTCAAGATATCTGTAGATCATCTCCCTTTGACTACAAAATTTTGCTGGTTTAGCATCAGTTTATCAGGTTTGTTATAGTGGTAGACTGGATTTCTTTTGTTGTCTCTGTGTACATATCCGTTTGTTACATTTCTCAAATGGGCTGGTCAGGGCTATTCCAGATTCTGTACATTTTGGGAGGCACTTTAATTGATGTATACATGGATGGTAGTCTTCTGTAATAATTTCACAGCAAGACCCCGAAAGCAAATATATTAAACCATGGGTTGTAAGATCACTGAAGCAGTCTACTTTCTCTCTGTTAGTTTCCAGTTTAATCCTAGGTCATCATTATGTGTTATATATTATAATTTGTGAAAGAAATGAAACTTGTATTTGGAAGGAAAACATACTTATTCTCATCCAACTTCATTTACATTCAACTTTACGATAAAAACTTTATTGAAACGCAGGTATTTGGAGAACACGTTATGAGACAGATTTTAAGGGACAAAAATTAGACTTCAAAGAGTATTTGCCACATGTTTGTACCTGGTGTACATTTCTTTTGCATGGGTGGCTTCTAAATCAAACTTGGAACAATAAAAAAAATAATAGATTTCACTGCTCTTTGCTTACCATATTATTAAATAAAATGTTTATCCTAAATGAAGACTGTTCTATACTTGTTTGGTGCACAGGTATCATTTCTTAAACTAACAAAGAAATAAATAATAGGCCCAGTATCCTGTATGTAGTTATATTATATACAATATTTATCATCAATATTGGCAACATGTGAAGATCGTTGAAATCCTACATCTTTATTTTCATTTTCGGTTCTGGTATCTATTTACACACTACCCAAGATTTTTTCATGCAATAACATTTATCGTCTTCAACAAATTCACACGAAGATTTTGGCAAAAAAATATATATAGATATACTCCCTTTGATACATTTGTAATTCTAAACAGTTTAAACTTGTAAACTTAACAAGATTTAGTTAAGGCTCGTTGTTGTCATCTTTTGTATTTATTCTATCTGTCAGTAGAAGAATTTTTTCCACTTAAAACAGAAATCACCAACTTTTTGTTCATTAACAGGTATACATTAAATTCATGACTTTGAACATTTTTGCTTATCAGAAGTTTTGTGATCCCTGGGCCTGGTTATTTCTATACAAATGTTGTTGATGGAATTGGTGTGAAATATATAGAGAATGCTACCCAGTTGTTACTTGCTGATGGAATGTGGGAAACATGTATAGTTAAGCTGTAATAATGTTCCTGTATTTTGTACATTAATAGATCTGTTCATAGACAGCTAAGCAAGACGAGGGCTATTCCAGATATTATTGGGAGTATGGAGGACTTAAAACATTAAGGGATGGTTAAACAGAGAGATAAACGATCTTTACTTGTGAGACGGGGGACAAGACGTGAATTGTCCCAACCCATTATCCACAATATCTTTCTGGAATAGCCCTGAAATGACACACATTTCTGTATACAGTATATTGTGTAATATTTTTTATCAGTTATACCACGCTCTTTCTGTACCTGAACTAAAAATATGGGAAGGATTAAAATTGTCTGTAATTCTTCACTAGTGTGATGGTTGTTTGTAGCAAAGATTTACAATAATCATAGCTGATTATAAATTAAGGACAAGATTCAGGACAAACATGAGATTAAGAAAGACAGAACAACTAATCCTAAATTATGGAATGGGCATGCACTACATTTGGTTGAAAAGGGAATGGTTTTAGTTAATCATAAATACAAAGCAAAAGTATAATAGTAGTAATATCTTGGTCTCAATACCACAAGTTTGTGTAGCAAATATCTTGTAAACAACATTATAGTTCATATTTACACCATAGTATTGCAAGACGCCTTCTAGATTTTGGTGGTATTGGGGCAAGGCAAGAGGTCAAAGGTCACACTTGACCACTTTCAAAATAAAGTGAGTATACATACAAGACATCTTGTGAAATTCTCAGTTGATACTACCATATAGTTCTCCATAATATTATGGTGGCTTAGGTTGAAGGTTACATTTGACCACTTACAGAAACAACCCTGGACATCACTTGAAGCCTTTTTATGCACAATATAATATAGTAAAACATTAACTCCTTGATCTCTTTATGAAATAGGTCATGATGCAGGACCCTTATTGCATGTAAAATTACTGAGCATGAAGAGACTCATTACTTACAGACTTTTTTGATAATGGAAGTTTATTTCTGAACAAAAATTATTATGAATTTATATAGATGTACACCAAAGGAAGGAGTTCCAGACTGCTAGTGATAATGTAAACAACTAGAATAGAATGATGTGATTTTATTGGTCAATGAGTTATTACCTAAGGCAACATTTGTACATTGATGGTACCATTGAGTATCTTCCTTTTGATGGATCCTGCCTCTAGTCTTCCGAAGGTAATAAGTTCAATTCTTTCACTCCTTTACAATACAGTCCAACAGTGCTTGTCCAAAACCTAATGGCTGACTTGCAAGATCAAGGTCAGCAGACCATATGTAGCTTGACCTCCCTTAAAATTTCCCTTTACAAAATAACTTAACATACTGTGAACAAGGGACGGTAACTCTATATAATAGGCTTCGAGACTAGATTTTAGTATGGAACATTCTAAAATTCAGACAGATATCAGCAGTTCTAGGCAAGACCCTGTAATAGACAAGCCACAGGGATGTCCATAGACCAAAGGGACATAAATCTATACAACACCTTTCAAAGGTGTACTCACAAAATGCAATTTACTGATGATACTAATTCCCCTATGGTTTGATTGTCCAGTGGCCATTTTCAAGACTTGAGGTTGAACAGTCCAGTAAAACTAGCTATTATGTCAAAATGAAATTTCAGGCAGTTCAGAAGTGAACTAGATGTTATAAAAGATCTGTAATGCTCAAAAAGCATGTTTTTAGAATTTTAACTTAATAGTATTAACAGTTCTGGAAATATGTGCATGCACAGAGCCTGCATGATGCAGAAATTCTGATTACTATTCATATTTGGCCAGCTAGTTTCAGACTACCTGACTGGACCCTCCAAGCTGCACATGCCAAAAATTCCACAGTCCAGCCTAGTTCTCGATATGTTCCTGGTGTTACAATTGTAGGTTTAACCAGTCTAAGCATTTCAACTGCTTATGCAAAAATTACTCCAGCTTCTGACAGTCAGTGACCTTTACCTTCCATATTTCATATAAAAAAATCAAGCCATGGCAATAGAGTGGCACTGTGTGAAGATGACTTATTCAGAGAGGAACCAGTTATAGAGCAGTAACTAATTTTCTATTTAAAGTCAGGGTTTTCCATAAGAACCGGTCGCCGGCCAATTTGACCGGCAACTTTGATCATTTGGCCGCCTACACCAATCCAGTTATGTAATAATGTTCCGTACACGACTACACCTACACAGCTGGCCAGCCTCCTACTTTCACTACACAGCCTACTACTAACAAAATTATGGAAAACCCTGAAAGTAACAGTGACCTAGATGTTTGACTTTTTGACCCATAATACCATGCTAAGTGAACACGCCAAGATAAGAAATCACTTGAGCAAATTTTCTATTTATATCGGGTGATATTGAAACCTGAAAAGCAATCCAAAGCAAGCACTCTAAGAAAATTTTTTAGTTAATATTTGGAAATGTTGATAAATGGCAGTGTTACAATATCCTCTTTCGATGTTGATTTTGGGATAGTAAATACATTAATGTAAGGTTATATTGTGACAAGATATGGCCAGGAGGATTGATTGAATGGAGTGTGTCCATCCATCCATCCATCCATCCATCCATCCGCCCATTCGTCCTCAACAGCATAATCAGAAGACATTCTATTATTTTCACAATGAATATGTACACACGCCTGTCATCACTATTCACCTCATTGTCATTATAATCACCTTCATTACCGTACATCCTCATATCTCTAGTGCATGTTATTATCATATACAATACATATATGTCCTCCATCTAACTATTACATCCAGCTCACACACACACACGTGCACACACACACACACACACATAAACACCTATGTGTTCCTAATGTTCCCAATTTTGTTTAATTCAAATTTTTACTAAGTAATGGATGGTATCTCAAAGTATTCAGCAAACAGGGCTTGACTGTAAAGTTTTCATATTTCGATTACACTCGAATGTACATTTGTTGACAAGCGAAATGTGTCCATGACACACAACAGACATAATTTACCAACTGCTTTCTGTAACATTGTCCATATCTCTCTTATTTTTGCGCCCGCTGAATGTTATTCTCATGCATATCACACACTTTGTACTTGTGTACATCTGCTGTTGGACCAGAAGAGACCTCTATAAAATTGAACAGTCCTTGTCAGACCTCTATAAAACTGAACAGTCCTTGTCAGACTTCTGTAAAACTGAACAGTCCTTGTCAGACTTCCAGACTTGGACCACTTATGACAGTTCTGTATAGACTGATAGGTGTGATGAGACTTGGAAACTCAGGAGTGAACCTCATCCTTGTACAATATGTTCCAAAATTCCTTGTCGTATTAAGTGCTCACATTCAGATCGCAGAAGGAAATGCTGAAAAATATAAATGAACATTTGTGAATAAGACAGGTTAATTTCTGATGAAACAGTATAGATAACATTTTCACTTATAAGAAAGTATATGATCAGTATTTCAGAGAAATTGTGACTTACAAAACGAAAACCAAAATGTCAACAATGCCGTTTGAAAGTATGAACGTTTGTACAGTATTTTCTTCATTGATAAATTACCTGACTGTTTTTCTTTAGCACCAGTATGTTCCCATCTTGTGTTTCAAACTCACCATGGTCCATTATGCATCGAACCTTTCAAGCAAGAAAACAAGCAGTGTAGAGTGCAAACAACATATTCAATTGATACGGGATATATCCTAAGTTTCTAACATAAGAATTATTTTAGTACATCTCACTTTTCATCAGAACCTATTTCAAACAGTTAATGCATGTTCTAATGCTTACTGCCAGATGTAGACTGACACAGTCAACTCTGACAATGTGATCCTATTGTATATATTCCACCTCCTTTTTCCTCATTCTTCAAATAGGCAAACTCAAAATAAAAAGAATAATATTTCAACATTGATGCTATTGAATGGCATGTGAAATTGAATGACCCTGTCTAGAAGTGAACCCAAAATCATTCTGAATAACTTTTGAGTGCATCACAAGTCTAGAAATGTATTCTAAGGTAATCACTTCTATGTGAAATTTTGTTTCTCCTAATCGTAGAATATGGTTTCAGTCTCAGCTGTAACCAGTCACTGTGTACCTACATGTCTACACCTTTAGACTTTTAGGACACGGTCTTGAAAGGACACCGTAAAATTGTTACTATACACTTTACCTCTATATATAGTGTCTTGGGTGGTTTGAGATCCTGTGTTAGATCTAGGCCGCCTTCACCACCTATTGACCTCATATAACTTGCAAGCATCTTATTGTACTTCCCAAACCACTGGACCTAGTGGAAACAGTCATAAATTCAGCAGTTATTATACTGTTTTCCATCTCATAAACACTGTTTTGGATATGATGCTCTATTTCACACCTCCATAATAATTGTAGTGACGGAAATAAATTTTTTTATTTAATAATGTCAAAAAACGAAAATGAAGACTTTCCAAAATGCATGCCATAAATCTATTGTTAAATAAAATTTTAATAATCAAATACTGGTAAATCATGTACATTTTATTTTCATGGTGCTAATTTTTTTTATTAAAAAACGAAAAGCAATTTTTGACATTTGATTTTGAGGATTAATGTATCTCAATGAATCAACTTTAATTTTGATAGGTCATGGACATATGAATTTGTAAACAAAGTACCATGCAAACCAACAAAAATAAACATCCACAGAATATTAATACTGTAATATCACATTACATTTTTTTTCAAGGGCTAACCTTCTGTTCTTTTGGTGATTTAAGGTATCAGGGCTGCAAATAGTCCAAATTATACTGACATTCAATTAACTTTTTAATATCAGTCTGGAGTTCATTCCATATCAATATAAAAAATTTGGATTAGGATGTCAACTTACAAAATTGATATGGTGGATAAATTTAGCGTAGAAGACAATCTGATGCTAATATCAATATCCATCAACATACAATAGCGTAACAGATTTTACCTCCTGCTCACACATATTAAATTTTACATCTGCAGGTAATACACTGCCAAACTCCCATCGCATCTTTTTTATATGCTCTATCCTGTTGAACCTGAAAACAGATTAATCTTGTTAAATTCTGCAAATTTAATCATTAAAACACAAAATAATTAAACAATCAAAATACAAATTTCTGAATTCTCTCCATATACACATTGTGTGTCCATAATCTGTGTAACCCTTAATTGAGAGTGAAACTGATGTTACATGATGATCAGAGAGTAATAGAAACAAGTGTATACAATACAACAGTCAACAACCAGAGAAACTCTAGATAAAGGATCGGGTGTGGCTCTTGATACAAGAACAGTGGAAAGCTTCATCAATGCATGTCCAACACAATGGAATTGTAAGACGTGATGCTTATTGTAGATATTCCAACCTTAAAAATTATTTTATTTGTAGGTTCTCATGGATAGTACAAGATAATAAATGGACTTCTTATTCTTATTTGTTACTCTATAACTCTTTTCTTTCCTTACAAGTATGCTAGGAGACAACGCTTGTTCCTTTCCAGGGCTGAATGTCGAAGCTGAACCCCAGAAAATAATCCACTCTCCCCTGCAACTGTAGCACTCCTATGTAAAAAAATGTGCAGATTAAAAAATAACTAAATTTTCCACATAATTCCTTCAAGGCAACATATATAGATGTCATATAGTTCACAAAGTATGACCTAAGGGATATTTAATACAGCATAAAATACATGTTTGACAACTAACTCACTCTTCACCTACAATTTCACTTCATGATGTGCATTGTTGTATCCCTCCCAGAGGTTGTCAACTTATGTTATAGATTAATCATGCATTGACTTGTGATATTTGTGAGTTACTCTGCATCTTGGTTATCACCTACTTAAACAATATACAGTCAGCAAGTTAAGAAACTTCTGGGATGATGGCCAAGACAATATTATGAGTAATTATTTTGAGAATCATATAACTTACACATCTTTTTGATTTTGATCAAATAAAGCCTTCATTTCTTCGAGAATTTGACGGGCTTTGTCCTCCTGCAAAAAAAATAATTGAATAATATACCTGTATCCCAAGCTGATTTCTTTTAGCAATAGGTTAACAACAATATATGTAAATACAAGAGGCCCAAAGGGCCTGCATTGTTCATGAGGTTTTAAAAATCTAAAACAACCCAAAGCTACAAGAAGTTTTTACTGCTTTCCAATACAAACTTTCAAGACTTGTCACATATTTTACACATGATCTGAATATGGGTAAAGACTTTTCTTTTTGCAAACTTTGCTCTTTTTGCAAACTTTGCTGGGCTTCATCTACTTGAAGAAACCTTATAGCCAAGTATCGTGAATCTAGATGTTTGATTAATCAATGTCTTTGAACACAGGTTAAGGCAATTTCCTTTTGTTACCTTTATATCCTAGGCCTTTTAATTATTATTCTTGTTATTATTACAATCTGAACAGCCAGTCGACACATACTGGGTCGTTAGAGTGATCAACTGGTGAAACACACAGCGATCCAAAAAAAAAATAATATCAAACAAACTAAAAGGTAAAAGTTTATATCATCACAAAAGATCAAAATGGTAAGCCATTGTCTGTAATATAGACAAACATCTTTCAGATAACCAAGAATTTTATAAATCTCAGCAGTTCCATATTTATTATATTATGATAAAAAATTGTTGAGTAGTCAGAAGGTCAATGCAGTCCAATAAATAATGTTAAATGGTGAATGGCCCATCACATTCTATACACAGAGGATTATCCTCGCTATTTAAGATATAGCAATGTGTAAGGTATGTATGCCCCATCAGAAGACAGGCAGGAACAACTTCGTCTCGATGGTTGTCTCTATAGTGTGGTGACCATTCACTGATGATTAGTTTTACAGAGTGCAATTTATTATCGGTATATCAATTCCATTCCTCCTGCCACTAAGTTGTTAAAAATTGTTTGATAAATGGTATAAAATCAGTCAAACAGTTTTGATAAATCAGAAGTCATTTAGTGTTGTAAGGTATTAGACCCCTGTCACAACTTGAATACGAGTCAAGATCATTTCTTTTCATTGATCAGCCTAATACTAGGAACCTAGCAGCCATATATTATTTCAACATCATGGGTAGAGTGGGGGTCTAATCCTTGATTTGCATAAAATCTAATCCCATTAACCAAATGATGACCAACTTTGGTCAGAAATACCTTCGTTTCTCAGTAACTATTGTTTATATAAAGATTCTCCTTTACACAATGCTGCAGATTTAATTCCTTTTGTAATCTATTCCTATCAAGCCCTGCTCCTCAAAACGCTTTCACAGGCCCAAGTCACCGTGTATACAGAATTGAGCACCCTTCCTTGGCAATTACTTCTGACAAGACCAAAATATCAGTATATATCCCAGAAGAAGGATTTTAAAACTTACCAAATTTGGACAAAATCTTGTTATCCCTACAGAAAAAAAAAAAAAAAATGCTACAAATATCCTTTTCTGGGCCTCAGCAAGCTCATACAAAATGGTTCCTATTCCTGAAAGGAAACTGCTAACCAAATTTGGTCAGAATCCAGCTGGGTAAAATTATCCCCATGTTGTGATTTACGTTTACAAGTGCGTGTTTGTGTTCATAAGGTATGTTTTAAGATGCTGATGTTTTAGGGTGTGATTGTTATTTTGTTAGGTATGTAAGATTGTTTATGTATTTTCATTGGTCAACTCTATTGTCTATGTGATTTGATTGGTTGGTCCTACTGGTCAGTTTCGCATATATGTTTCTTTGTGACTTGGGTGATTTTTGCCAGTATCCTTTGTGAATTCACAGGTGAAAATGTACCTGATGAATGTTTTTATATATAGATCATACCTGTAGCATCTTTTTCTGTTTCTTACAGGGTTGTCTCTTGTGATTTCTAATGTGACATAATAAAGATGACAGGGAAACAAAAACATTTGTTGTTATTATAAAGAAATAACAATATGCCACAAAAATATGTTGCTTATAAGCAGCTAATAATTACTTGACCCTTTGATTCAAGCCAAGTGAACTTATGAAAGATTCCAGAAATATTGTGGCATCCCTCATCATATGATCCTAACTAGTTCTTTATTATATGTAGTTGGATCTTTCCCTTTCTTTCCTCTTATTTACTCTAAATTAAATTAACATCAACAGAAGAATCAATCATATAATAACATCAATAACCAAGGGCTGTACATTGTATTTCTAAAGATAGAGAGAGTTTACCAATTATAACTGTCAAGATCAAGATAACGGCTTGTCAATCATGTAGTTTCTTCTATGTCAGTCCCAGAATGGTAATAATGAGTCAGTGTCATGGGGGAAAACAATGCTAAATATTCTAATGATAAAGAAACAAAATTAAAAAGCTAAAAAGAACAAAGGACATTACAGTTTTGAAATATGGTCAAATCAAAATGCTATGCAAAAGAACATAATATCATTTTAAAGTTTGAAAGGCTACCAAGTTTCAAAGAAATGATCAAAAATCAGAGGAAGGAGATATCTTGACAAAATGAAAATGTTTGAGAAAAAGAAAAGGGAAACTCTTCCTAATATTGCAAAAAAGTAAAGCCTATAAAGGTTAAGTTGGTAAAAACCTGATGGAGATCTCTGTTCAAAATCAACATAATGCAAAAAAGGGGGAGGGGAGCAAGAACTCCTTCAAAATTGCTACACCAAACTTCTATGAATGGAAACACAACTTTATGTATAAGCCTAGCAATTTTTTTAAGGAAACTGGTTTCAAACTGGAAGGAGATCTTTAGGCAAGTTTAATATTTTAAAAACAAGGGGCAGTAACTCTTCCAATATACAGTTGAAGCAAAAAAGCCATTCACAAAATCTCAACTTCATGTCATGGCTAGTAAGCTTACCAAGATTTATAGAGATCAGTTAAAATCTTTGGGAGGAGATCTCTGGACATATAAAGTTTACACAGGGCAGACAACCTCACAAAATCCTTTAAAATTGGGAACAAGTCATCACTGTACCATATAATTTCTTGTCAAAATATTTGACAAATATGTTCAACAGAGACAAAAAGTACAAAAGATCAGGAATGAAACTTCATCCAAAATCAGAACTTTATTATAAATTTGTTTCTTTTGATTTGTCAGAAAATTCTGATAAACATTTTTTTTCTTTCTTTTCACGCATACAGTCATACCGGTACTGATACTAGAATATTATAGAAGTGGATCCACATATAAAATACATGTACACATTTCAAATGTACATTCTCCCCAATTCAGGCACAAAGTCCAAAAACCAGTTTATTTTAATCTTCTTTCCATCTATATGGTCATACACAACACGAGTCAACAGGATCACCTCCCTTTAACAAATAAATTAAGAATCATTAAAATCACTGTTTCGGACATAAATATTTTCTCTGGAGATGACTTCAGTTTTGATGAGTTTTTTTCCTTTGCTTCTTGGGTTTCCCTTTGTTTTTCTTACTCTTCTATGACGACATATCATCCAAGTGATCCTTCATCCCTTGTACAACATTTTCCTCTGTGATAATCTTTGCTTTCTTACCACCAGCTTGATATTCAACAGCTTCAGTTTGATGGGTTGAAGTTGTGTCTTCTTCTTGATCAGAACTAGTTTCAGCAGGATCACAGTCAGATGTAGCAGGAATAAAAGATGTTATGTCAACAGCAGCAGGATTGAATGGGTATATGCCACATTTCAGGAATAAGGAACGAAGATTGGCTGCAGACATACTTTTACTGTAAGCTTTGCATCCCAATTCACAAGTGGAATGTTTTGGGATTGACGAATTTGATTTTTTTTTCATTAACTTTTCACTCAGATTGTCATAAACTTTTTGGAAAGGTCCAAAGCATCCTTGGTTATGTGGTTTCAGCTTGTGACTGATGAAAGAAGGTAGGAAGAATAAGATAATATTCTGTTCCTTTGCCCACTTTATGATTCCCAAATTTATATCTGAACGATGCCCATCATATAACAGAAGGAGTGGCTCAGAAGTATCTGGTCTCTGTATAGATTTTATGAAGTGTGTCTCAAGGTACTGTCTGATAACCTCATCATTACTTAACCCTGTCTTACTCACTGTGCCACTCACCCCCGGTGTTGCACCTTCCAGCCATCCTGATCTCATATGTTTCCCTGGAAATACGAAATATGGTGGAATTACTGTTCCAAGAGCATTACCAGCACCAAGAACAGTGACTGTATGTGATGTACCACTAGTGACTGCACCAGACTTTGTTTTCTTGTCTGTTTTGGAGGGAGATTGGTGATCCACAATACCCTTCTCTTCCATTATGTATATATGTTGTGGTTTATCCTTTAGATTGGTCAGAGTAAGAATTTTCTTTAACTCCTCAAAATAAAAATCTATGTTCTTCTGTGATGTTCCTTTAGCTCTTGCTATAGCAGGCGTTCCTGGTTTTTTCACTGCTAAAGTTGGCCAACGTGCAATGAAGTTCCTATACCACTGGTAGGAAAGGTGATGTTCTTTATCACGGAGACCAAGTTCTACAGCCAAATCTGTTGCCAGATTGCACAGTCTTTGGCGATTATAACAGTAACCCACACTAGCTAATGTTGTTACGTAATCTACAAGCCTCTGTTCTTCTTCTGCCGGAAGTAATGGACTTGGTCCTGACCTTGCAGTTTCAAGATCTACAGCACCAATGACCCTTTGTCGTAGAGTGGTTCCCGGCACATTAAAAAGCCTTGCGGCTTCTTTGACAGGCATGTTTTCTTCAGTTACTCGAAAGTAAGCATTCGTCAAGGCATCCATTTCATACTGACGATAATCTCTTTTCATGCGTGGCTTCTGAAAATGAGCAAAAAAAAAATACTTGTGAATGACAAACTTTGCAAATTGGTTCATAGATTGATTTTACCACACAGGTATCTAACATCTTACCTTTATAAGTCGGATCTTTTACCTCATTTCACCATTTTACCTGTTTCTGCTCTTATTATTAATCATATGTTGTACATTTTGTGCTATAATTAGCAGGTGACATTAAATGTCCTGTGGTAACATCAGTATAACAAGGCAAAAACCTATATATATGACAGTAAAATTGGTGGATCAGATTTGATCTATGACTGCAAAACTAGACTTACAAAACCCTCAATTTTATCATCTTGCTTAATAAGTCTCAAAAAGGAACTATTAACTACTTCAAAAGAAATTTGTAAGAAGTCAGTGAAGTACTCGCTGTCTGTTTTCTGTTCATCAGTCAGGGTAATTGAACTCTTTATCACCCTATTTTATTCTTACCCACTTAATATGGTATTTTAATCATCTTTATCAATCTAAAATCCAAAAAATCCTCTAAAATGATGGCATCAATCAGAGGCCTATTTTTCCAATCTTCTATTCGCAAAGTGTACAAACATTTTCCATTTACTTGAGCAGAGAAACTGGTTGTGCCTTTACGCCAAGCCAGTTATTGTCAAAATCAAAGATGGACAACTGTTAGCCAGTTTGTTTTTCTAATTATGATCACTCTCAAAATAGAATATTTAAATTTCTACTCAAGTTGAACTCACTCAAGTTGAACTCAATGAAACTACCAAATTCAGCCTATTTCATTCATCAATTTTTTCGACCAGGTTAACATTGATCTGGGTGTATGAATACTTATTTACAGATTCTGTAAGCCGAGAAAAACCCTTGCACATATTTGATACTAAATTTTAGATAAAACTAATCAAATTTACTTTAGATTAGTAGAATATAAATTGATAACAACAAATTTGTCATGAACTGAAATTTGTCTGAAGAGCAACTCAATTCATCACCCCATGAAATTGACAAAAGCAAGATTCAATGCTTAAATGGACAACACTAAGGACTGAATTTGAGAATTTTTGTATGAAATTTGAGAGACTTCAATTGTCAAAATCCAATTTTTTTGTCTCTATATAAATCTCAATATTGAGAAGGCATTCAAATCTAAGATAATGACTTGTGGATATCATTGAAATATCGCAGATAAATATTTACATTATTGGTGCTGCTCAAATTTTGTTCCCAAAGATAGATTATAAATCTTCTGTGTATTACACCTGTGTTGCCAATTTAACCTCTTATCAGGTAATACCTAGTCATGGCCTTCAACATCATCAGACAAATTATAATGTAGATATCAAATCTTTACATATTCAGATAATGTTCTATGTTATGTTTTAACATTATTTTGACTTCATATTAGAATCAAACAGATAATTTGAAATGTTTAAATACATAGGTCAAAAGTCAAGTATTATTGGGTGACTAGCATTTCCAGAAATGCAAAGTGGTAACAAGGGCTGCATTTTATTACTGTAGTTTTATGGTGAAAACTTAACATGGAATTATCTATTTTCTGAGAGTAAAATAGACTTAACCTGACAATTAATCAGCTGAATATTTTCTACTCTGATTTCATTTTCCATCATCTGGTTAGGTCATATATATATATATATAACATCAGGTTGACAATCAACTGCATATTACGAAACCCTGACTGTGAATCACAACATATTTTGGGATCAAATTATTCATAAACAGAAGGTTACTTGTTCTGATTCACTACAGTACAGTGAATTTACACATCTAAGGTAGGTCTTGAAATGGAAAAATCGAAAATAGAAACTAGATGTCAGAGTTCGGGAATTATCAGCTTTTATTTATTTCACCAGTTTTTACGTTCAATATTACAGCCTTTCAGCTGACGAGAAAGAATCGGGAAATGAGTAGAAAGGAAAAATAGGAAAAGATGGGAGAGAGTGGGAACTGTGATACATAGTTGAGGTGGAGAGGAGACGTCTATGTTACTTGTCCCGTTATAGAACTGTAATTCAGAAAGCGATCCTTGGCCTCATTGTAGACCTAGCCTAACACAAAGCACGTCGCAGCAAATCATGAGCCCCATCCCTTGGCACATTTATATTCATAATAGGAGTGGGAACTAGGATGATATTCTACAAGTTATTGGCGGCCATGTTGACACGCTAGGTAAAAGCTTAGATGAACGATCCAGATTTGAGGAATAAATTAACAACAAGGACAAGTATACAGCTCTGTCCCTTAAAATTACAGTTGTTAATATTTTACCTTAAATAGATTTACTCGCAACGTGTTTTTCTTCTGCTGGTTGGCCATGCTGCAGTTACCATACACACCCGGCAATTTTGAGGTCACGCGAATTATTCACGTGATTTTTTGCTGGACAAAATGGCCGCACCGAAACACATACCTTTCGGAATACGATTTAAAGACGTTACGCGTTAAAGTTACACAGCATAGTAGGTCTATAGTACATGCCCTTACATTGTATGGCGGCAGGGAACCGTCAACGGAGCGTTGTAGTTCACGAATCAGTTCGAGAGCTTTTTCAGCTAGCATTTTTGTATATAAAAGATGTTCGCCAAGACTTCCGTCAACACCGTGACAAATCTCCCGCCATAATAGCTTGTTCTATTTTTACATTAGAGTTATTTCCCCTCTACCAGGCCTTCACCGCTGCTGCAGTCTCAAATGAAAATAACTTTACATAATTTTTGTGGTGGTTAAAACAATTTTTCATTTGTATTCAATTTACACGGGTACTGGTGTTATCTATAAATAGAAATATTATTACTAATTCTTTGACCTCTATGTTGTGATATACGTCTCTGGTAAAGATTTCTCGCGCAAATAGTTGATGATATTACGAAGATGTTACAATCACAATAGCCAGCAACTGTACATAGAACTAATTACTCCATTGTAACTAACAAACTTGTGCTCATTATTTTGCTTTACCAGCTTAAGTTTAGACTGAACACATTGAATATTTCAATAATCGATATTGATTATCATGGTGTAATCAAATAATTTTCTATTTTTAGATCTGGGTCATCTCAATAATAAACGGTTGTGTGTGACCAGAGACATATATAACACATGATGTGATATATACATCTCTGATGTGACGAATGAAGGGGATTATGTAAATAAATATGGTGCCCAGTAATTCCCAACCTTCGCATATGGGACAAGCTGGCAATCATGTCTGTAAATACAATAGACTACCTCATGACACACAGAGATCAATAGATGATACAACAGATATCTTTAGATGATACATCAGCTTTTACGTGGGTTTCTATTAAATAGATAAGCTGGGGCTGATCAGTTTAACATTCTTTCTTTCACAATACAATTTATATAGAACACAATATCGATATTGTATCAAGAAGGACAACTATGATAATTAATTGTTCTTCAAAATGTTCAAGTTCAGGTATTTTTTGCGAGACTAATGAACTGAAGTTTCATCATCACACTTGCTTAAACGACTACAGCATTTCAATTACACACGAACTGAGGAAATTTGGTGTTAGAATTCATTTCAACCCAGAATCAAATTCTGACAATGTGTTAAAGCTTCTGTACTTTTTAATTTCATCAACAACTTTCTCTACTTCTCCTATATAAAGCTATTCTTTAGTGCTCATTCTTCCCAGTACGTAAGAACGGTCCTGAAGGAAGGAGGGGGGCATCGTATCATACACATACAGCGCAGTGTCTCTAGAATTTGAATTAAGCTTTCCAATCTGTCTCAAAACTAAACATTGATAAGAAAGCATCAACAAAAATATATCCTATAAAATTGGGTAAGGTAATTTGTCGAAATCCAAGAAAGGGATTACTCCAATTTTCTTAAAGAAATAGCGTCAAGAAGTCTTTTTATATCATGGCGCAGTCCTAAGCTTGAATTTACACAGCTACAGACAAGAGAAAATCTGTATATAAAGAGAATGATCCCTAGAACTGTTCCAAGAAATTGCGATGAGATTTTAAAGGATATCATCTAGATGGATGACAGAGTCCCCGGCTCTCAGATCCCTTTACACAGATACGTATCGTTTTCGCTAAGTTTTAATAAAATTCTATTGCATATCGTTTTGAAGTGACTACATCAATTTTCCATTTCTGTGTATCCTGGTCGTTCAATCTTTATATTTTTCAGTACGTTGAGCATTCCATGAATAACTCATACCACACCACGCTTGATAAAAATTATGCACATGTATATGTAAAAGGCTTATTATCCACAAAATATTTACAACATACAAAGTAATGCAGTATATTTTTCGTTTGACTTTCTTTGGAATGAGTCAACTATGACCAATATATTATCATTCTTGTTTTGACAGATAAATCAAGACATGTATAACACAATTGCAAAGTTTAGAAAGGATACGCTTAATTACTGTAAAAGACCATATTTCAATATGTTAATAATATGTAAATCGGTTTCTGACTTTTTAACCTTGTTGAACCCCTGTACATTATTTTGAACCAGACTTGATCTTTAAGACTGTTAAAATACAAGCTATCAATAGTTGAATATTTTTTACGGAAACCAGTCTGGTTTTCACTACTAAGATGCTGTACTCCGAGTATATCTGTAAAGGATCTCCCAGTTAACAATCGTCATTGATCTGTAGTTTTTATTTCTGAAAATAGGGATAAGAAAGCATTTAGCTGGAAAGTTTCTACTACTGAAAATATTAACAAACATTTTGTCATACAGGTCAGTCATTTCATTCATAAATGATCATCGGGGCATGATTTATTGATTCAGCAAACTTCAACAGTCATCAAAGTCAGAAATGATGAAATATAGGCTACAATCATCTATATTAAGTACATGTATGTAACACATATTTGGCGTATTAGTTTTCAGCTCAGTATGATTGACAAGAGATCCCAGGGGGATCTCGGCGCCCACCAGTGTGTGATCTTTATTTTCTCTTTGGAAGTTCTTTTCTCTGTTTTTGCTCTTAAAGATAAGAATTTTGAACATTAGTTTGCAAAAATAGGGATGATAATCTTTACCTACCAAATCCCAAGATGGTCGCCTGAAAGCCAAGTTGTTTTCTGATCTGTCCCAAAATCAAATGGGCACAAATACAGACAAAATAGAACATAGGTATGTAATTTGAGAGATCCATTTGGTACTTCTTAAGAAATAGGAATAGCAATCTTTCCTAAGCGAAATCCAAGATGACTGCCTTTTCTCCATTTTGTATTTCTGGTAAGTTCCAAACTCCAACAGGCACAACTAAGGACAAACAGGAACATATACATGAATTTTTTTTATTTAGTGTTTCTCAAGAAGCACCGATAACAGTATATCTCAAGAAGCAGCATAACAAACTTTCAAAATCAAAATCCAACATGGTCGTCTGATGGTCATTTTTTCTGACTAGTATCAAAATCAAACAGGCACAACTAGGGATCAAGGGAAACGCACACATGAAATTTGAGAAAAATCAATGCCGTAGTTCTCAAGAAACAGCAAATACAAACTTTCTAAGTCAAAATCCAAGATGGCTGACTGTCGGCCATTTTGTCTTTCTGATCAGAATCAAATTCAAACGGGCATAACAAACGACAAAGGGAAACCTTGGTATGAAATTTGATAGAGTTCCATTCAGCACTTCTTAAGAAATAGGGATAATAAACTTCCCTTGGTGAAATCCAAGATGGCTGTCTGTCAGCCATTTTAATTTTCTGGGTCAGATCTGACTCAAACAGGCACAACTAAGGACAAAGAGGAATCTATACATGAAATTTGGGAAAGATCTATGCAGTATTTCACAAGAAATAGCAATAACAAAATTCAAGATGGCCACCTGTTGGCCATTTTCTTTGTCTGATCAGTACCAAAATCAAACAGACACAACTAAGGATCAAAAGTTACTTATATATAAAATTTGAGGAAGATCTATGTTGCAGTTCTCAAGAAATAGCGTTTACAGTATTTCAAAATCAAAATCCAATATTGCCATCTAACGACCATTTTGTTTTACTAATTAGTCCCAAAATCAAATGAGCACTACCAGGGACCAACGGGAACCTACATACGAAATCTGAAAAAGACCTATCACCAATTTCTCAAGAAATAGCAATAACAAGAATTGATTATGGACAGACAGACCATGGACCATGGATGCATGGCAGTTTGAATCAGGTGTTGGGCTAAAAATGTTTGCTCATCAGTGTGAGGTCAAGGAGAAATGATTAAATTCAGTATTTTCCTCATTTGTTCATTTATACATTAAGATGAAAGGCCAAGGTCAATAATGAAAACCACACAGCATAATATCAGTGTGGAATAACATTGATCCTACTGGTGTCACATGATCCGTTATCAAGGTGTAGTGATCCAAAGTAAAGACCATTAATCAAAGTAAAATCTAAATGCTTCAGGACAGCAAAAACATGAAGCAGTACATATTGTATGAATCAGTTCCAAGTTTCCATTCATGTTTGTGAATCATAGGGGTTTTTTTCCATTGTTTCTTAATAGAATATCCATCACAGCATTCTATACTTTGGCCTACTGCTGTCGCTGTTACATGCAATTCAAAACAAAACAATGTGAAATATTTGTTTTTTTTTTAATTCTCACAACAAGTGCATATAAAGTGTATAAAGTGTAAAAAGTTAGAAACAGCACCAGTCTATGTTTGTAGGGCATGTTAGTAATGGAAATTTGTTGAGTTCTTAATGGAAAGTAGACTCCAACAAAAACCTTGCAAAATTCAAGAAAAGCTCCCTAAAGGTAACTCAATCTAAGTGAGAGAGCGAGGGGGTAGGAGGGAGAGAGAGAGGGTAGGAGGGAGAGAGAGGGAAGGAGAGAGAGATAGAGAGAGAGGGAGAGAGAGAGAGGGAGAGAGAGGGAAGGAGGGAGAGATAGAGAGAGGGAGAGGGAGGGAGAGAGGGAGAGGGAGCTCTTGTATAGAGTCTCAAAAATCATTCAGCTCCTTAAATTTACTCATCTAAGAATGAATGTACGCTTGTATAGAGATTTTCTCCAATGTTACATAATTACAGAAAGAAATTTTCTTTTAGACATAGTCATAGAGAGAGATTCTAGCCTTAACTGTATAGTCTTGGAAACAGTTGTTCCTCTAGCCTTACAGTACAAGAAAGAGACCATCACTGTTGTAGACAAAGCTCATCTAGAGCTCCTCCAGAGTTACAAACTCAATAAGAGTTCATTTAGAGTTAAAGACATACAGAGAGTTCATCTAGAGTTACAGTCTGAGCAAGAGCTCATCTAAAGTTACAGTCTGAACAAGAGCTCATGTAGAGTTACAGTCTGAACAAGAGCTCATGTAGAGTTACAGTCTGAACAAGAGCTCATCTAGCTTTACAGTCTGAATAAGAGCTCATCTAAAGTTACAGTCTGAATAAGATCTCATCTAGTTTTACAGTCTCAATGATAGCTCATCTAGAGTTTCAGTTTTAATAAGAGCTCATGTAGAGTTACAGTCTGAATAAGAGCTCATCTAGAGTTACAGTCTGAAAAAAGAGCTCATCTAGAGTTACAGTCTCAATGATAGCTCATCTAGAGTTACAGTCTGAACAAGAGCTTATCTAAAGTTAAAGTTTTAATAAGAGCTCATGTAGAGTTACAGTCTGAACAAGAGCTCATCTAAAGTTACAGTTTGTAATAAGAGCTCATCTAGATTTACAGTCTCAATGATAGCTCATCTAGAGTTTCAGTCTGAATAAGAGCTCATCTAGAGTTACAGTCTGAAAAAGAGCTCATCTAAAGTTACAGTCTGAATAAAAGCTCATCTCGAATAAGTCTCCCAAAGATCTCCTCTAGAGTTAATCTCAAAACAATCGCTAGTGAGCTCCCCAAGGGTAACACAATCTTAGATCTTGCTTCTCTAGAGATACAATGGCTTAGAGATAATTATTATAGAGTAATAGTATGAGAAAATCTTCTCTCAAATAATACAACCTCCAACAGCAGTCATTTTGAGTTACACCTCTAGGGTTACACATTCTGACAGCTATATAAAGAGCGTGTCTTGAAGTTTCAATCTCACAGTGACTTCCCCTCGAAATTAGTTTCATAGGGAGCTATTCTAAAGTGACTTGGATAGAGCCCATCTAACATTAAACAGTTTCAGAGAGAGAAGTGATATTATCATAAATTGACAAGAGTTTTATTACCACTTGGTATGGGTAAGGGATTTTTTCTTTCATTTCAATGTAGAAATCTCACCTCAGCTCTATAAAAGGGACAGTGTGATAAATGCCTTGAACCATCAGGGAACATTCATCTCAGCTCTATAAATAGTATACTTGCCTGTAATGACTGGAAATTCCAACTACTTATCTCTAAAGATTCTCTACCACATTAAAATAAGACATGATGCAACTACATCCATCAACCATGTCCCAGGGCTAATAACTTTTGGCATTACACACCATCACAGGTTAGTGTATCAGATATGAAAATTCCTTCTTGTCTGGTTCATGCTCTAGCATAAAAATTTGATAAGTACAATGAATGCCTATCTTTGTGTACATATTATTACAATTACCGACCAAATGGACCTGAATCTCTTGTCTGTCCTACAGTTTTCAAAGGAGAAATTGTCAGTTAAGTCTCTTTCTGTGAACTTGAAAGCACAATTTCACAAGCTTGCTACTGTATAAATAACATGATCAATGACCTATTGGTCAATTATGCTATCACACAAATGTTACTGTTGAATGTCCTGTAAAGAAAGACATCAAACTGTCTCTATCACATAACTTGTTCCTTTTATGAGGATATGTTCTCTAAAACACTAACACAAGTTTGTCAGCTACCAGTGCTTTCCTTTAAAAGTTGATGAACATCTTTGTATATGACCTTAAGGCTTTCTAGATCCGGACTTGACTTCTGAAAGTACACAAGGTTCATCTCATTTCAATCCTAAAACTCCGAAAATTTCAGATATCTCTCATACATAATCTAACCTATCATATAACATCCATTTTCTCATACATATACCTAACATCTCATACATACAACTAACTTCTCAAACATATATCTAACATGTCATACAACCACCTAACCTCTCACACATACACCGAACTCCTCACACATACATCTGTTAACTTCTCACACACCTAACCTCTCATACAACCACCTAACTTCTAACACATACATCTAACCTTTCACACATAAACCAAACCTCTCAAACATAAAACTAACTTCTCACATATATATCTAACCTCTTATACATACACTTAGCCTCTCACACATACCATAACCTAATCTCTCACACATACACCTCACCTGTAACACATATATCTAACCTCTCATATATACACCTAACCTCTCACACATATATCTAACCTCTTATATATACAACTAACCACTCATACATACACCTGACCTGTCACACACACATCTTATCTGTCATACACACATCTAACCTGTCAGACATACCTCTAACCTTTCATAAGTAAATGTAACCTCACATACACTCTGACATGCCATAAACACATTAGCACACAAGTAAATCTAGAAAAACAACATAATTGATATTTCTTACCATAAACAGTGGGTACAGCTGTTCCTTGCTACTTTCACTGCCCTCCAAGAGAACGGCGAGGTAACATACCACTCTTTGCTGTTAAAAAACATCCAACACAAGCAAAATACATAAAGCTTCCAAAACAGAGTCAAGACTAAACTAAAAGAGATGCACACACCACTAATTAATTTTTAGCAGATATCCTCCAATGTGTTTTGATATTCAAACAATTAAACAGAAAATAAAGAAACTATTGAAATCTAAATCAAGACCTATTCCTAATAGTTTGGTATGTGCACTTCTGACCTCGTGATTGATGACTTACAGAATACCCTAATCAAGCATATACCGGTATGTGAAAACCATATGATTTTCAAATAGGTTGTGCATTAGAAAATAATAGTCAGGATATGCAGAGGTATCTTTTAACAGCTTCTCTTATTGATCTCATAGCCCTCACTTAAGGTACTGAACAATGTCTACTTTGTTACAATGAAAACTTACCATGGTGATAGCTTCAAGAATTACAATATCCTTGATTTCACCGATTTCAAAAAACTCAGCTGTAACTTGTCCAAACCAGTTCTTCATTTTCACATTGATGCCAACAGATGATATAAAGACCAGAGACTCTGAGGATTTACCAAAAAGTTACTTAAAGCTTTGTACACTATTACTGTCATTTCAGATGGTGCAATCATTATTACTGTCATTTCAGATGGTGCAATCATTATTACTGTCATTTCAGATGGTGCAATCATTATTACTGTCATTTCAGATGGTGCAATCATTATTACTGTCATTTCAGATGGTGCAATCATTATTACTGTCATTTCAGATGGTGCAATCATTATTACTGTCATTTCAGATGGTGCAATCATTATTACTGTCATTTCAGATGGTGCAATCATTATTACTGTCATTTCAGATGGTGCAATCATTATTACTGTCATTTCAGATGGTGCAATCATTATTACTGTCATTTCAGATGGTGCAATCATTATTACTGTCATTTCAGATGGTGCAATCATTATTACTGTCATTTCAGATGGTGCAATCATTATTACTGTCACTTCAGATGGTGCAATCATTATTACTGTCATTTCAGATGGTGCAATCATTATTACTGTCATTTCAGATGGTGCAATCATTATTCAGATTTTCTATACATATGTTCTATGTTTGGACCAATTACCATGATGTGCCATGTTACAACATTGCAGTGACACATTTTTATAATCAACATTTACCATTCACATTCATATAATGAAAGCTTGTCTTGTTATCAATATCTTATTTGGTGAAAAATTAACTCCCAAAATAATTCAAAACAAAAAACATTCTGAAGATGTTGATGTACCTGACTGAATCTGAATACCAAATATGACTGTAGTGGCAACAGCAGCCACACAAACACCTATAACAGGAAAATAAATCTGAAAGAAAACAAAATGAATTCAATTAATTTGTGAAAGGAAGGACAGATTACTACAGCTAAACTCACAATATATGTCCTTTTGAGACCTTCATAAGAGAAATATTTGATTTTATGTAATCTGACTTCCATAATTTACATCATTTGTTCTTAAAAGCACTTACATTGTGTCTGCTGTCAATACTAGTAAACTTTGTCTACTATTAGGTATCAACTGCTTTACAAGGGCATCATTCGCAATTAACATTTAGTCACATTTGAGTACAAATTCAGAATTTATGCATTTTCATACTTATGGAGAAATGCAACTGTGAGGTAAATTCTTAACAAAATCCTAATGTAAAAGGAGCAGGTCAGTGTGGCTTGAATATAGTGTTATATAACGACTCTGTCATTCAGCTGGCAGCGCATGCTTCTTCAACACAGTTGGTAGAGCAAGTTGATATTTGCGCCCCAAACCTGGGTCCATTCCTGATAGGGGCACTAAACAGGAAAGAGTATTTTCTCTGTCCTTTCACATTTATTTAACCCCGAAACCCTTACCTATAAAGACTATTATTCAACTTGTCGTGTGGACTGATTGTGCACTTCTTCAGTCATATACTCAAATATACATAATAAATGTACACTATATATGGGAAGATCTACCGCTGGCATAGATGTAGGAATCAGGGGAAGTTCAAGGATTTCATGTTAGAGAGGGTACAATTTTTCTAAAACTGAAAAATCTCCCCTTCTCCCCACCTCATCCGTTTTTTAATAGATTCTGACTAATTTTTTTTTCTTGAATGAGAGATGTAGCCACTCAGGGTTGTAGGGTCCACGGGAGAGTAGGGCTTGGGAGGAGGAAGCCTGAAAGAAATCAGGATAGCGTGGCTAGTAATTAATTTTATCCTGCAACTAGTGCTGCCGGAATACACCTGCCATATCTTTTTGCTGTATTTGGAAGTGATTGAAAACAGTTGTATTTTAGCAGGTGCGATAATTTGACAGAATTGCTTCCTGAAATTACTAAAAATTGTGTTGAACAACACAAATAACTGTTGAAATAAGCAATTTCATATGTTGTTTTACAAAATTCAAAAAATCGCTGCTATATTCATTAAAGTTGGAACTATAATTTTCGCAAATGTCATATGTTGAAATTCAGCATAACTTCAACGTCAGGTATATAAAGATTAAAACTATTGCAGTTTTGATTGTCTGATTTTCAATTTATATTGCAGGATAAATAGAAATCATCATCAGTGTCTTAAAATTTAAGCTGCATTTGACTCGGGTCAGAAAGGCACTAGTGGCTTGCCCGTTTTTCTTGGTTCCTATTGTTTGGTTTTTAAGTTTTGGGTAAAATCAAAGTAAATGTCTACAAAAGAAAATACACTTTGTACAACATTAATTACATTGTACATATAATGCAAAAGTAAACCTGTGACCTTGGAAGTGGGACAAGGTCAAACATTTTAACAAACTTGGTAGCCCTTCAAACCACCATGTTACAGGCACAATATTGGTACTATGAGCCTTTTAATCATTGAGAAGGAGTTGTTTAAAGATTTCAACACATTTGACCCCTTTGACTTTGGAATATCAACACTCTTGGCCTTTTGGCTATTGAGAAAAAGTTGTTGAAAGAGTTCAACATGCAGTTGAAACTCCTCTGGAAATCGCTTGAGTCCAAATTCCGTTTGAGTTGAAATAATTTCCAAATCCCAAATTTTTTCCTTCTATATCTGTGTAATTTTAGTTCAGGTGACCTGAATTTCACTGCATCAAAATTTGAGTACGAGTGACCTTCAATTGTAAAGCAAGGGAAAAGTCATTTGTTTTCTCAAAATTAAATTTGTCAAAACATTGGCATAACTTTTGACAAAATCAGTCAATATATAAACAGAGTAGAAAGTCACCTGTGTATAACACTTGGCTAATTATAGTGTATCGGTCCATCGTACACACAACACTTGATCTTTGGCGATTAATTACCAGTTTAATTATTCAATTAAAAATTGGCTTATTAATTAATGTCATTATCGTATAGTCATGACTAACCTGTATGTTAAACGAGTAGTGTGTTTACACAAGACATGAAAACATTTAGCTTGGTTGTGTGCATCTTCAGGATGAATCAAAATGAAACCATCAAACCAGCACAAAGACAAAATCTGATCCCCACAACTCTGAGAGAAACTAAGCTTTGAGTTTGTTTACTACAGGACTATGATCAGGCGCTTTGCTAGATTTAGTGCTTTGACAATGATGTGCTGAAAGCATTTTTCCATTGATAGACTCTCATTGATAGAATCTATATTTTGCATAATTTGTTAAGTCTAGTGCCTGTAAAATGTTTTCTATAACAGATAAAAACTCTATAGTGTGGTGTTTTTCATGTTTATTTATTCATAATGTTCCTACCAATAAGATCTGTAGCTTAATACATTGTTTTCAGTAGCACATCAAAAGCAAAAGTTATTTTCTTTTTATTGTCATTCCACAAAATATATGATCTATAGATCTATATGTGCCTGGTCAGTAAGGGTAGTGTACAAGTGTGCGGGATGGAACAACACGAGTTCAAATGTATTCAATTGTTGTTGTTGTTACATTTTTTTGGATGAATAAACAATAAAAGGAAAAAGTAGAAATTTATTTGTTTCTGTTTATTTACTGCTATTTTAAATAACAGATTACATTACACTGTTTATACCAACATTCTATAGTACCCCTACTTAGTTCAACTGTAATGAACGTCAGGAAACTGATATGCTTATTTGGACACTTTGTTTCAGTTGAATTTGGATAGGTCAAAATATTTTCCACTGTCCCATGAATATCAAGATAAGGAGTTTCTACTCTATTTGACCCCTGTGACCTTGAAAAGGGGGCAACATCATTTATTTTGACAAACTTGGTAGCCATTTATCCCAGCATAGTACATGCCCAATATCCGCACTATGGACCTTTTGACTATTGAGAAATTGTTTAAAGACTTCAAACACATTTGGCCTCTGTGACCTCAAAAGTGGGTTAAGGTCATTGATTTTAACAAACTTGGTAGCCCCTCACACCACCATACTAAAGGCTCAATATCAGCACCCTAGGCCTTTCGATTATTAAGAAGAAGTTGAAAATGTAAATTGTTTAGGACGCTCGACACACACCAGATGATGCCCGACAAAAGGCGATCTCAATAGATCACTTGAGACTTGGTCTCATGTAACCCAAAAAATAAAAATGAATAAATGGACCATACTGTATATGAATAATTAAGCAACATTTAGGTCCAATTTAACGTACTTAAATGGAGTTAGAACTAGAGAGCATCTTCAGTGAAGAAATTTGTCAATGAAAGTACAAAGTAACAGATTTTCAGGATCCAATTCGGGGCATAACCCTACTTTTTTCCCCTTTATTTCTATACGAATACTATCATATAACGTCCTCAGTTCGGAGGTGATTGTCAAATAAGCAGGTGTGATTATACATTTTCAGTTTATCATTTCGCACAAAATGGTCATTTGGCAAAGGTTAAAAGATGGGGTGGGGCGCAGAGAGGGGGCGGGCTCGGGGCGGCTCACATCTTGATCCGCTAGTGGGAATAACATGTAAGCTTACCTGATCTGGAGTGAATTCGCTAGGAATCACGCGAACAGTTTGTAGAGGTATACATCCATGAAGGAAATTAAGTGCGAAATAAATCAATGAAAAATATATACCACACTTGGCCACATTGATTGGGGGTTGTTGTATACAAAACTCTTTCCCCTGTTGTCCATAGCAGACTTTAATAACATTTTTCACTGAACGTTTGGAGAATGATGTGATGTCCATAGCTGCGTGGTTTCTTCTTCCGGAAAAGGGAAATAACTCTTTATATCTTAAATCAATTTTAGCAATTTTTTCAGAAAAGTAGGTTTTTATGAGGCTTAGCTTTGGAAGCATTATGTGACAACGGGTAAGATATTCGTATTTGTTTTGGTAAATGTATCAATCTACATACGTTTTGAGATGGTTTATCTCCTGACTACTTTGCTTTGGAAACTTTTATGAACAGTTGATCTACGCCTCGCCTTACCGGGGGAAAAACCCATGTGGGAATTCCCAAACCAAAAATGAGGCTGACCTAATGGCTTTTGGGGATTTCCAGTCAATTTCAGACATTTATATTCATTTGTGGAACTGTGATATGAAATAGTTTATTTGGTGGTGTGTAACGAGTATAATATTCCATTGTGGAGTTACTGTGATCGTCTACCGACTAAATATTGTCAAGTTTGACAGCTGGTCGAAGCCGTGTATATTAGCAGTCCGCCATTTGCTTTCAACTTGTGCGTAGCCTGGCTTGTGGCTATACCTATAGTTCAAAATGGAAACTAATTGCAATTGCAATGACCTCGAAATTGGTGGAGGAAATATGTGCATAACCCAAAATTTGGATTCTAACGATTTGGAATGTGACGATTTAGAACCAGACTGTGCACCGCATTTTAAGAGTAATTTCTGTCATGTTGATGCCCATTCATTTCCACAGAAAGGAGCTATTACTAGTCCTGAACGATATGACTCTGGTATTGGAGATAGTTTTAAAAGCCAGGATTTAGGGAAGCAGTTTCAGAATATGCATCTTGATTCTTGCGTTGGGAAGACCAGCTTTTGTGAGTTAACTGAGGAAAGCAGGGTTGAACCTAAGCAGTGTCTCTCCACTAGCCCCGTAGTCAGTCAAGAGGACATTGTTTATGAACAGGACGGAGAAGGTGACACGTAAGTTATCACTTCTGCCGTTCATTTTGACCCAAAAGGGCACCGAACAAAAGGGCACCGAACTTTAGTGTTTTAATTAAGTTTGATCTCCGGACGCGTACAGAAAGACGCCTAGATCGTTGGCCAAGATACTCGTATTTCATTGGTTTAGATTGTCACATGACATTTCCTTTAATGTGCAACTTGTGGCAAGCTTTTGAATATTCTTCCCGGTTATCAAATGGAACAAAAGTAACAATATACAATGTAGTTATGTATTAATAACTGTATGCATTGTCCTTTCAGAGAGTTGAAGAAACAGTTTTAAAATTCACATGTGTGTCTTTTGTACAATCTGTACCTGTACACATGTAACTCCCATGGGCCGAGACTTTCGTTGCTAAGGCCAACAGAAGTTAATGAAAACAATAGAAATAAACATAGATTATCAAATAAAAATAGTAATTGGTTACATTTGATGTGGGTTTTTTTGGTCTTAATTAAAAGTAAAGACATACCGTAAACCAATGTGTTACAATACTAAACATCAAATACAACGTTCATATTGTCAGATGATATATATGTTTTTGTCTTATTTTTACAGGCAGCTTCATTCGGCAATTATTCAAGAAATGCCTCTCCTGTGTTTATACTTTATCAAAATTGTCCCACATTTTGGTTTCCTAAATTTACAAAACGATTTAATGCAAACCGTGCTTCACCTGGCTGTGATGATGAAAATGACTAATATTGTGAGACGTCTCATCGTTGCTGGAGCTGACGTGACTTTCCGCGACCATAGGGGCGACACCCCACTTCACATTGCGTCCAGAAATGGCGATCACGAGACTGTCAGATCACTTTTAGAACCTGTATCATATGAAGAAACTCTGCAGAATTCATACAAGATCCCCTACCAGAAAATTCCACAAAATTTGGAACTTCGAAATTACAATGGCCAGACTTGTCTACATGTCGCGGCAGAGAGTTCACATTTTGTTGTGTTGAAGCAACTATTGTCCAAAGGGTCAGACATTAACACAATGGTACGTACACTTGATTTTCATGTGGAAAACACTTTTCTGTATAAGTAAACCTCATTCAGTATACAGAACGGGTCACTGGGTTGATTTCGATATCTGTATGTAATTTTTGTATTCAGTTTTGAAATAAAATGGTGTCTTGACAATTCAAGATTGGATTACAAACATACAAATTAACCTTTAAAGTAGCAATGCAAGTAATCATTTCCAATATTATAAAATTAATATTTTGTTACAGGACGGCAAGAGCGGAAGGACGGTATTGCATTATGCTGCCGAAACAAACAACACACAACTCCTGGCATTTCTCCTCCAGGATTACAAGGTCAGGGTCGATGCAAGGACATATGGAGGACAGACACCTCTCATGCTTGCCCAAGGTCGAGGACACAACGCTATCGTCCAAATGCTTTTGCAGGCTGGAGCAGTATTCCAACTCCCACGGGAAGACTCGGATAGTGATGATGACATGGTAATAACACTAATGATAATCCTGTGATGAAGATTTAGCTGGTTTTGTTGTTATAATTGGTGATGATTTAAATGTGTCTTTTGTACATTTGTACAACCATTTTGTACAATCTTGTAAGTGTGATTGGTTATCAATAGTCATGATATCATAAATTTTCCAATACGTTTGAAATATTGTTTATAAAATACATAATGCAATTATCGTCTTTCCATCTTTACAGGATGAGTCTTTTTCGTAGCTTTATATTTTGTCCAACTCGAGAGAGGATATAAAGTCACCAAGGTCATTGCAGAGTACAGGACAGGAGATGTGGGGACACCCAGTCAATGACAACCACTCTCAGTTACCGACACCGAGCCAGTCAGACTTGAAGCGGACAGCCCTACAGATGCAGCTTCCAGAAAAATACTACCCTTATGATTATCCGTGATTTTACTAGTGGCTTCACTATCCTGCCAAATATTTTATATGTGACACTGAGGATTTTACAACACCACAAAAAAACAAGTAGAATCACATAATCAAACCAACCACAGAAATAAAGTGTCACCATGGAAACATGACGGATAGACAACGATATAGATATAGATCTGCAATAGACATTTATCAGGATCTCTTGTATACAGTTATTACTAAATTATCATTACCGATATATCTTTACAGAGTATCAGAGGGTGTGCTTTGTGATCATACACATAGTGCTATATAGGGCTAAGACAATGTTTTATCAGACACTCGCACTTGTAGACACAAACATTAGGCATAGGATTACATATACACGTCATACCATGAACTGATTAATGACTTAAATTCATTGTCGAAATTGATATATTTGTCTCGATTCTGGTGTTAGGAGAGAACCTATAGATATTGTTAGTATAATAATGAGGAAATGCACCAATTAAGTATATGTAACATAATTTGATACGTAGGGTTAACACACCCAATATACCAATTAGTAATACTAAATGAGGTTTGCATACAGATTTTTTCCACACTTTCACAGACCCTGTGTATATAGCACATTACTAGTCTTGTAAGGTCACTGTCGAATCCAAGAGGAGTTGGCGTGGAATTTTCCTGAATTGTTTTCTTTTGGTATAAGGAATAATGCCAATGATGATGTAAAGGAGTAGTAAGACAACATGCTCCTTTAGGAGTTCGTCGATCTTGGAGTTGCGTAAATAACATGTACAAACCGCTCTATGTTCAACCTATTGAGGGAAGAGTGCATACAAAACTGTACAGGCTTTAGAATGAGGTATGTTGGGAAATTAACAGAGACATATGGCATGTGAAAGATGCCAGACATGTCATAGACTAAGGGAGAAAACGTAAGAATTGAGAGAGTGCTTTATGCCCAGTGAGTAGAGTGTGCATTTGTAGATACATTTTTCTAATGTTTGAAGTACGAAGTTTATTGAACATTTTTACGAGTTCATAGTTTGAAAAATCATTATGCAATAAAAATTGTGTATACAAAATATGATGCAAAAAAAAATAAATAAAATAACACAGAATTTATGATTCTTTGCGTTTTAAAGTACTTTGTGAGAACATGCCGTGACCCGTTCTCAACGGCATTGTAATAATTAAACGTCCGCATTAGACGTAAAACCCGAACCAGGAACATGAAATGCACATCTTCATTGTTTGTGGATTTTCAGTTTTGGGTACAGGATCAGTAAATCCTAGAAGACATACTTCCCTAGTAATTTTTTTTCATTGGAAATATTGAGAAACAATAAATTTGGATTGTTTAAGGTAAATAACCAACAAAAGCCTTAGCAGTGACCGCTCTCCCCACTATAGTTTCCGGACCAATACATTTTAAACAAGTACTCGTGACACGGTTTTTCACGGTAAGTCTTCAGTGTAATTTTATTATTTCACTGAACACAGTAAATGTTCAACAGAGTTCAATAAAATACAACTGAGTTTAAGATGCCGGCATCATAATGAAAACATGAACAGTTTCCTTTAACGCTAAATCAAAATCCTACTTTCTACTTCAAATGTTATTAGCAGCGTATTACGTGTAATATTTCAATTTCCAATCTATCGGACCTTAATTATACATTCCAGTCCACTATACCTATTCTAAACCACAAAACACGACATAACATTTCACTAATGTAATGTATTGCCGTGCCAGGCACGCTGATATGAAGTTGGACTTGAACCTCGCTCGAATACATGTGATAGTGTATCAGAGTTACACAATATCGTACAAAGGTCATCATTTGATAATTAATGTAAAATCACTTAACTATATTTGCTTATGTACACCACGTGACTGTCGCCACATATTTCGGGAATTTACCCTGTAAACTAAAACTCGCTGTATTTATTACCAGTGTAAAATGAAACATCACAGTCTAACACATGTCCTTTTATGGTCACAGATTCATTACCAGTGGCACATACATTATTTTAAAGATATTTCAATAAATTGCGTGATATTTAGCAGGAACTTTCGTTGAGAATGTGGAACTAAATATACTTCTATCAAATTAAAATATCTCTTTCAATCTAGAATGATCCTATTTAGTACCGAACTCAATTTCATTTCATTCTTTTTTATACCTAGCTCAATTTCAGTTCATACTTGGTAATAAGCGTGATAATTTCAATTTCCCCTATTGTGAATTTTCTATTTCTGAAGAGCAAAAGGCATCTCTGCATCCCTACCTATGATGTTGACATGTTGCAATTGATTTGGTATTCAAGAGCCTGTTCCCATCATCGCGATTTTCGTACAAGAAGTCGTAACACAGGATTTTAAAAAATGCGTGTTGATGAAAATTATGGTCAAGTTTTCAGTTGTCGTAGTGATCTCAACGAGAAATATCCTGTTTCTTTGTAATATGAAGCTAGTCGTGTTTGATGCTTGTTAATTAACCTGTTGGTTCCGTTGTTGTACACCTTGTTCTAATCATTGAGAAATATCCTGTTTCTTTGTGATATGAAGCTGGTCGTGTTTGATGCTCGTTAATTAACCTGTTGGTTCCGTTGTTGTACACCTTGTTCTAATCATTGAGAGATATCCTGTTTCTTTGTGATATGAAGCTGGTCGTGTTTGATGCTTGTTAATTAACCTGTTGGTTCCGTTGTTGTACACCTTGTTCTAATCATCGAGAAATATCCTGTTTCTTTGTGATATGAAGCTGGTCGTGTTTGATGCTCGTTAATTAACCTGTTGGTTCCGTTGTTGTACACCTTGTTCTAATCATTGAGAAATATCCTGTTTCTTTGTGATATGAAGCTGGTCGTGTTTGATGCTTGTTAATTAACCTGTTGGTTCCGTTGTTGTACACCTTGTTCTAATCATTGAGAAATATCCTGTTTCTTTGTGATATGAAGCTGGTCGTGTTTGATGCTTGTTAATTAACCTGTTGGTTCCGTTGTTGTACACATTGTTCTAATCATTGAGAAATATCCTGTTTCTTTGTGATATGAAGCTAGTCGTGTTTGATGCTTGTTAATTAACCTGTTGGTTCCGTTGTTGTACACCTTGTTCTAAACATTGAGAAATATCCTGTTTCTTTGTGATATGAAGCTAGTCGTGTTTGATGCTCGTTAATTAACCTGTTGGTTCCGTTGTTGTAAACCTTGTTCTAATCATCGAGAAATATCCTGTTTCTTTGTGATATGAAGCTGGTCGTGTTTGATGCTTGTTAATTAACCTGTTGGTTCCGTTGTTGTACACCTTGTTCTAATCATCGAGAAATATCCTGTTTCTTTGTGATATGAAGCTGGTCGTGTTTGATGCTTGTTAATTAACCTGTTGGTTCCGTTGTTGTACACCTTGTTCTAATCATCGAGAAATATCCTGTTTCTTTGTGATATGAAGCTGGTCGTGTTTGATGCTTGTTAATTAACCTGTTGGTTCCGTTGTTGTACACCTTGTTCTAATCATTGAGAAATATCCTGTTTCTTTGTGATATGAAGCTAGTCGTGTTTGATGCTCGTTAATTAACCTGTTGGTTCCGTTGTTGTACACCTTGTTCTAAACATTGAGAAATATCCTGTTTCTTTGTGATATGAAGCTAGTCGTGTTTGATGCTCGTTAATTAACCTGTTGGTTCCGTTGTTGTACACCTTGTTCTAATCATTGAGAAATATCCTGTTTCTTTGTGATATGAAGCTGGTCGTGTTTGATGCTCGTTAATTAACCTGTTGGTTCCGTTGTTGTACACCTTGTTCTAATCATTGAGAAGTATCCTGTTTCTTTGTGATATGAAGCTAGTCTTGTTTGATGCTCGTTAATTAACCTGTTGGTTCCGTTGTTGTACACCTTGTTCTAATCATTGAGAAATATCCTGTTTCTTTGTGATATGAAGCTGGACGTGTTTGATGCTCGTTAATAAACTGTTGGTTCCGTTGTTGTACACATTGTTCTAATCATTGAGAAATATCCTGTTTCTTTGTGATATGAAGCTAGTCGTGTTTGATGCTCGTTAATAAACTGTTGGTTCCGTTGTTGTACACCTTGTTCTAATCATTGAGAAATATCCCGTTTCTTTGTGATATGAAGCTAGTCGTGTTTGATGCTCGTTAATTAACCTGTTGGTTCCGTTGTTGTACACCTTGTTCTAATCATTGAGAAATATCCTGTTTCTTTGTGATATGAAGCTAGTCGTGTTTGATGCTCGTTAATTAACCTGTTGGTTCCGTTGTTGTACACCTTGTTCTAATCATTGAGAAATATCCTGTTTCTTTGTGATATGAAGCTGGACGTGTTTGATGCTCGTTAATTAGGCTGTTGGTTCCGTTGTTGTACACCTTGTTCTAATTTGAGGACATGACATTACTTACATGGATTGACCAAAATTTAAATGGCTTTTGTCGTTGAAATAGAAGACGCTTTACTCTTCCAGAACACATGGTCTTGTTCTCGTACTTTTCAAGATTCTCTGTGAAAATCCTGAACTCAAATGTATTCGTCGTATCTAGTACCTAAATCAAATTCATTATTCATGTTAGGTATCTTACCAGATTTCATTTCATCCTATTTAGTACTTAGCTCAAATTAATTCATAAAATTTAGTACATAACTCGATTTCATCCCATCCTGTTTAGTACCTAGCTCACGCATTCATTCAGTTTGCAAATTAGGTTTTCTTTCATACCAGCTTGAAACTAAAAATATTCCTGCCAAAGCTTAATAGTATTTAACTAAAATTAATTCATTTTATTCGGTACCTTACCCATTTTCATTTCATTCTGTGTAGAACCCAACTCAATTCAATTCATCCTATTTTGTACCTAATTCAATTCCATTTGGTCCTAATTAGTACTCAGCTCAAATTCATTTCTTCTTAATAGGTACCTAGTTCAGTTACATTTCGTCTTATTTGGTACCTACCTATCCCAGTTTCTGTCATACTATTTAGTACTTGTATCAGTTTCATTTCATTATATTTAATACTTAACTTTAATTAATTAACTCAATTTCATTCTATCTTATGTCGTACCTGGCTCAATCTGGTGATCTATTAAGTACCTAACTCAAATTCATTTCACCCTGTTTAGTATCTGACTCAATCTGGTGATCTATTAAGTACCTAACTCAAATTCATTTCACCCTGTTTAGTATCTGACTCAATCTGGTGATCTATTAAGTACCTAACTCAAATTCATTTCACCCTGTTTAGTACCTGGCTCAATCTGGTGATCTATTAAGTACCTAACTCAAATTTATTTCACCCTGTTTAGTACCTGACTCAATCTGGTGATCTATTAAGTACCTAACTCAAATTCATTTCACCCTGTTTAGTACCTGACTCAATCTGGTGATCTATTAAGTACCTAACTCAAATTCATTTCACCCTGTTTAGTACCTGATTCAACCTGATGATCTATTAAGTACCTAACTCAAATTCATTTCACTCTGTTTAGTACCTGACTCAATCTGGTGATCTATTAAGTACCTAACTCAAATTCATTTCACCCTGTTTAGTACTTGACTCAATCTGATGATCTATTAAGTACCTAACTCAAATTCATTTCACCCTGTTTAGTACCTGGCTCAATCTGGTGATCTATTAAGTACCTAACTCAAATTCATTTCACCCTGTTTAGTACCTGGCTCAATCTGGTGATCTATTAAGTACCTAACTCAAATTTATTTCACCCTGTTTAGTACCTGACTCAATCTGGTGATCTATTAAGTACCTAACTCAAATTCATTTCACCCTGTTTAGTACCTGACTCAATCTGGTGATCTATTAAGTACCTAACTCAAATTCATTTCACCCTGTTTAGTACCTGATTCAACCTGATGATCTATTAAGTACCTAACTCAAATTCATTTCACTCTGTTTAGTACCTGACTCAATCTGGTGATCTATTAAGTACCTAACTCAAATTCATTTCACCCTGTTTAGTACCTAACTCAACCTGATGATCTATTAAGTACCTCAGTTTTATCTTTGGTGTTTCTAAAAACTCATTAAAATACCTTCCACATGGATACCATGATACAAGTTGTAAGTATCTACCTCTTACATATATCATCCCAC